TCTCCCAAAGGCTGTGTTCGAAGTCGTGAAGCCCATCTACATGCAGCTGTCCGAACGAAGTCTGCTGGAGCGCTGCCAGATGGGTGCAACGCAGAATGCGAACGAGTCGTTCAACAACGTCATTTGGAGAATGCGTCCGAAGGAAGGCTTCTGCTCCGTCGACACCGTTCAGCTGGCAAGTAGTTTGGCAGTGCTCAACTTCAACAACGGCGCTATCACCTTGCTCAGTGTGCTGAAAGAGTGTGGATGCATTGATGGCAATCACACGAAGGCAGCGCTTGAGCTAGAAGACCAATGGCGTGTGAAGAAGTCCCTCCGCAAGTCATCAGCACTGGAAAAGGAGAGCAGGAAAAGGAGAAGGAGGCAGAGGAAAGGCTGGGAGGAGACCACTATTGAGAAAGAGGGCACTACATATGACAAAGGTGGTTTCTGAATGGCAACTTCAGGTCAGATATGTGAAAATATTTCAGTAGCACTCCACTATCAGTCCTTTTTATGTAATTTTTAGGTGCATTTTTCACTGATTTTAGGGGTATTATGGGCACTCCGCGCAGTTTTTTAGAAATGCTGTACATATCTTGTATGTAAAAGTATATATTTTCTGGTTCTGTACGGTCCATTCTAGATCCGTTGCCTTCTTAGGACACAAGATCTTCTGTTAGAAACAAAATAATGGACCTTGAACTTCAGTCAAGTTATCTTGCGCACGTGCATTGTTATTTCAAGGCTGCAGTGGCACACCATGGGAACTGTAATCGCATTGTGCTTAGGCAACAGCCCTAGCCCCTTGGTACCTGATCATTTTGCAGTGTTATGTGTTTATCTTCAAGTGACCGTGTTTGAGAAAAACTGCGCAGAAATCATGCCCGGCTATCGCATTTTTTCCAAAATTGCTTTCCTGCATTTCTCCATGATACCAGTATACTTTCCACAGTTCTTGGTTGCAATGTCGTCAGTGGATGTCAAGGAACATATACTGAAAATTTGAAGGAATTCTGATGTTTGAGTGCTGAGATTCAAGCGAATTTATAACGGGCACTGCAATATGGCCAGCGAACCTCCCGTCCCCCCTTAACAGCCACCTCTGCAGAGCAGGTCTGAGACCGACTCGGACTGTGGAGACCTGATTTCATTCCGGTCATACCAGATAATTGCCATTTGCATCCATAGATGTGACATCCGTCCGAATAGCAGCATACCTACAGTAAATGGTATGCCAGTGCAACGGTTCCCAGTCAAGCGGTCCACTATGCACCGGATTCGCATTGTGACCTCTTTGAGGTGAGGGCAATGGCGAAAGTCCTCCGCGAGCCCCTACTTCTATCCAGCAACTGTATTACAATCTCCATGTCACGCCGGCCATGCATTTATATTTTATAATCAACGGAGCTGTTGCGGACTGGTACCAAAATTTTAAGGTTGCACCTCGCATCTCGGATTATGAACTCTTGGCACTGATCAAATGGCATGCATTCTGTATCGAGGGTAGACGACCAGGCTCGTAAAGGTAGGGTATGGGTGGGTAGTCGAGTCGGTAACTTAGTATGTACAGGAGCGAAGAGAGCGTGACGGAACAAGGAAATCCTCTTCTTATCCTCAGGGAAGCAGCCGCTGACGGGTACATGCTGAGCATGCTTGAATGGTCCGAGCACGAATCCCGACGCCAGGAAGAGGAACACCTTTATAACGTTACTTCGGTTGTTGTAATTGTAGTCTTCAATGGTCCATGAGAACTGGCCTGGCAAGCTGAGTGTACAAAAATCCGGATACTTTGCGGGATGTTGCGGTGAAGACTTGGAAGTAAGTTGGAGTGCTGCATATGATACGGCACACACTCGTATCTGAAGCACAGGACTCAGGAGGAGGAGAAGAAGAAAGCGACTGTTGAGGTGGTTATAACAAGTCATTCGCCCATTACTATCCGCAAACCATTATTATTTTTTTGTCTCCATAGTTGTCACCAGGGGCTTTCACGACTCCCTGGTAGAATATCACCCGCAGAACATGTTATGTAGTCTGTTGCCCACAGTTCTTTGTGGAAGAACACGATGTTTCACACAGCATGGGGCGGTGTTCCCCCAAACGGAAAGAAATAGCAACAGACTCATTATCCTTCTGCAGAACTGATCAGAGTCTCTGAGTGCAAACTTAGACCACAAGTACACTGTAACACCTTAGTTGCAACCCTAACTAACTTGGCGACACGATACATAGCTCAGCACTTTCGAAGTAAGTTTCGTGCATCTATTTCATCCCTAAGAAACGCACCTGGCATGCACACTGTTATGTGCACCATAGGCATAGGCCATAGGGTACAGTGAAAAATCAACATGCATCGCAGTTTTCTGCACACGCCAAGTAGTTTCTGAAGACAGTGAAGTAGTACCGTACTGGCAATATAATGTTGCCGCGTAACGCGTAACGCAGGGGGGTGCGGCGTAACGCGCGACCAGGCTAGTGCGACAAATTTTCGTCAAGTTCGTAACGCTCGTCCGGCGGGGTGCGGCGATCTTTTCATTGCAGTTTGCACTGCAAAAAAGGCTGAAAACTGTGAAAGCACGTGTACCGCGTGGTGAAAAGTTCAAAACTGGACGCAGCAGGAAGTCCTGACACTCGAAGGCGCATCATTCAGTGGTTGGCGATCTCAATGGTTTCTTCTTTCCCGAGGTCGTTTTGCGAAGAAGAGTAATATGTTGTACACTCATTAACTGTGTGAGTGACAGTAGTTTTTGGAGGAAGCGCTCTTCCCCTATGCCACTTTCCTTCTGATGATCTTTTTGTGAACAGATCACGCTGATAGTTAAAATATACAGTCTTCTATTGATATCGTTGTCGCCCTTTGCCGTCGGGTTTGTAACAGTTGGATAGCAACTGAAATTCTGTGCCTTCAATGTGGATGAAAAGAAAAAATGATGCGGCAAAAGCAAAAAAAATGATGCGGCAATAGCAAAAAAGTGATGCGGCAATAGCAAAAAAAGGACTGCGGCAATATAGAAACCTGTGTAACGGCTCCTGTGCGACTTTGCATGTAACGCCCTGCGTGCAGCAAACATGTGCCAATGTAACGCTTCATGGCCTCACTGCGGCAACATATATTGCCAGTACGGTAATAGTTAGTTGCTTCGCACCTCAGTCTCAGAGAGCGTAGCGAACCGCGATGCGATTCGCAATTTCGCATCCCAGTTTGCTACCTAAGCAGTCAAATATTCCTGCATATTTCACTCCTTAGGGCTATATTGACAGTGTACATTTGACTCCTTTGCAGGGATTGAACACAGGCCTTGCGTGGCTAGTCGTCTTCGTACTTGGTCAGTATAGGAAATAAAAAACCTCGTAAAAGACCGAGGCGTCGCCTCGGTCTTTTACTCGGCTTTTATTTCCTGTTGACCTCGTACCATGCGTACTGTACTCAGCCAATATTAGATACATATTAGCCTCTGTGTCCACTCCTTCTCCTCATCCCTGATGATGCCCTCAGATCATGCTAGTTAGTTAGTTAGTTACGTATCTAATATTGACTGAGTACGAGGTCAATATAGGAAATAAAAGCCGAGTAAAAGACCGAGGCGAAGCCGAGGTCTTTTACGAGGTTTTTATTTCCTATACTGACCAAGTACGAAGTCAATATTAGATTTATCACGACAAACAGTCCGTATTTCAAATTCCAGAACGATAACCTCATGAATCCCGTTTTATGATTGCACAACCGTTGCACCACGGCCTACTCATGCAGTGACAATGCTGCACTACAGTCCATTCATAAAAAAATGGGTCCTGGCTCTGGCGAGCTCCCGTATTTGGCGATTTTTCGTGATTTCATCGTACACAGTGCAGTGCTGCGAACTTTGAAATTTGAAAAAGGGTCCAAAAAGGGTGCCTGAACTGGGGTTCGAACCGCAGAATGCACTGTTGCAGGCGGGGTCAAACGGCCTGGATTTTGATGGTTTTTTCCCAATTCAGTGCTTTTGGGGCAAAACCTGGCCGAAATCCTATTCTTGCTATGGCTTGCTTTTTGGACAAAAAAACTTCAGAAACATAATTGGAAGAGGATTCCATATGGGATTGCAGAAAAAAATTCTAAAAAAACTCAACGTTTGACCCATTTATGGCCAAAAGCTAGAAGTTCATTTTTTTCTGAATGGACTGTAGGCACCTGCGCAACCCCTAAGCAGTCAAATATAAGCAGTCAATATAGCCCTAACTAAGCCAAGGAGTGAAATATGCACGAATTTTTGACTGCTTAGGTATGGCAAAAATCTATGTGAGTCAATACTAAGGGAGTGATAAATGTAGTTATGGTTACCAATTATTTTATAACCTTTTTGGAGGAATTCGTCACGACTCACGAGTCGCAGTGGTGTAGCCAAGGGCAAGGACGTTGATCGACGGGCCCAGGTCTAGACGTCTGTGCATCGGTGTGGTCATCCTGTAACTACGTGTACATGTATTCCATGGAGAGATTGGAGACTGCACAGGCATGCTTTGGACGCGGCTGAATGCACTGCGAGTCGACAATTATTTGCAACACAGTTCCCGGACACGGAGCGCACCGTCCGACTTCCATAAGGCATAAAGCGGAAAGGATCGGACGGCGGATCGCGGAACAAGGAAGACATTGAACCCGTAAATGTTCTACTGAACGCAGGATGCGCCTTGCAGTTGCTAAGCCTACATGTACTCTACACTACAGCTCGATCGAGCCATGGCGACAGGTTGACACAGTCAGTGACACTCCGCAGGCCGGCTAGGTCTTATCTGTGTTGTAGCTGTGCACTCACTCAGTCCAACGCGGCGCTGCTGTCTTTATTCATGAGGTTGGATTTCTCTGGCCAGCATGCACTGCACTGGTCTGTACTCGTAGATCTACGTACTTGTACTCGTAGATCTACTACTAGTACTAGTAAGCATGGCAAGTCAGTAAGTGGAAGTCTCGGTCAAGCTGTCATTTCGCGGAGCGTCATTGAAGAATGCTGCAGGAAATTATTCTCGTCTGTTAGTTACTTTCCGCTAGCTACTAACTTACTTCTTGCGTAACAAGCAGATTGATAAACACCGTGTGGTAACACGCCAGGGCAACGCAACACTACACCTGGAGGCTAGCACTCCTACCTCCGTACCGGCCACAAGAAACCCGGAACGAACGTACGTATGTATGTGGTGTGACGGAAAATGAGTGTCAGCATTCCAAGCGTGACTGGGAGCCTGATTTGGGTGGCAGAGAGCATCCTTGTATCATACTATGGAAGAGGATAGCTATCATACTACGGAAGCGGGTAGCAGAAAGCTATGGAATCACGGCGCCAGAAAGATGAATTATTATGAGGATTGCGGAATTATTGTTCTCCCTCGCATCCGGCGCTATTCATCGACCATCACCAGGCATCATACAGCACTGACTGTGCGCCACTAGCCATTCTACATGTACTTTGACCTCTCAGTCTCAGCGCAGCCTGAACACTACGTCTTGTTGTTACTACTTGTACAAGTTGTAGTAGTACTGTAGTAGTAGTTGTTGTGCAAGGAGTGCAAGCCACAGACTCAGCAGATCATGACAGTAGTTGGCCTCGTGGGAAGTATTCGGCTGCATGCAGCTAGGCAGCTACTAGTTACTGTAAGGACACACAGGAGAGTCGAGTGCGTCCCCTGAAGGTTAGTAACATATTGTGTGTGGAGCCCATTATCCATACCTACCTGTACAGTCATGCAACTCGTGTCAGCCCCATGGCCATGGATCAATTCAAACCTTCCTTTTCTATACGCGTGGTATGTGCCGCCCACTAGTCAATTCACTTGTGTTGAATGCCGGGTATTGATCCCACCAGAGGCTGGGATGCTGTGTTCGTCGCATCTTCCCAATTAATCTAACCGCGATGTACCGAGGGGGGGGGGGGGGGGGAGTGCACAAGTTCTTGAGAAAATGAATACGGTGATAAACGGAGCACTGCAGGCCCGTGACTTGGCACCCAGAAGCTACAAGTACTGACGTTTTGATCTCAGGCGGCAGTTCTTCTTTAAAAACTATTTCAACGTATAATACATACATGTACACATGTACCGTGGTGGTCCCATTATGATCTGGAACCATTTGTGCTACGGAAATTCTGCTGGATTAGGGAAGGATTTTGGTTACTGAAAATTATCCTGGTTTATAGAGGTGCTGCCAGGCCACGGAGTTCCCAAATAACTGTGGGTCACAGCACGGCTGGAAAAATTCCTTCCGCTTCCAAGCAGGACTTGAACCTGGTACCCTCTGTTTCTCAATCATGGTCTTAGACCATCCCGCTATGCCTGGGCAACATGGATGCAGTTAATGGGATTTGAGTCGGTCTTTGACCACTTTGTGGTGGGTTTGATCTACTCACCTCCCACCGTTTAGGAGCTGCATCTGCGCCTTGATCCTAGAGGGTGGTGGCGTTCCCACGGCGGATGCGGAAAACTCGGCTTCCAGCCAAGTCTCACGCAAACCGTGAAATTTTTAATTTTTTAAATAGAGGTGCTGCATGGTTTATAAAGTGCTGTACTGGGTTAGAAAGAGACGATCGTACATGTACATGATTGTACATAGTTGTCCCCCTTATCGTATGCGGCTGACTTGTCTAGGCATTGCAAGTACCGAATGTCCTAACTCAAGAGAGATGATGTAAAGGGAATGTGCTGTCGTAATTTACTGTGGTCGTACAAGCAGAAGTAATGTTCCTCCTCCTCCTGCTCCTCCTCCTCCTCTTCCCCACCACCATCACCACCACCAACAGCGCTATCGTTGCCATCACACTTCATGTACTTTATCCCAGTCCCGTCTGCAGCCTGAGACTGCACTCTGAAAATTGTGCAGTCTTGGTTAAGAATGGAAACTATGCTTGGTTCCCATCTCAGTGCTACACACCATCCCTTCCTTGGTTCTCATCTCTGATTGTATGATAAGTAACCAGTACTACATAGACCTCTATCAGCATTGCACTGCATTGTAAGTAACGCAGCATGAGCCGTGACTTGCAAAAAAAAAGCACCAGTGGTCTGTAAGCGCGATTGCGGTTGCTATCGGTGACATGCTGAGCAGTGCTGCGTGCAGCAATCCCGTCATCCAGTAGGTGTGATCGTGACTGGATGTGATGAACACGTTGCAATGCACTGCTATTAGTATTCTTGCATGCACAGAGGGAATGTTTTACGCAATTAACGTTGCGGACAATGTTCGCATGGGTCAGTAGCTGTTAGTGTACCACTGTACGAGTGGCTAGCCAAGGAAGATTTCAAACATGCCCATGACATGCATGCTAGGCGTCTGTCATGTAAAGAATTCCTTCTGGTGGTCGTGTGCTATGTAACATTGACAACCTGTCACTCGCTTCTTGGGCATGTCTTGGCCAGCCATGCAGCAAGCAATCTGTCCACCCGGATAATGGCTGGTATCTATGCCGGCATGTGCATGTGTGAGCTCAACCATACGGTATGTTACTCTGCCTGCTGGCCGTGACTCATGTGTTGCCAGTGAGTTGTGGACTTGTGGTGAGGCCGTCTGAACGCCCATTACATCATCGTGTCCTTCAACAGACTTGTGTGTGCGTGTGCGCATGCGCGATTATGTATTTGTATAGTACGATGGGCTGCTCGTGTGGACGGGCAATGGCAGGCCCCATGACAAGCGCAGAGGACCAGGAAAACGTTAGTGGGTTGCTGAACTTTGCTCATAGAAACTTGGTACAGTCTCGGAAGCCGAGCAGGAGAGATAACAGAACTCAGAATCCTCTTTGTCTTGACTCTTGATTGCTCCTTTCATTTGCTGTTCTATCTTGCCAACTAACTTTGGATTTTCCAAGATATAGGCAGATCAGGGGGTGCTGCATATTTCAATTTGTTACTGACGGCAAGGGCATGCAGTCTGCAGGTGGGTTCCTGTCGGGTTGATCTTGTAATTTGGAGCTCTTTCAGCTTTAGCCAAGAAGCTTCCCTAATGATGACCACAACAGTTTGATCCTGTGCATCCACTCTTTGAGCCTTCTTCCCTTGATGCTTCAGTTCACATGGACTGTTGACCTTTACTGATGGGTGTTTTGTCCCTGCAGATTCTGAAACAGTCTGTGCGTTGTCTCAGCATAATCCTCCGGCTACAATGACTAATGCTGGTAGCAATCCTCAGGTGACGACCTCCAGCCATGGTCACACCACTCCAAGCAGTTCCACAGAAGTATCAAGCACAGCAGATAGCAGCAGCTTGCACACACTAGCTGGTCCCGCACTGAGTGGCAGTGTAGTGCGGGATAGTGCCGAGAGATTGTCACCGGTACTGCATCATCAACAACAACATCAGCACAATGCAAGTAGAGGTGGTGGTAGTCATTATCACCAGCATCAACATCGTCCTGCTGGCACTATCTCCTTCATACCACAGAATCGTGGACAACATATCTCAGAGCCACTGGACACGGCGGCGTTTGCCAACTATGAGTCCGGCTTTGTGATTGGTAGCAATGGATCATCAGATAGTAGTAGAAGTAACCTCCATGTTACACTACAGCCACCAGATCAGCAGTGTGTGCACAGTGGTTCCAGTGTTGTACTACAAGCTGAAGTTCAGGACAGACTGAAACGTACAGTGTACTACCAATGGTATCGAGGCAGACAGCCGCTGGCCAATCAAGCAAACAACATCATGATTCTACATGATGTGCAACCTGGTCAAGCGGGAAAGTACCGTTGCAAAGCGTACACCAAACAACAACTACTGAGAACTCACTGTAGTACTCCCACAGCTGCTGCTGACGACAGGGGAACTGAAGCAATTCTGACATCACCGACCGACGTCATAGTCATAGAGCCAGACAGAATCGGTAAGCCGAGTCAAATGCACTGTGTGCCTAGTTTGTTTCATGGGGGGGGGGGGGGGGTCATATTCGAATCTGAGAGGCTGGGATTTGGCGGTGCTATACTGATGGACTTCACGCTCGAGGATTGCGCTGTTCAGCATGGAGGCCGCCGGGAACCAGGGATGTTCCCTTTCAGGACTGAAAGTACTAGGGGTGAATTTCTTCGGTTTCGGCCGGAATCCGGTTCACATTGCAGCAGTTTCTCTATGTAGTTGATTGAGACTTGGCAGTCAATAGCTTGGTGGTACAGGTAGGTCAGAATATTGGTCTGTGTTACTGTGACCTACATGCATATGCCCTGTGTGCCGTGGATTCTTCTCCACTTGCTTGTACACTACTAGCATCACATTCAAACAAGGCACGCTGCCAGCATATCCACTGATCCCGCATGAAAACTTCAGTTGATTAGGTGCATCTAGGTATGGGCTGAGTGTAATTACTAATTACTGCAATGATGAGTTTTCAGCCATGGTGGTGACTGGCAAACAAGGAAATGCCCATACCAACACTCAGTCAACTGTGTACATCATCAACTGCCATGCTCTGTGACCTAGATGGGATAGGTAGCCATGGCAGTGAGCAGGTGGGATACTGAAACTTTGATCAGGCTGCATGTACCCGCTTGCACACTTCATTCTTGGTAAGGTGGCACCTCGTTCATAGCACCTACAGTGAGATCAGTGTATTCGTGAAAGAAGAGGGTTTGGTGCCTCTGAGTCATGTGTTGCCTAGTATACTGGAATGGTTTCTTGGGTGACCAGTTTCCCCAGCACTGGAGACTACACTGCATGCACCTCATGTGCGATGACTGGACAGCACCAGGAAATAGGTCTCGTCTTGCTTTTCACTGACCATTTTCAGTAAAATTAATGTTTTGAAGGGTCATACTGGCATAGACTATGTTAGAGCCTGCAACTCTCACCAGCACTGTGGCCACTGTGGCCACTCTGGCCAGTCTTAGATAAGGTCCTTCTATTGGCTAGCTACTGGGGGCAGTTGGTATTATTTTTATGATTGGTGCTGTCCAGAGTCGTAGTAACAAGTTAGTTAAACTCAAATATGTCCTTTTTCCTGAGTTCTGGGGAAGCCAAGAAGATCAATATTCAGTCCAGTACCACACTACACTACACTACACTACACTACACTACACTACACTACCTACACTACACTACACTACACTACACTACACTACACTACACTACACTACCTACACTACACTACACTACACTACACTACACTACACTACACTACACTACACTACACTACACTACCTACACTACACTACACTACACTACACTACACTACACTACACTGAGTATAAGCGTTGATGGTATACTACAGTACACTACTAACACAGCTAATATAGTTCAGAGCTGGATCAGTTGAGTGGTATTGCTTCACAAGTTCAACTGTCAGCAGTTTTTAACACACTTCCGATTGAGGACTTGCATCTAGTCCGGTTCACACCGGGCCAAGCTGTTTACAATTTTGTGACCAATGATATTCAGGGCTGGGCAGCATATCCGGCTCTCACCAGCAATGGGTAGTTGCATGCTGGCCATATACATGCAGCTACAGAAAATATGCAACCGGGAGGTTTGCATGTGGTGACTTAGTTGGGCGTGCAGCCTCCAGGCAAACTGCCTTGGCATTCATTGTGCCACCTGCCTGGCACTTTGGTCTGGAAGCCTACAAAGTCTCAGTCAGTCATGATCCCCTGGACTGCTGCTCTACTGGTTGTCCAAGTGTCTTATCATTCACTTGCTGAGCTTACTCTTGCCGGCATACTCAGCCAGCAACACTGACACAGGGAAAGGTGTGGTGCGCCACAGTATCCAGAACGGGTTTACGATGGTTTATTATCTCTTTCAGAGTGAAACTGGCAAACGGAAATGAGTACGTTCTTGCTTGATGTCGTACTTGCAGAAGCTCCACGAATTCGAGTTCAGCCACAGTCGGTGATCGCAAGACGTGGTGACGGTGTTAAGCTTAGTTGCATCGCCGAAGGACACCCCAAGCCGTCCTATCTCTGGTACATGAACGGCACACGACTACCAAAGCACACAGAGTCAGCACTCTGCATTGACGCTTGCACAGAGGAACATGCTGGCATCTACACTTGTGAAATACGCAATGCTAGCGGGCACAGGATCAGCCGCAAAGCAGAGGTATGCGTTTACTACCCGCCCATCACAGCCGGTGGAGGGAATACACAAGGTGAGGCACTTCTTCCAGGGTGAACATATTGCTCGGTGTGTGTGTGTGTGTGTGTGTGTGTGTGTGTGTGTGTGTGTGTGTGTGTGTGTGTGTAATGTCGTTTTCACCTACATATTGTATATGTATGTACCAGTATCAAGAGCACATGTTCATGAGTGTAAAGCTCCCGTGGTGACATGCGCTCAGGGACCCACCAACAGTAGAATTTTCTCTTCGCATCGTTTTCGGATGAAGTGGGATTACGTTTGTAGACCTTTTCACGCTTCTCGAGACCAATACTGTGTCTGTTCATCAGTAACAGGATGTATGTATCTCCCGTCCATTGTTCTAATTTGACTACTGGAGCTGGGCTGCGCATGTACATATTTGTATATACCGTATTTTGATCCCGGGGAGCGCATAACAGCATTTGTGAGGCTCATGGCTGCGAAAGCCTGACGCCATAGAAACCAATTTGGTATGCAAGGAATTGCCACAGTGCTGGTTCTTGGGCCTGGTGCATTCGTATAAACGTTTGTCCTGCACTGACTTGCATAAGCCTGCACAGCTGCAGTGCCATCCTTCCTGTAGATGGTATAGATTTACACAATCATGTTCATGCACATGTAGTTAGTGTAGGAAAGACAACACGGCTGAGCTACCATGCGACAGCGGTACTGGAGTTCCGTCCAGCACACTTCCCCTTCGACGGTACTGCCGGAAATTGCACTTTGTGCTAATACTCTACATTATAGTTATGTGCTGGTTGCGCACTGCTGGTTTTCCGGGATTGCGATAGGATGGGTCAGGAACTCGGGGCATGGAACAGAAAAGGTCAGTACTGCTATACAAGACGGCATTACAATCAAAGAGCTGTATGATCGTGCAAACACAGCCCAGCCTTGTGGCAGGACTGCTGACTGGCGCAACAACAAAACACGTTGGGTGAGTTAGTCTTCGCTCTTTTTTGTGTGTGTGTTTGCTACTGTAGCATACTGCTCCGACCCCGTGATCATGTCCCATCCGTCTTCAGCTGAGCTACGTACAAGCCAGCAGCAGCCCATAGAGCTGGAGTGTTTGGCAACTGGTGCACAGCCACTGTACTACCAGTGGTATCGCAATGATAGACCGTTACCATCGGCAACATCATCACTGTTGACTCTGCGCTCAGAATGTGACGGTGAAGACGCAGCAGCGGCGTTGGCAACAGAAGATCACCGTCTAGCTGGAGTCTACATGTGTTCTGTCAGCAATCATTTTGGTTCCCAGTCGTCCCATCCGGCTACCATTCACCCTGGTAAGCATCCACAGCTGCCAAGTGATGTACTGGATGAGTAGAGACGTGCTCATACCAACCTGCTACTTGGGCATTACTAGTACGCATGACTGTTTGTATCCTGGCATGATCCTGGTGTGCTGTTGGCGTGGATAGCTACAGCCGGACAGTTTCAAGCACTTTCAAACACCCGTTCCAGTGATAGAATAGTCGACACGGTGGCACATGTGTAAATAATTGCACGAGTACTACGTTGTAGAGCGTACATGCAGAGGTGTGGTTGGAGTGAAACACGGACCGATGTATACACGCGTCCGTGAAAAGGTCAGCCGTGCAGTGTGTTGTCGGTGTGGGAGGCATACAATATCGAAGATTGAAGGTTATGATAAGTTAGCTTTAGTAAATTTGTGTCACCGCTCCTTCATCATAATAGTGTTTCCAGGGCGAGTGCATATAACACTGTACGGCCAGTTGGCCACACACCCTGGAAAGACTTACGGCATGTTCGATTGGTAAGGATAGGGATCCAGATCTCAGATCCGTCGGATCCTTCAGAGTCAACTGAACACTTATTTTGGACCTTGACTGTTACCATGTTGACGAAGTAATAAAATGGCGCTCACAAGTCACCCAAAAGGGTGAAAGTCGTACTCATCGCGCGCGCGCGCGCGCCCGCGTCGTACAAAAAGTCAACAAGCTCTATCTCGATCCACGTGTGCGTACCACAATGTGTACAAAATGACTTTTAAAGGGGAAGTTAAGGCAAAAATTAACTTTTCACCAGTTGTAGTCTTCGGGGTGCTGAGTCGAATGGTCTTGGTCCGAGAAAGCTGAGACGCTCCTTTCCTACTTGAATCCCAATCGAACTCGCGCACTTAAACCGAAACTGGGTGACTGCGCCCTACTAGATGGGGATTTGTATGCAAAATGTCACTAAAAGCGCCATTTCGGTCTTATAAAAGCACGGATGACCGCGATTGGCCCATATGTTGTAGTCTTTTGGACGCTGAGTCGACTGGCTTTGGTCCGAAAAGGCTGCGATGCAGCGTTCCTCCTTTATTCCCAATTGAACATGGTTGAACAAGTGGTCACGTGCTCCTGGGTGCCCAAATCACCTGGTCACCACGCCAGCAGGCGACAACTTTCACACCAAGGTGGTTCAACTCGAGTTCAACTCGAGTGACAGGACTGCACCCAAAAAAGGTCAAACAGGCTAGTAAGTTGTACCCTGCAGGCACGGTGACCAGGTGACTGGTGTACGCAGGAGCACGTGACCGCTTGTTCAACCATGTTCGATTGGGAATAAAGGAGGAACGCTGCATCGCAGCCTTTTCGGACCAAAACCAGTCGACTCAGCGTCCAAAAGACTACAACATATTGGCCAATCGCGGTCATCCGTGCTTTTATAAGACCGAAATGGCGCTTTTAGTGACATTTTGCATACAAATCCCCATCTAGACGGGCGCAGTCACCCAGTTTCGGTGGAAGTTCGCGAGTTCGATTGGGATTCAAGTAGGAAGGGAGCGTCTCAGCTTTCTCGGACCAAGACCATTCGACTCAGCACCCCGAAGACTACAGCTGGTGAAATTTTAATTTTTGCCTTAACTTCCCCTTTAAACGCCATATACGCACAAAGGTCATAATTATTTGGATCCGTTGGATCCGGTCAACCCTGCTCCCCAAGGTGGGTTGACTAGATCCGGATTCGACCAATCGAAAGGGTGCGAATCCAGTGGATCCGGTGGATCGGGATCCCAATCCTACCAATCGAACATGCCCTTAGAGTCTATGTGTGTTGTATGCAAGAAAGTTACATTGATCATTTTCTCTTTGCCTGTGTGCCTTTTCTCTTCTGAATGATTGTAGGGACAGGGGATCCAGTCAGTGGAAACAGCAGCTCCCCCTCACCTGGAAATAGTCCAAATCGGATCAGAGTCGAGTCTGATGAGGGAAACACTAGCAGGTACGAAGCAGTAAATCCCAGCAGTGGCCGTCATGCCACAAGATCACTCACCCTTTCTCTGCTCAGTGACAGCAATTCTGATGGAAGGTTGTCTGCAGAGACGCAAAGACAAACGGTTGCCGACCATGTCCCAACCACCGTCCCCATGCCATTGATCCTACAGCACCCACCATTAGAACTTTGCCTGACAGCCGGTAGTAGATTACAGCTACACTGTAAAGCAGCTGAATCAACAGGTCATGGAGAAACAGCAGCAGCAGCACCAGCAGCAGCAGTGTACCAGTGGTATCGTGTGACTCCGTCAGAGTTGGAAACGCATACACTGGACAACTGCACTGCGGAACACTTGGAAACGACAGTGAGCAGTCACGCAAGTCATAGTGGAATGTATTATTGCCGGGTCACTGTGGGACAACAGAAAGCATACAGTCAGCCATGCTCTGTACTCGTCATGGAAGACTAAGATGTCATCACGCATATTTCTACCGTGCGTGCTCATAGTCTTGGGATCATCCTAATAAAGTTATTATTATTATTATTACGAAGTAGTGGTTGCGACTTCGGCGATGATTTGTACGAAAGGGTTTGCTCCCCACACCGGAGCTCGTGCTATTCCGCCGACTTTGCTTGACACTTGACTGACTGACTGACTTGACAGGTTTGCCGAGTCGAAGGTTCGATGGACTTCTCGTGTGCTCTGGATGGCAGTCGTGAGTCAGTCAAGTGTCAAGTAAAGTCGGCGGAATAGCGCGAGCTCCGGTGTGGGGAGCAAACCCTTTCTTCTTCTTCTTTATTATTATTACAGTCAGTATCGCCTATAGCGTGGGTGTTTGATTTTGAGCATTTTATCACTATAAGCGATATATCACTATGACCGATACTGCATGCAATGTATGCGAGTGGGGTGTCAAACGACTCAGGGCGCCGTGCACATACGCACTGCATAGCTGGCTACAGCTCATGTCACACAACATGAGCATTTCCTCGCGATGGAGGCATATTTGGCAACTTGTACAAGCAGAACTCACCAAACAACACTGGACAAGTTAGTTCTTCACGAAGAAGTAACACCCTGTTCTCCTCTGACACCACTTGATTTTACATCAATCACTATAATCGATGCAAAAATAAAGTAACAAAGGTCTTTTGAAAGAAGAATTTGATCACTATAGGCGATATATTACTATAGACGATTATTACTATACGCGATAACTGTGTATACTTAGTTATGGCAAATGAAAATGAATTTGAGAAATTGATCACTATATCCGGTATATTACTATAGCCGCCAACCTTATAGGCGACACGTACTGTATTAACTTAGAAGTAAGTTGCGACTTCGGCGGTAATACTAATAGTCATGAAGTAAGTTGGTTGCTCCAACGAAGAGCACACGCTTCTTGCCGAACTTGACTGACTCACGACTGCCATCCGGAGCACACGAGGAGCACGTCGCACCTTCCGCTCGGCAAACCTGAAAGAAAGCACCACTCCCTGCTCAATACACAGTGTTTCGGGGAACTCACCCCTCATCAGTTGAGCTTGAGTAGGCTGAGGAAGATTGTGCCTGAAAAGCACCACTTAAAAATAATTATACTGCTCTCCAGGCCAAACCATCACCAGGGATACAAACTTACAGAGACGCTTTGTTTCCAGCGCGACAAACACCTCGTGAAGCCCCAGGTAGCAGCGCGAGTTATTATTATTACTATTCTAGCGGTACAGTATCATCCAGAACAGGACGCACAGTACCGTGTACCCATCATAACAATTCAAGCCCTTCCCTATTCACTCAACAAATGAAATGGCAGTTTGTATTTGTACCCAGTGTGGGAATATTCAAAAATGCTGTGCACACACCGCACCACCGTACTACTTCTCGTATTGTTAACACGTGCAAATCTCATCAAGCATACAAAGGCTCAGTGGCAAACTCCTGCCACAAGCACAAGAACTACGTTTTGAGCAACAAGGACGCGTGCCATGCGTTAGTAATATAGAAAGGCTACTCCTGCTATGTACACGTGGGCTGGAGACGGAATTGGTAGACTAGCAGAGGAAGGGGCTAGGAACGTGCTAGTCAAAGTAAAGAGGCGTTGAGGCGTAAAACAAGAACTAGTAGCAAACAGACGGCGGCAAGAGAAGTTGAAGAAAAAAAGAATGGGTTAGTGACAATCTCAGTATAGACAACAACGTTGAGTACGGTAAGGAAACAACAACAGCAGAGGAATTCTCCGCACTAAAACACTGGGTTGTCCAGGCAGCCAGGCAACGCCAGCAGCAACAGCAGCAGCGGAGACAGGGGGTCTGTCCCAGAATAAATAATCAGGCCTGCTGCAGACCTGTCACGGTACGAGGCAAGCAGAGGCGGCTATGAGACAGAATGGGGACGGGGAGGGCAGCATAGTGGGACGGTGGTAGGTACTTGTCCCATAGTATATTGTGGCCACCGATAGAAGATAAAACAAAACACGCGAACATAGGATGGTAACCAAAATACTGCTTGGTGTTTACTAGTAGATGAGCGGCAGCTACAGCTGCAACGCTAGGAATAGGAGCAGCTCTATCACTGACTTGGGATAATGATCCATATCATACTTTGTACATACAAAACGGTGTACACTACACTAATAACAAGCAATACACAAAGCTAGGAAAGGACACTGCTTGGAGAACAAGTACTAGTACATTGAAATAGGAATCTTTGTCACTCTGATTGGACCACGTACTGCTGAAGGATTGAGTTTAATAAGCGCCAGTCGCCTTGAAATACATGAACGTTGATCTGCTGGTTGCTGATATCATGCAGCTGCACACACGCACGCACACACACACAAACAAACACACGTATACACACACACACACACACACACAGTTGGACAAGGACCAATGTCAAGTTGTGTGCACAGGCGCACAGCTCCACGTGGTGCAGGACCAAGAGTGGATAAGGTTTATGACATAGACCAACGGATGCTAGTACCCATTCAGCACAGTTTGTCAAAGACCCGATTGAACCCATTACTACACATGGCATTGGGGATGCGTCTAGCAAACAGCTCCATTAATCAGCAACAATTGAAGACCCAGGAACACCAGTGTGAGCAGTGCGTAGAATTCCATTTCCAAGAATTAGCACCAGTACAGAGCCTCAAGAAGTAGTCTCAGATCGCACTCTAAGTGTATCTGAAAGAATTAAACACAACAGTCACAGCACACCTATACCATTAGGGGCACCTCAATAGTCGGTAGAAAGGAGAGCAAGGTTTTTTTTAACTCGCTTTGCTGTAGCCCCATGGTTTCTTTAGTGAACACAAGACAAAGTCCCAGGTCTGTGGAATAGTGCAGCATTCACAGCCACTGGACAAGTCAAAACCCACAGGTATCAATGCGTTACTAAAGGTAGGGACTAACTAAGAGTACTCACGTTTGGAAGAGGAGTCGCCCTTTCCCTGGCTTGATACGCGCTTCACTTCGTCCTTGTCTTTGCGGCTCTGATTGCGCTTGCCAAACAGCGTGCTCTTGGTGTGTGTAAGAGGCGGTGTGCTGACACTGCTATGGCTCATTGCCCTGAAACACAAACAAAAAAGACACACTCAATTTGAAACAGTGACGCTTATAGCCAGTGTCCACGTGCGTGCTTACGCGCGCGCGTGTGTGTGCAACTCACTGGGAAAATATGGGTTGGCGGTACGGTCATTGATGACTGGAGAAATGGGGTTATGGCGCCGGGTCCCAAGAATGGTGACCTTTGCTATTGTGATGACCGGTGTGACATCAGTTGACGCGCATCCTAGAAGATCAACTACAGGTTGTTGCCAGGGAGATTTTACTTGATTCTCAACAATTATGACTTCCGACACACACACACACACACATGCCCATCGCGGAAGCGATGATAGCGAACAGCTATGTTAGATATAGCACCTTGTGCTGGGATTACACCATTCAACACACACACACACACACACACACACACACACACACACACACACACACACACACACACACACACACACACACACACACACACAATACTGGTATAATACACTGGGTCGACTGTGATGGACAAACATGACATACCGGCTAAGGGAGGGCGATGTGTGTAGGTGTACCGACCCCAGTGACTGCGTCTGAGGAACTGAGCCAAGAACACTCGACAGACTGCTACGACTCTCCATGCTATCCGTCCGCGGTACTTGGCTCGGCGATGCCATGGACTGCGGCCGTACGGCATGCTTGGACAGACGCATGACCCAGTATTGCCGCTCGTCCACGGAGTTGGCCAAAATGAGCAGGTCACGACTGTTCACATCACCTACATGCATGTTAGTACACATAACACACACACACACACACGTATGCATGCACACAGGCATACACACGTATGCATACACACACACACACACACACACACACACACACACACACACACACACACACACACACACCACACACACACACAATGTGACACACAAAAGAGCATACACCCACAGGTTTACAATCACATGGCTTAAAACAGAACGTGCAGCACAAAGTGATATTTCTGTTGCAGAGAAAAACACAGCTGCTCACAGGCTCAACACTTCACGGTATGCTGTGTACGGAGCAACAAACGGAATTTTTTCAATGCTCAAACCTCTGTGACCAAAACGAGAACAAGAAGGATGTCGAGGTACGGCGCCATCAGAGCAACTCACCTATGCAGTCGAAGATTACGTCATCTTGCTTGTCAACATGGTCCTTATGACACTTGAGATGGCAACCTGCACATTACACATCAGTAGAAACAAAAAAAAGTGCGTTCAGGAATATGAGCACAGCAGAGTAGCTCAGTGTGTTGTATGTGGGGGGAGTGTAATAAATTCACGGCATGCGTCTGAAGGCAAACCGGGGCAGCAGAGCACCTCAACACGCAGTATTTCAGTAAGAAGCCAGAGAGCAAAGGCAGCACACTTACGATTACACTCATAAGATGAGTAGGTTTTGAGCAGCGCCCACTGGAGGGGTTTGTGACATGCATCACAGCTCGACGGAACATGCATCGGAATGGAAACAAACCGATGGCCCAGGTAATCGACCATTTTCTCCTGCACAACACCGTAGGAGTACAAGCAGAACAATAACATTCAAATACGGCTATACCTCACACTGTTCAGCCCAAACACACAGAATACTGGTAATGAAAAACTGAGAATGTGAAACAACAGAAGTTGCGCATGGCAAAGTTTAGTGAGGACTACGAAAATACTTTCGGTGCCGAGACCTTTTCCGGTCGAAGTTGCAGCAAGTTTATATGACCATTTGCCACTCAGGCGGTTATGTTGGAATACGACAAATTTTCGGTGTGCGCAACTTCTATACTTACACACGAGGAAAACTGGTAACTACTTCACTGAATTCTACTACACATAATTCGCAAGCAACGCAGCCACAGAACTGTCTCGCATTTCACATACGTCGGCATACAAAACCAGGCCATGCATCTGGGTTATGACAAGTGCAAGAGGCAAAGGAGAGAAAGAAATACGCCACTTACGCCGCCGACTTCCGTCACATGACTGATTGTCGATGCACCGGCACTGTGACTGTCTCCATAGTAGACCTGCACACAACAAGTGAGCAACAAGTGAGCAACAACAACAACAACAACAGCAACAACAACAACATTGAGAGGAAGATGGTCTTAGAGGTGTACCCCAACGATGCAACATTTCCGTTGGTTCTGTTATTTCGCCTAGGGTCCGTACGTACTCATCGATCGTTTTCGTGGGTAGGGGAGGGTCCGTGACGATAATTTATCAATACTGCTGGACGGCCCCTTACCTGGAATATTCTGGAGATGTCCTTCAGCTGAACACGAGATACACATGGGTCACCAGGGCTGACCGTACGGACACGATGAACTTGCCTGTAAGCCACGTGCATACAGTCACACAGGGCAATTATTAGTACAATTTCAAAATATCACCAAACAGGTTTTTAACGAAAAGTGCAACAAGATACGGGAGATTAGGGGGGGGGCAGCAGGTATATTATTGGCATAGCATACAGTTACACGCTACAAAGTGGCTTGATGACTACAGTGGGATTCAAACCCAAGCGTTTAGATTTGGTGTCCACTTCATCAGGCATGCAGCACTCCGGCGAGACTCCCTGCATTAACCCATCGCGTAAGCTGGAGGCTACCGAACACCAGACAGAGGCTTAGCCTAGCTAGGCACGGTCATAGACAACGGCACTTACGCAAAATCAATGGACATTACTGGCTCGTTCCTGTGCTGTTCATCGGGTGACTCGTAGAAGTTTATCAACATCTTGGTAAAGTCGACGTGTATGACCTGACCAAGGCACAAAGAAAGTATACAAACCGTTCAGACCAGTACATACAGGTGAGGAACTTGACCTCAGGATTGTACACATGTAAAGAACAGTATTAGTGAGCACAGACACGCGTGAGCATATTATGGCTTGTCGGAAAGGCCCACGGCACATAAGCACCGAAGAGCATGGCAAGGAGGCAAATACACAGAATGCCAATAGCTTACCTGGTCTTTCCAGCCGTGTTTGCGGATGTTCTTCGCATTCCTCGGCACCTTCATACTGGAGATGAGTTGATCTGAACAAGATGGAAATCAGCATTAACGGAAAATCTGTTATCATACTCGTACTCGAAAAAACAAATGCCTGCATGTCGGGAACAAAAGATAAACTACTCTGCAACGAAAAAGAGTCTTGCCAAGATCTATGAGGCACTGACGTGTTGCCAGTGGCGGATCAAGGGTTGGTCCGAACAGGTGGTCTGTCCTGAGTGATTCTGATATCCCCGATCAAGACCCAAATGCCCCCACCTCTCTCTCTACGTGTATACATGTACCAGTTGCTCGGCATGTCGGTGCTGGCAGGGCAGGGAAAAAAAGCAGCACATGATCCAACATACCTCCACCTCCTAAAGACGGAGAGAGCTGTGTAGATGGGGTGGCGCCACCTGCCGGTGTACAGGACCTATTGACTTCACTGCCGTGCTGAATAGCAGAGCGAACACGTTCAATTTCCTTTTCCCGATCCATCAACTCAGCCTGGGGAGCAGAAAAAGCACGTGCGAGACAGTCATGCCGATTACAGAGAGTTGCGTTGACAGAATACGTAGAGCCATGATTGTGAACTAGCACAATATACTACTGCTCAGCAGCTGCACACAACGAGCTGTTTCACACCCAACTAATGGTTACCAGCTGCAAGGCACTGCACGGCAGATAGTGCAGTACAGACTGCCACGGCCCACCATATCAATCAAACATTCACCCACGAAGAAAGGCAAGAAGGGGCCAATGCCACCGATTCCATCTAACTGACCTGCAGCTGCTTGCGCTGTTGCTGCTCCTCCGTTACTTGCTGCAAGGACAAAGAGACAAGCAGGACAACAGTGCCATCAACGGTGTTTCATCTCAAGCAATAGGTAACACAAAGCCACCATTATGCACATTATACAAATACCGGTAGGACGAAATAATGGTTCACGGCAAGTGAATAGCCAGGATAAGAAAGCTCACCGCTTGGATATCTGTCAAGTCCTTCTGGAAGGAGAAGACCATCTTGGAGTACTTGTCACGCTCCTACACAACATCAGGACCAAACAGACCAGAGCACAGCAACCTGCTGTCAATAACAGGACTACATGAACAACTGGGTGAGTCCACTATAAATGTACACGTGTATAATGTACATGAACACAGGAAAGTACTCGGACTGCAGTGTTGTCTGATTGAATATACCAACCTGTTGCAAGTCGCCCTTTAGTCGTCGGATTTCCTTCTCCTTCTTGCGCACGGCAGCGCTGTCATTATTGTTCTTGCCTATTCCCTTGATGGTACCACGCATATGTACCATTTCGGCAAGTTTGTTCACAGCCTGAACATAAAACACCAACAAAGATCACAATGAAAATGGTGCAAGGTAGATGGACGGATAGAGAGTCGGGCACGTCCAAAAATTCAACTGCCAGGGAAGTTTCTTCGACGACACAGAAGCCAAACACAAGAAACATGCACGAACACCAATACGTAATATGCAGCGTTGGCAATATCTAACAGCCAAATCAATAGAAATCATTCTTTATGGCCTACCTGAATCTTGAGAAGTTTCTCGGTTTCCAGCTGCTTCTTTAGCTTGGCCATCTCAACCTGATGATCTGGCAGGTTCTGATCCTCCTCTGCCTGCTTGGCCGCCACTACACAGCAGGACAAGGTACACAAGAGGCAGGAAAGTATGTGATACATATGTGCTCACACACTCTAGACCGCTACCGAAGGACGAATCTTTGCAAGTGGCAGCCACAGAGACGATAGATAGAGGAAACTTTCCACCCCAGCACTCACCCGCTGCTGCTTCGTTGAGCTTCTCCTGAAGATGGTCGCACTGAGCAATCACTTCGTCGCGCTCCCGTGCCAGATTGCTGACACGCTCGTTGAGATGATCTACTTGCTCCTCCAGCTGCATCAACAACAAACATGGCGTGACCAGGACACGATCAGTTCTGCCATCTCGATAAACATCACACTATAGTAACCTACTGAGCCTGTTCACATTGAAGATGTCTCAGTGTGGCTATATTCAACCAGGCCGCCACACACCTCAAAGAAGACAGGAAAAACGATACAATCACACCTGACAGTGGGATGGTGCGCAGCAGATCTAAAATCTTTAGAATTTAACACACGCTATACATGGGATAAACTATACAGTACAGGTACGCCATCAATCGAGGCATGAAAGACGTCTGACTGCCATACAAATAATAATACTACATCATACAGCTGACTGAGTCTGACCTGAGCCTGCTTAGTGCGGCCCTCTTGGTGTTGCGTGCGGGCGCGTGCTTCTGCCTCGTTCAGCCGTACTTCCCACATCATCTTGTCACGCTCAGCATCATTAACCTATCATAACAAAAAAGAGAAAGCCACATAGCCCGTTATATACACACACATCATTTACAACACAAGCAGAAGTGGAGGAGCTTTCAGACAGGCAAAAGATGCAGAAAGAAATCCCATCCCCTGTCGCCATTAGACTTGTCCGAGAAGAGCCACTTGCAGCAAAAGCATACCTGTTCATCGAGTTGCTCGATCCGCTGCTGGGCACTGTTATACTTGGCTGTCAACTTGTTCAACTTGGCAGAAGCAGTATCCCTGGAGATGTGTAGGCAAGAGAAACAAGAGATGGTATGAGCAGGGCTCAAAACTTGCCAAGTACATGTGTTGCTGCAGTACCAATACATGCACTGAAAAGCATAGCACAAACACTCCCATGCTACATGATGCACAGTATAGCAAACAACACACCAACACACACACGCACGTGCACACAAAGCGAGCTGCGCTAGGTAGCCAGTTACCTTTCGGTCTCCACGCTGCCTAGTTGCATTCGGACTGCAGAAAGTTGGCTATTCACTTCCGCAGCAGCAGCCTTCTGGTCAGCCAGCTCCTTCCTCGTCGAGGACTGACAAGACAAAGCAAAGAAAGAAACATTAGAACACAAGCATTACCCGGGGGTTCAGTGCGGTGGATGGAGTGGTTAGAATGTAGATAGAAGTGCCTGCAAGAAAGGATATACTAGTACCAGTTACCTGTAAGTCCTTTGCACTTTGATACCGGTATGCATACACGGCATTAACACCATTGACAGGAAAAGTAGCGTCCTTGCAGCGATAATTTTACTGGTACACTGTCACAAAAACAACAACAACGACCACTACGTACCACAAGATTGGTCTGGATTTCCACCTGCTCAGTGAGATTGCGGTTTGCTGTCTTGGATGCATCAGAACTGAAATGGACAGAAGACAAAGGATATAATATGACTCCATTAAACAACGAATGCAACCGTTGTACTATGAAATGGCAAGATTGGAAAGAGACCCCGTGCCCATATCAAACTCAATACAACCTCCAACAGAACATAGGAAAGGACATTTTTATGCTGCAGTACCCTCAGAACAAACACTGCCTTGCATACCTGCGCGTTACAGCTGCTTCTAATGTAGACTTTTCTCGTGTCAGGTCACGCACGGACTGCTGCAGCTGACGTTCCTTGGTGCGCCACGCCTGCTGGGCGCTCTCCAGCTGCTTGATCTCGGCCTGCAGTTTAGAGCGGCGATGTGCCTCCTGCTCCACCTGTTCGGAGAGTTCACGCACCTGCAAAAGCAAGACACACGCACACACCATGTGCACAAGGAGGGAAAACAAAGTCAAGATCATAAAACGCAAAACAGCAGTACAACAGGAATCAAACATGGAGACACAAACACAAAACAGACTTGACATGAAGGAAGAAATGACACACCGGAACATAACGAAATCCCACAATAACCCAGTTAGCCAGGGAACTCACCTTGCTGATTGTTCTTGATGATGATTGTTCCATGCGCTGTAGATTCTGTTGAGCGTCCTTGAAGTCACCCATCAGCACGGTCAGCTCTCGCTCAGCCTCGGCACGCCGGCTTTCAGCGTCTTTTCTCTTCGCAATCTCCTCATCCAAGGACTTCTTCATACCTGCACAGGAAGCCAGAAGGAAACACTTGTGTTATGACGGATCACCACTTCCATGCATATCATCACCGAAACCACACGTACACTTGTATGCATACCCCCTCCCCCCACACATACACAAGCCTGCACATGTGATTCGCTAAGAGACAGCGAGTGACTGGGACTTACGTAGGACTTCTTCAGAGCTAGTCGCGCTCTTCTTCTCCTTCGACGCATTCTGAAGCTCTTCCTGAAAGGCAAAAGATAAGACACCAGATGCTATAGACACAATGCCAACTTGAAGAGAAGAGGGAACAGTGAAGAGATAGAGTGATAACAAACTGAAGCATGCCAGCGGAAAAGGTAGAATTATCAAATATAGCACGAGCTGCATGAGCAGCATACCGATCTGAAAAGGACTGCCCATGCTGGACACAGCGACTTACCTGGAGGCCTTTGATAATCTCATCAGATTTCTGAGTCTGCATCGTCAATTCATACGCAACGTTGGCTTTTTCCTACGATACACACACAAACATGGAAACATGAACGTTGAATGTTGCAAGGACACCAAAAATACCCAGCACATTCATCACTGCTATTCAGCACTACAACAGGAAACACCGGCAAGACAACTAGCACACGAGTGCTGGCGAGTTTGCAAGAATCCTTGCAGGCTCAACACCATACCTTGCGTAGATTCTTGATGTCCTCCTCAAGCTGTGCGAGCTGCTTGTTGCAGGTTGTTGTTACGTCCTGGCCGCGACGAATTTCAGTTTCCAGGGCAACTTTCTCATCTGCACACACCGAATACAGGCACAACAAGCGAGACAAGTCCACTGTCAAGCATAAAAAAACAATAATGTGAAAACTGGAAGGAGTCACTACTCAGACTTTTCGCTTTCGTAACTTTTGTTGCCAGATTTAAAATAGGGAGGAAATGTACTACGAAGGTGGTGCTGTACACTCTGGGTACATATCAAGAGAGTACTTGTACTACACGCATATGTGTACCCAAGGGAAGAGACAGGGAAGAATGCTGTGCGGACAAAAGCGCACATCATAGGTGAGCATGCTGTGCGGGGCCCAAGTGCACATGCACAGGAAAGCAAGCGCAAGTGTGCCAGAGGGCAGGCACGGGAAAGTATGCTACGCGTGCCCAAGAGCACAGGCACACGGCACATACTACTACGCACCTATACGTTATGAACAGGGGTGGTGGTGGTGGTGGTGGTAAAGAGGACCCCCAAAGACAAATCACACAGCATAATTAGCATACCTTCTAATGATGAGATGGCTGCCTGTAGCTTGCCAGTTGTGACCAGCTCTGCCTCATGCATCTCCTGCACGTTACGCAGCTCCTTCTCTGAATCCTATACACAGTGGGTAGAGTAGCAATACAGCATTCAGATGTACAAGTGTTAGCAATGGTTGCAAACCCCAATATCTTCCTACTACAAGTGATCATGCACATGTGTAATAACTGCCATGGCTATAAGAGCATCCTCACCTGCCAACAAGCAACTGACCGTGGAATTGAAACAATATACAATATACATAAATGGACAGACCAAAAACAAGACGGCGCCAGTGGAATTGCTTACCTCAAGCTGGTGAACCTTTGTTTGGAGAGTCTTGAGCTCAGCTTTCAGAGCAAGAGATTCCTGAATAATAGAATCACCACAAACAAACACAACCCATGTAGTGAAAAAAGCACATCACTACTAGCACTTGCAGGCAAGGCTAACACAAGTAGGGGGGGGGGGGGGGGGGGGGTATCACATGATATCAGCACCACAGACAAGTGCAGACAGGAGCACACCAAGCAAGGATGAATGCAATGAAGAATAGTATGCAGCTGCACAGCAAGTGATGTACAGTACCTCTGTCCGGTTCTTGTTGGCGGTTGTCAGATGAGAGCTGGCGTCCCTCTCCTCCTTCAAAGAACGCCGCGCATCTTCAAGCTACACAACATGCACAATACAAGATGGCAGAATTAGGTATTATACATGTTACACAATCCAGATACATGCAGAAAGCAACCAAGAACAATGCTCGAGTGTGATTCAATATCATTTACAAGCAGTTATTTTCACAATTTGTGGCACAGGTCACCAACATTTAGGCATTTCATCCATGCCTTCGGGGTTCTCTTGGCTTCACAATTCTGTATTTTTTATCAGAAGCTAAGTGTTGACTTAGTCCTGCAAGCCGAAAGTTCCTGAACACGCCTAGAAGCTTGGAATTGCAAAGCCCAGTTTGAGAGCAAACTAGAAGTCCACATGAAACTCACATACAGGCTCACAAATCTATGGTTTTGAAATGCGCTCAACGCATTTCATTGCAAGGCCACCCTTTCTTTTTTCGTTGTTTAACGTCCGCGCCCGCGTACCTTTTTGCCTCCGACCGGAAAAAAACCAAGAAAGTAGTAGTACCAATAATATGCGAAGTTGTAAATACATGATTGTGTAGTTTCACAGTGTGCCGATCATGACCTTAAACTTATAATCTTGCCTCCCGGGCATGCCTTTGTCTTGTGTTCTTTTTCTTTTTTTGTTGGCTTTTAAATATCGTACGGTGTGTGTCCTAGTAAAAATCCAGATGTAATGAATTCATGACATGCTAACTCCATGCTATGTACCTGTTTTGTTGGATTCATCAGGCATGTGCTCCAATGTACCATCAAAGAGTGTTGTTCTATGCCTGCAAGTGCCGTTAGACCCAGAAATATTGTATATATCACATGCTTTACTGGTCAAAATGTTTGATTGGGGTTTCCAGTTTTTGGAATGGGCTTTTGTTTGTTTTTTCGCCCTCCCGCGTACCTTTTCGCGAAAAAAAAGGACGTTAAACAATGAATTAACAAAGGGTGGCCTAATGTAACATTCGAGTCGTATCATACCAAGCTCATAAGGACTTCACACAGCTCCACGCTCAACGACATACGGAGACGCTCAACAAAAATGAAAGCACAGCATGCCAGTAGCACTGACCTCAGTTGTTAGCAAAGATGCCTTATCATTAGCAGCCAGGATTTCTTTGGTCATTGAGAGTCGCGCAGTGCTCTCGGCAGCCTCCAGGGAGAGTTCAAGCTGCAGGTGAACAAGTAACAAGAGGTCACATGAACTTAACCTTTCATAACACAAAGAGTCAGTGGAACAGACCATAAGAAAGTACTCATCTCAACAACATGATGGAACAGACAAGCGAGATACTAACACACGGACAGTACGTAGATACCAGTGACAACAGGGGTAGGGCATACCAAGTGACAAGGTTGTCATCTTTCCTGCAGACAATGGCAGAGTAGGAAAAGCTTACCTCCTCCTTAGCTTTCACTTCCTTTTGGTACAGAGTCTTGATCTAATGGGAGAAACACAGCCACAACAGGAAGGAACCAATTACAAAGACAGTTATAAAAAAGCCCAAACCAGAGTCCTGAAGCGAGCAAAAAATATACCACGTGCCCCCCAACACACACACATATACACACATGGCCATGCAACAACGCACCTCTTGCAAGCTCTTTAGCTGTGCACGCATCTCTGCCACCTCCAGCTGCTGAGCCTTTGCTTCAGATGTCAATTCGTCGATCTTGGTATTCTGCAGGACAGAGAAAGGCAGGCGTAACAATGAAGACGGCATGGTGGCAGCAATGAGGAGTGAACTACATGAACGATGGAAACTTGCACGACTTGACAAGAGGAACAGTACCGTAAAAGTCCGTAAATAAGTATGTATTTACTTTCGAATTTAGTGACCACACCCGTACTAACTTTCGGGCGGGTACTGACTTTCGGGCACGAACTAACTTTCAGACCTGACTTGTGTGTAGTGGAGAAGTCATTTACATGTAGATGTACATGCTACGTGCTGCATGTGCGCCTCGTACCGGTACTTATTTCGGGCAGTATGTTTATCGGGCTTGATTTGACTTCAACAGACAGAGCCAAAAGAATGAAGGGGGTATTTCTTTCGGGCAGGTACTTATTTACGGACTTTTACGGAATGGAACTCGACATGAAGGAATACGGATCAAGACAAAAAGCATGCGTACCTTCTGCTCCAGCTCTGTCGTAACCTGAGAAAGCTTCAGCCCAACGTCCCTGTAGCAAGAGAGAACAATAAGTCCCGAGACAAACAAGGTCATCAACAAGAGACAAATTGGGCTGCCTTCCAGACTGATTTCCACCTTGGCATGCATCGTGTCCAATTCAATCAACATCAGAGAGCATTCGCTAGCGCTAGACCACGGTCAATTCGAACACCGTACATCACGGCATGAACTGCCACTACAAGCACAATTCTCAACCATGACATGACCATTATGTTGCTGTAAGCCCACACAGCTACAGCACACACATAATGAATGTACCCAGAAAGAAAAAAACATACTTGGCTTTGGCCTCGATTTCGTTCTTCTCTTGAACAGCACGGCGTAGATCGGACACATCTCGTCCACTGATAGATTCGTTAGTCTACAGGCAGAAAAATACATTGAAGTACATGAAGACATGAATGCACGTCTTTGCTCGGTACATGTATGATTGCAATAACATTTCTTTCCTGGGGGACTTCCCCAGCGTTATCCCTTCAAATGTTTTCGAAAACAATCACAGCGTCATTTATGCATGGTTCACGTCATAATTTTCCAGCACAACAGAATAACACCCATGGCAGCAGAAGAAGAAAGACCGGTATCCAGTTACTTGCACTCACCAGAGACATTCCTCTCATAGTACGCGGCTCGCCACCCTTCACAATCCTGGATATACACACAAGCACACGAGCAGACACACATAAATGAGCCGCGCCACGACAAAAGGGTGCTTATGGCACGCTACATCAAACTGAGAAAAACTCGTTTGAAAGTTGAGTATGCACTTTTTCTTTTTGAATTCGATTAGTTTTCGTTGCGATTTATCAAGCTTTTTGAATGCGTTTTTTTTGCAACAGAAGCAGTGAGAATTCAGCCATTGCGCTGTGTCCATAACTCGGTTTGTGAAATTGTTGCCATAACCACCCTTTTGTCATGGTGCGGCTCAAATCCATGGCTAAAGGCCAATGCTGGAGAACAATCCTGAAGGAAGTAACGCTGTACACTCGACCTTCTCTTACTTGGGTGCCTGGGGCCCAAGAATGTCTGTTACTTACTGCACTGGCCTATCTGAGCTCTGCATAATCTCCACCATAAAGAACTATCGGTACTTGTGGCTAGTGAGAAAGGTGCAAAAGCTGTGGTTACTTTGTGCACAACCATAGGAAAGCAATGACGTGCATGTACATGAGGAATTTTGAAGTGCTGTGGGTGTGGACATGACCTGCACATTCTGGGCGAGAGGTGGTAGGTACTCTGGAGCGTTCTGCACTAGATTGCCTGGTTTCGGCATTCTGCTGTAACATCAGCTGGGACGTGACAGAGTGTGAAGGGTAGATCACATACGGCACGTGTACTTACGACTGCTCAGCCTTGTTGAATGTGAATCCGACAAAGGGCAGCTGGTTTCCTGCGAATGTCTGCACAATCATGAAAGAAAGAAGGAAAAATGTAAGTCAGTCGCAGTGCCACTTCTACCCAGAACAAACAAAATTAACGCTCTAACCTTTGGAACAGCAAATGACTCCTGGCCCTTATCTTCCTCATCGATGTCATCAAAATGCCGGGTGTCGGTTTCGTCAGAGAGCTCGGGAATAACAGGTGCGACAGCTGCATCAGCAAAGGGAGTGAACACAAACAGGTAGAATTTAAAAGCAGGAAAAGCGATGGCATGTACATGTATGCAGTGCGTAAACCATAATGGTCTGTATGCAAACTGGACCCTCGGGAATCTGACCGCTCTCGCGACAGTCCAAAATGGTCTCTGATTTCTGAGATGGTCCGGTGTATCGAAACGACCATCCAGACCATTGCACAAGATAGGCAGCAATAGTACTCCATGCAGAGCTGTTCACATCCTGACCATTATATACATGACACATGGTCGGGCCTAGCATCATGATTGCCATACAACTACACATTACTCAAGACACTGCAGTCATTCACAACACTATGAACATCAGCACCAGATTGCTAGACATTGGCCAGTACCAACTTGTGTCGTTGTACTACTGCAAAGTGGTCATATCGCAGTGCTGTTAAGTTATGCTCAGGCCCAGGCCCCTAGCTCCACCAGCCTGAACGTTTGAGAGTGGCCACAGTGGTGACAGTTGAGTGGGTACACTGTGGTCACACTTTTAACAACATTAGGTCATTTGGAACTCAAAAGGCACGCGGGGCTTATGGGAAAAAAAGCAATAGCGGTGTTCCTGGTTGCATGCTGGCTGCTTGAAGATGCCTTGAACACATATGTACTTGCAGCAACCAGTGTATCAACATTATGTTAGCACCAGGATAGCTCTACTGCTGGGACACCAGAGTGAGTCAGCTTTCTGGTCATCTTACCTTGGCGAATGTTTTCCCAGGTGAACTTGTGTGACTTGAAGAAAGGGTGAGCCCTGATTTTGTCAAATGCATACGTGCCCAGACGCGTCTCCCTGTACAGTCAGAGGAAATGGAGCATAGAAACAGGTACAAAAACAGTATTAAAACCAATGAGAAACAAACATTACAACAAAAAATGGAAGAACGATCGAAAGCCCAGTAACCCATAATAGTAGTAGGTAACTCGTGAGAAGCGTAACCTGCACAAGCAGGTGTATTCAAGGGATGACACTGACTCGGAGACACAAGAGCTGCCTTGCCACGCACACTGCAGTACCTAAACAAATCATATCTACCGCAATGGCTTTCATCTAAGTCTCGAAAGAACTCTGTAAGTCAGGAAACCGAAACTTCCACGACTCGCTCACTCAATGCTCCTTTTTATTGCTGTCACATGTCACCAAATTTTTGGGCATGGCTCATCACCGGGAAGATACAACTAAATGGCCCTGAAAGAAACTGGGTACTGTATAACATGTAATTTTCGGTGTAATTTTAATTTCGGTTTTTTCGGTAGAGAAACCAGGCACCTAAATTTAAATTACACCTAAAAGGCACTAGAGTATGCACTGTATGTGAAGGGTAGGCTGGTCACCTAATTCTACATTATACCTGAAACCTGGCAGGTCCCTGGTACCGAAATTTAAATACAGCTAAAATTACATGATATACAGTATTTATGATGGACCACGGATCAGATGTGACAACAGATACCGCGATTGGCAACACACAGGTCATAAACTTGACGAGCAGGTGAGAAGTATGTCAATTGGAGCGAGAGAGTAAACGTATTACTATGGAACCAGGTGAGACGAGCTTGAAAAAAGTGCTACAATGCAGTATACTTCCACAGGAACCAACCGAACATATAGTGTGATAATGTATCAAAGACTTGCAGGCAATACAATCATTACACTTATGCAGTTCACACTTTGTAAGTCCCCAAGCACAAACCAGGCTCTGAGCACGTTGCTCACTGCTCATGAATGAAAGTAACTCCATTACTTCATGGATACAAGTCACAAGGGGTTGGTGAGTGGCGAGAATCGATTCTGCCAGTACCTGAAAAGGTACTGGTGATTTCAGGTGTTGGTTCTCTCGTTTTCGCTCCAAGGTGCGCATAGTGCTTGTGCACCCTCCTCAGCAAACAAACACAGTGTGACCACAGTGTCAAGTGAGCGCAATCAGGGGAAAAACTGGGCAGTATGTGCTCCGAAAAAAGAAAGACCCCCCCCCCCCCCTAATATGCCTGACCCTCGAAACACACAACTCACCGTTCAGCTAGGAAGCCGTTTATGAGACTCTGGGCATTTTTCGAAATTTCCACATCAGACGGAAAAGAGAGGGCATTCTTGTGATCCATGATCTTGCCTGCACCAAAGACAAAGAACAGGTAAGAGCAATGGGGCAGAGCATTATTAGAGGACAGCTGATAATACCACTAGGCACAAGCGTACGGAAATGGTAAGGGAAACGAACCAAAGAAAGTCAGAACTGAGCAGTGTGCAAAGCAAAGCAGATGCATTTCACTTCAAACATGTGTACTGGAAAAGACAGCCACATGAAAAGTTGGAAGACAAGAGGGGATGCATGAAGGACACTGATTCAAGCTTTACGAGCTGAAACAGCACTCAGCGTGGTTTGAAATGCAACATGTACACTATTAAGGGGGCGTTCGTTTTTGATCTACAGGTTTGGGTAGAAACTACTTCTTTCGGTAGAGTTGTTCGTTTTTTTTGAAAAAAAATCTACTCAAACGGCTCTACCAGGAAAAAGTTGGTAGAATCCGGTAGAAGTTGGTAGAGCTACGGGATTTCCAGCAAGATCAATGATTTGCACACAACTCCATACAAAAAAAGAAACATTTCACGTACACATCGTGTAAACTACTGAATCCAGTAGAACAGCGTTCGTGCACTTGCCTCTACCATCTACCTCTATCGGTAGAGTGACTCTACTCTACTCTGCCAGGTAGCTAAAAACGAACGCAGCCTAAGCCTGGGCCCATCCCGGCACCACTTATAGTACCATTACTACAACAGAAAGAGGCTTACCATATGTGCCAACAAGCGAGTCCGAGTAGAATGGGGTATCACCTTGACAACATCAATGGAGAACATGGAAGAAGAGCTGATGAGCAGACAGATATGATTTCTCCTGATGTGCACCCATGATAACACTGCACCCAGATATCACGCATTAGAGACCCAAGAAAGATGTAGAAGGCAGCCACAGAAGGGGATAGCAAGGAAGGCTATTGGGAGTTACTCCTGCTGAAAAGGACTACAGTACTTGCACGATTCCCACAAATAATTCCCTCACCAAGACTACAGCTGAGCAAAACGGTTCAACAGAGGAAACACAACAGCGTACTTACCAACAAGCATTTCGTATAGCACAACGCCGACTGACCAGAAGTCACATTCGCGCCCGTAGTAGCCACCGCCACCCTGAGATTTCAACACCTGTGCAACAGACAATACAGAGACCAATACTCGCATATGTAGCCAACCTGCAGCTAACACTACAGAGCAGGACGGGCGCCTAACCCAAAACGGTTGAGTGACCGTGCTACGTGCACTGCATGCATGTGTACCAACACAGCAATAAGAATATGATACAGTAAAACCTGTAATGGTGACCACTCGGATAAGGCGACCACTCGACCATGGCGACCACTTTTCCTTGTCACGGACGCATTCACATTCAAAACAGCTCGAATAAGGCGACCACTTGCTCAACGCGACCGACGACCACCCACACACGACCGCTTTGCACAGTGCTAGTACATGTAAATGTACGTATTGCATCGTGCACCATGCATTGTAGATCTACACATCAGTGCAGGAAGTGTAGATGTACATGGTGCATGCACAACACTTGACAGGTCTGAGGACACCAGGCACATGAGTCGTGCTAGAGTAGCGTAGGTGTGTGCACTGTGATACACTGATCAAAATGATGTGTCGCATGCGGACATGGTCACGTGACCCACTGAACCTGGATAAGAAGACCACCTGGCCACGGCGACCACTTTTTCTCGTCCCTTGAGGGGTCGGTCGCCTTAGACAGGTTTCACTGTACGTGCAAGGAATTTGTGGAGGATCCATGCAGTTGGAAATGATAAAAAAGGGCCCTCCAGCATTGGAAAGTGCCGGTAGATGGAGTACTGCAGCAAGCCTGCGCATTACCTCAGGTGAAATATAGTCCGGTGTTCCAACAGCTGTGTCTGCTTTCACCATGCCTTTCTGCAATATGGAAGAGAGAGCAAGTAACACAATCAAAACCGAATAAACAGGACAATCAAAATCCTATACTCGCTGCAACAATGTGCAGCACACATGTGCTACAAACAAGTCGAGCTTTAGGTGCTTGACAAAACGACTTAGACCTTCCACGGTTTCATATAACAAAATCGATCAACGGCAAAGTATCATTACTCAGTCAATTTTTGGCATGGTTTTATATTGAAGTTCTAAACTAAAACAAGCACAGCAAACACACCTGAGAAAAGGCCAAAAACAGCAAATGTTCTCAAGCATGACGTTTTTGAGCACGGGTGAATATTCCGTAGTGAGATGCCGACCGTCTTGACTGCCCACCATTTCACAAAACACTCAGGGCTAATCCTATCCTTCACCACCAAAGTACATGTGGCTATGTTGCAGATTCGCTTACACTGTCCATCTTCATGCACGTTCCAAAGTCGGCAAGCTTCACGTGCCCGCTGCCGTCCAGCAGCATGTTGTCGGGCTTCACGTCTCGGTGAATGAAACCCATCGAGTGGATCTTGTCCAGTGCCAGGCAAACTTCAGCGATGTAGAACTGTGCCCACTCCTCAGGTATATCATAGTTAGACATCAAGTTGACAAGATCGCCACCTTTTCAAACAGAAGAACATGCACACAGCAGAGACAGTTTTGAAGGAAGAACTTGACGCAATATATTTCAACATCATATCAGCCATGCATATTACCATGCTTCGTCAAAGTCACCTACAGATGTGTGCTATACCATGCCCAACTGTACAGTGGTGCAACGCCAGCAAAAGCCTACTGTATACAATCTGCAGTGTGCAGATCCGCAGCTAGCAATAGAAGTGATCGAGTGCCCTGTATTCCAGAGTAGGGCTGAAACGATTATACCGAATAATCGAGTACTCGTTTGATAACTCTAACGATCAAGCAATCGTTTAGATTACCGATTACGATTATTTTGCGTTTTTTAACCCTTTACCATCCGTGCGTACTTGAATCGATCTCTAGAGATCGATGGACATGCATACACTAAAACATTCGTAACTCGATCGATTCTTGTCGGAATGTAAAGAACTAAGTATCTAGAAAGAAGCCGAAGAGCCCAGCTTTCCATTGCAGCAATCAGTAAAGAGCTGCGATGTCGCATTCCAAAGATATGTCGCTCGACATTTCAGCTACGGCAAAAGTCGAATTTCTTTTCGAGTGACTGACCTTGAGCGGGGATTTTCCCCTCTCCTGACATGCTGAGTCACTTTGGCATGCTTTGATCACGTGGGCAGCATGAAAAGAAACTCAAGCAAAAAATTTGGAATGTTTACGATGAAGGAGCGAGAAATGGCTGGCGAGGAGAGAATTTCCTCGTATATCCAGCGATGGGGTGTATTCGAAGCTCCCTGGCGCTGGATATGTGATCTCGGTAGTGTCCTGTTTGAGCTCAATGTACGCAGCTCGTGGAGAGCTTTCCAGAATGCCCAAGATAGTGAAAATTGGTTGATTAGAACTGAAGATATTCTCAGAATAAGGTGAGAATTATTGCATTTGGGACTCCTGGGGAAATTTGGTCGGATGGTAAAGGGTTAAATTTTTAATTTCTTATACGCGCAGTGCATGCAGCGCAGAGTAGTACACAGTACTACACACTGCACGCGCTGCGTCGCAGCCGCTCAGGACGTAGAACGCGCAGTGCGAGTTCAAACATCGAATACAGTACAATATATAGTGTAGTACAACGAAGTTGGAGCATGAAGCTCGAGGTCAAGGTCGCGTCCGGTCTACATACATAACAGCACGCGTACAGTTCAGACTTCACGCGAGGAATTTTACTGGTTGGATTTTTGGCCATTCCACGTACATATTCCAGGTGCGGCCTCTTAAAGATTATAATCGAATAATCGATCGTTATGATAAAGAGTAATCGATTGGGCTAAATGGATGATCGTTTCAGCCCTATTCCAGAGGTATACTAATAAACATGTACATGTACGTTGCAGAGCAACTTAAAATTCAGTTGCACTTCGTGCATGTCATGCAACTACAGTTGTGGCAAGTGAAATCCGACACTTGGCATAAGGGACTGCACCATGCAGTCTGCAGCCCCTGTAGCCCTGCATACGTAGTACATGTGTTACATACAACTTTATCTGTCTGATGACAAAACTCGTACTCATCACAGTCAAGGTTCAAAAGGTGCTGGAAAAATTTAAAAAATGAATGAGGATTGGATACCAGTACTCCTTATGTGTACCATGTTTGTGAACTGTGTGTATCTACGCTGTGACCTTTCGATCTGTTTGGGATGCATACGGCTCTATTGTACAAATTAGGTGCAGTGCATTACATCATTGGTGTCCATTTGGGGCGCTGTACCCTATGGCAAGTGTCGCATTTCACTTGCCACAACTGTACATGTTCGCGCCACAAACTTACAACTATGATGTACTCCAAGAATTTTACAACAACAGAACTTGCCCTGACACCGACATTGGAGCTTAGCCTATACCTAAACGTTCGTGTTCCAGACAACCACCAGATCAGCACCTAAGCAATGACTGAGTCAGAACCAGTATGCAGATGGTACAAGAGCTCACTTAACTACAACACAATATGCACTCGTAGATACATGTAATAGGCACTCATGCATGGGTATAACTTGAGGGTTGGAGACGTCATGGCCCAGCTTTGCACACATTACGTGCATACTAGTACATGTAGTGGACAGCACTAAAAGCTGACCTAAAACACATTTCACTTCTTACCAGGCATGTACTCCATCACCATATACAAAAACGTCAAGTCTTGGAATGCATAATGCAACTGCATAAGCAACAAGATCGGAAATACATTCACATGTCAGATGAACATGCCGAAACAAATACCAAGGCATGGTTTTCGAACTCGTGCGGGTTTGGGATCTGCCAGTGTGTACATTGTCACGCGGTAATCCACCCTAATAAATTACAGAAACCCTGAACGAAAAACACACTTGAAAACGAAAAACTGCAACTGGAAACGGATAGCTGAAAAATACGAAAATGTTCAGGGTTCCATGATTATTCTGCAAAGCAGGTTAAATTTTTCTGACTGGACTTTCAATGGAGAAATAGATGGTGCCAGAAGCACTATATATAGCCCACTGAAAACAGAGACATCAAGGCAGACGTCCAGAGAATCTGAATGCTCCACGGAGCCAAAATAGTTCAGAATCGATACGCAGCAGACTACACAAGTCAAATGGTTTACATGTAGAGCAGTGAAGACTTTCGCAGTCACCACACGCAGCCAGTACAACGCCAGCAGAAGTCACCCAGTCCTGATACAGCCCAGCGACTCACCTGAACAATCCATTCACTGCTTGCCTGCGCCATGATGTCCCGCTCTTCCCAAAAGAAGGCCGAGTCAGACCGCTTGACCTATACAACGCAAAGACGTGAGAGAACCGCCATAGATATGAGGAACAGCTACAGTCCACCGCTACCTAGCGTTGGTATGACCAAAAGAGGGCCTTTCCTATAGATGCATATTCACGGTGATAGGTAGTGATCTGGGAAAACATGCATGACAAACACCCTTCAGTAAATATAATTCCATGTAAATAGAGGAGTTCAAACAGTTCTGTACGCAGATTGTGTATTAGGAATCTACATACATAATATGGTGCTGGACCTGAAGTTAAACACTTTTCGTTGACACAAAAAGCAAGTAATGAACAAAAAAGGTTTGATGGCAACGCCGGCCAGTGCTCAGTCATACTGCCGTCTTTCAGCATCTGTCCGAAAATATGCTCCCTTCATAGATATACTTTGTAGCGCACCATGAACGGCACCTGAATATCTTGACAACTCATATCCCTTGAATATCCAGTAAAAATCGTTCGCAAACAATTGAAAACCCCTATGACCCTATGCAATGCCTGCTGACCCTATCACCTTTTAGATCGTTTGCTGGAGAACAGCATTATAAAAATGTGCATACAGCTGGCCGAGTATCGTGCACACACAGAAAAGCATTAATGCTTCGCACTACAGCGGACAGGTGGAACAAAGATCCGCATGCCCCCAGGTGTCAACATGCACCATACAGGTGCAACAGCAATCTTCATAGGCCCAGGTTTCAAAGTGTATTGCCTGGTCACAGGTGATCACGTGTACTTGGGTGCATTATTTATCCAAGACCTTGCACGTACTCGTTGTACATTACGGTAACAACACACACACGCGCGCGTGCGCACACACGCGCGAGCGTGCACACACACACACACACAAACAAACACACACACACACAATGCATGTAATGGAGCTTTGGACAATGTCACAGTAATGTCACACTTGTCATCAATGGTCAGGGAGGTTCGTACGAACAATGCTCAAGTCGATGTTACTGCGCTTCGTGACGCTTTGTCGCAGTACAGTGAAAGCACGGCTTAGCAGGTGTCACTCAAGAGAAGTAGGGCCAAGGCATGCTTGAGAACCTAAATTATTCATTTCCACAATTTGAAGGAACTTTACAAGAGAACGATATCAGTATGTGTACGAACTACGAAGAGAACCCTACTTGTAACCTGGGCCTTGCAACATCCGCGAACAGCTACAAGTACAAGCCGCGCGGTGATTTACGAACAATATGTCAAGCACGATCATGACAGCTTACACCGTGTTACAAAGCAATAAACTCGTAAAGTGAATTGAACGAACGCTCAATTTCAACTAACTTACCATTTCATATTTGCTGAGAAGTTTCAAAGCGAAAATCTTCTTGGTAGCTTTATGGCGGACCTACAAGGATATCGGCACCGAACAACAAACAATGCATTAGAACTAGATAAGAACTATTGGACAATATCGCTTAACTTTCAAAGATATTCCAAATTCTCACCAATTGGACTTCGCCAAAAGCTCCACGACCGATAACCTTGATCAGTTTGAAGTCATCCTTCGTCAAGCGAGCTTCATTGATGCGCCGAACTGGTTTCTCATCTGCAAATTACCAGGTGATCAGAAGGAAACAACAACGCAGGATTGAACGATATTCGTTGGACCCAGAGAGAATCCATATCTAAACTTACAACGATCCAAAAAATTCTCAACATTCTTGTTGCGGCGCATGCTGGGGAAATTGCAATCATTCACCATCGCCAACACTCCGTCCTGTTCCAACAAGCGACACACAAGAGAAAGAGGGAAGAGAGAGAGAGAGAGAGAGAGATGGTCACTGCCACTATTCCGGCCACTGGGTGTCACAGGCATCAGTTCGTACCAGCAAGGCATCAATATGAAAGACAGACACGGGATCGTGAACATCTTCATACAGGCGAACAAGCCTGTCTTTCGGTAACAAGGAATCCATTCCTCAACTTCAATATTCACAGCATTATTTAGAATAACTACTGGAGAAGGAAACTGCCCGGAGAAGGGGAGCAATGCTGAAGAATTATTGTCTAGCCTCCTTTACAACTTCTTTCTCCGCCAGATGAAAACTTCCTGTACACTGGATCGACGCCCAACCTGCGCCGCCACAGCCGCAATGAACGACCGCGCGAAGGGGCCAAGCCTTCGCTGACTAGCTTCTCACCAAAGCTATGGATCACTACAAGTTCATGGTAGGCTAAAAAGAAGAAGGGCCATCAGAAGGTCCAAAACGTGAAGAAATGAAAACGGCCAGATCCCGAAAATATTTTGACACGTTTTCCTGGCACTGTCGCAGGCCATGCAGCTCGATGCTCGATCTCGGGCTCACACCAACTCACTGCACTGACTCACTTCACTCCGCGATCCGATCACAAACAGAACTGCTGCACCATGCAGGGGGCTGTTGGGCTACAGTACAACTACTTGTACAAGTCAAGTCAGTCATACCATGCATGTACCAGTCCATTTCAACCCCGCTCTGGCTCTGTGCGCCGCATGCAGGGTCACAACGACTGACAAAGATCTACGTACGTAATACGTAACGTGATCGTGATGACATGACATACTACGCTAAAATAATGTAAAACGAATGATCAAGTCGAAGTCGCGTTGAGTCACGATCACGTCGATCTACTTTTTCAAGTAACGTTAGTTTTGTACGACTAGTAGTATGACTCTATGAGCTCGCGTGCTACGCGCCGCGGGTACGGGTGGCACGCGTAGATCTACGCGGACGTCGCAAACGGACAAGTGGCCAATGAAAAACGTAAAATAAAAATTAATGTTTGGCACCTATGAAATCAGGGGCCCGGGCCGCGGGCCGGGATGGCCCACGCCTGGTAAAAAAATGCAACTACAATGTAAACCATGGTATGATCTCTTGATGACATGCAGGGAGTCGTCAAACGAGAGAGCTGGAAGCTCAGGGCCCTACGCTATGCTTTTATGCTTTTTTGCCTAGCTCATCGTACATGTTATAAATATAAGAACTGATGGAATTGTCTTTTTCCGTTGGTTGGCCACATCACTGTATTGCAAAAACGTTTCAATCGGTTTGAATATTATGAGTTAGGCAAAAGTATTTGCAGAATTTATTGCGGATTGTTATTTCTCTAATAATCATCTACTTTTGTTTTGCTCCTTCTTTAATTTTTATCTCCTTATATTGTAAATCAACAAATTTTGGCCGAAGAGAAATAGAAACCTCTCGATTAAGAGAGGTTAAGATGCACGTTATTTCCGACGTGACGCGCAGTTTCACGTCAAATTTGAAATCGATCGGTATTTTTGCTCTCACATGCATCCATTGCTCAATCATGCATCATTTGCCTATATGACAAACGTTGGCCTGCGATTTACTTTGGCCGGTTGGTACCAAGCGGCGAAATCAGCGAAATTAAATCGCCAGCGAACATTAGTTGATTTTAATACAGGAATCGGATTTTCTGGCCTTTTTGTAGTAATACATGTACATAATCATTGACCTGTTGAGCCAATGACGACGCGGAATGCATGGTTGCCTGTGGAGCACATAGTCATTACATAACTTTACAGTCTCCTAAAATACGTATCCTGTCCGACGGCAAAAGAGGCTGCAGATTTAGTTTTTCTGCGCGTCGACGGGATGTCTGCGACGCGAAAGTTCAGCTCGCGTTATTTGGCTCGCACGTCGAAAAAAATCAACGCGAGTGACCTGCTGCTCACGTCGAAATTTGGACATTAGGGAGGTTCTGCTCTACGTTTTGGGAACGCGACGCAAAGAATCACGCGAACTTTCTTCGCGTTCCCGTAACGTAAAGAAATGCTGTTCTGCTCTACGTTTCACCTAGAGAAGTCACGTGGAATGTGTACTGGGAATTTCCCCTTCCATATTTGGCAGATTTCTGCATGCAGTTGATCGATACCCAGCAAATCCGTACGCATTTTCTCTGCGTGTGCCACAACGTAGAGAACCCCATCTCCGCGTAGAAATCTGGAGCCAAAACACGCGAAGCCGTAGACTCTAACCCAGACACCTGCTCTCTACGTGATTTCTCTACGTTTCACGTATAGCAGAACCTCCCTATTACATAACTTTACAGTCTCCTATATAAATACGTATCTTGTTCGACGGCAAAAGAGGCTGCAGATTTAGTTTTCTGCGCGTCGACGGGATGTCTGTCCTGACGTTTACTGGGACCGGCGCTGACTCTGCCGATCACGGGCGTTCTGGACTCGACGGGATGTCTGTCCTGACGTTTCCTGGCACCGGGTTAGACTCTGCCGATCACGGGCGTTCTGGACTCAACGGGATTTCTGTCCTGACGTTGCCTGGGACCGCCGGACTCTACCGATCACGGGCGTTCTGGAGTCGACGGGATCTCTCTTCCGACGTTTCCTGTGACCGGCACTGAATCGCTCGTTCACGCTTATTTTGGAGACGACGGGATCTCTCTTCCAAAGTATGTTTATGCTGACGCATCCTATCACCTAATCGGCGTCTATTCTAATTTAATTTCCTCCTCGTCTCCCTATTTCTTTCCAAATCAGGGAGTCAGGGAGTCGTATGCATAATACGACGAATATTGGTACGGTACGGGACAGATACAGGAGCCCGCAAATATTGTGGACAGCTGTTATGTACAATCCTGTAGAGCCTTTGTAGTCACAGATACGGGACAGATACGGGATAGCGCCAGGCGTGACACAAACAAACAAACAAACAAACAAACAAACAAACAAACAAACACACAAACACACAAACACCAAATTAAAGCTGTGTGGACCCTGGCTAGCGCCAGACGTTACTGAAGTAACGTCTTCTGCATAGCTACGGGAATAAATAGGTATTTGACGACTCCCTGATGACATGTATTACATGTACAAGGCCATTTTATTGTAGGGCAACACCAGGGAGTCGTCAAGTATTTGACGACTCCCTCACAACACTGCCTGTTTGTTATTCGACATTAAAAACCAATCCAATCCAATATCTTGGCAGATAGTAAAAGATGGTGAAAGGATCGATCATAGAGATCAAAGAGAGAAGGAAAACTAATGCGTAATGGGATCGGCAAACAGCAACCTCAGCGGAAGAAGTGGGGATGTACAAGTGGCCAATGACTATGTATGTCTCTGATTATGATCTGAGATCTACTCGAGAGTCGAGTAAGATTTTGTTTGAAAAATTGAAATGAAAAAAGGAAGAAAAAACCCAGGGTCGACCGGTACACGGTCGCGCATATCGATCGAGCGAGCGCGGAAATCTGCATGAGCATCAGAAAAGAAGAGGGAGTCGTAAAATACCGGTATCTTACGACTCCCTGGGAAAAACAGTAAACACGTAAATCTAGTCACGTGTCTGAGCTGTGATGACGTAGCGCAGTGTCGATAGGGAAGAAAAAAACTTTGAAAAAAGGCAAGCTCACACAAAAGAAACCAGTTTGCACTGGATTCAGTTCAAAACATAAACAAGACTACCGTATTGTCATCAATTATTTTGTATGCATGTGGTGGTGTAGTATCTTCAGGAATCATTGGAGCTTCGTTCGATATCTGGCAAGCTAGTCAGGCTTCTCCTTCTATAACTCTAGCTATTTAGTAACACATCGGCTGCCGATGTCAGGACTCAACTATTGCTGCAATAACGTAGAAAGGCTCTTTCTTCCCCTCAGAGCATTGACGAAAAAGATTTGACAGCATCATTTCGTGCGAGTCACAAAATAGCATTTTCCTTTGGCCAGGAGTATGTTCAGCAACGCGCAGAATACAAATCAACCCGCGGCCAATCCCTTGAAAGATCTAGCGTTTCCGCAAGGGCCGTCTGACTCTATTAGTAATATAGAATTTAGTCCCAAAGCTGATCTTCTCGTTGGCAGTTCCTGGGATAACACGGTAAGCGTTACGCACAGTGCACTCACACAGTAGTGTAAATTAAATTTTGGCATGTGCAAGCCTTGCTTGATAGGTCGCCTTGTAACATGCTGTCATCGTCAAACATATTAATAACGAGAGAGCTTGGAAGCTCAGGGCCCTGCGCTATGCTTTGTTGCCTAGCTCATCGTGCATGTTGTTAGAACTGATGGAAATGCTTTTTCCTTTGATTAGCTAAATCATTGTTTTGCAAAAACGTTTCAATGAGATACTGAAGTACAAGTAACGTCTTCTGCATAGCTATGGGACCGGCGCTGACTCTGCCGATGACGGGCGTTCTGGAGTCGACGGGATGTCTGTCCTGACGTTTCCTGGGACCGGCGCTGACTCTGCCGATCACGGGCGTTCTTCTTCTTCTTCTTATTATTATTATTATACTGACGGCAACTAACATCCATTCTGATTGCATTTACTCGTCTCCCTACTTCGTATTTCTTTCCAGAAAATCTCCCCATACAGCAGGGAGTCGTTTACATAATATGACTCCCTGCTATACATCTACATGACTGTATATACGTTATAATTATTATGCTATCGGCCTACATGCGATTTCCGGGCTGGTCGACAGGCGGCCCAGCCAGCCTGCTAGTGGGATCTCGGCCTCGCACACAAATCCACACAAAATTTAATGTTACTGCACTGAATGCATTCCCCCCATACACTTCGCATATATACTCATTCTCTTGATGGTACCGTACACTTGATGATACGGGACAGGTACGGGATAGCGCCAGGCATGTCGATGGCACAAACAAACAAAAATATTGTGGCCAGCTGTCTTTGCTGGTACGGTACAGTACGGGATAGATACAAAATAGCGCCAGGCGTGACACAAACAAACAAACACACAAACAAACACCAAATTAAAGCTGTGTGGACCCTGGCTAGCGCCAGACGTTACTGAAGTAACGTCTTCTGCATAGCTACGGGAATAAATGTGTATATCAGTGTGAATATGGCGATGTGTATTATCAAGAGTACATAACCCCAAGAGTGTGCAACTCTCATCTCCAAGCTATGAGTGCCCTGTGCGGCATGCTGCCTTCTTTACGTAGTGAAATGAAGAACGAGCTGCCTGGATCTGAGTTTTCCTACGGTTTAGTCTCCACGATGTCTGGCATTGCCTTGGAACTTACCATACCGTAAACGCCCATGTATACGCCCACTCGAAACAACGCCCACCCTCCGTGTACACGCCCAGTCAGGGGAAGTCAACAGTTTTGTTTCAAAATGGCGCCCATGCCCATGTATACGCCCAGGTGTGCTGACAATACCAGTACCGGTACTTACTGCTATGTTGTTGGATGTGTTTCGGGATCGCTTTTCGAAACCAGAACACTGTTTCTGGTTCATCGAAGCAGGGATACTGTATTTATATTTTGAAGTAGTGTGCATGCTCAGCTAAAAAATGAAATGGATACAGTTATTGGGCAAGGGGAGAATTTCAACATTTATATTTCAAGTATAAGCCCGAGTCCAAAATAACGCCCAGGAAATCAAGGCTGCTATTCTATACGCCTGGGACCTATCTCTTAATTAGCTAGATTCTATTATAGGATTTTGATCATATTTTTCAACTCAAAATGGGTGTGACACGAGCCTAGGGACAAATATGTGACCAATTCTTCCGTGTTAGGTCTTAGTAGATATGGAGAGTTGAATAAGATAATTTTTTCAAATGCTAACACCTATGGCTCATCTCCTTGCGCAATATTACTAAGGCCTGTGCCCTATTTTTCGAATCCTATATATAGGATTTGAGATTTTACTGGACCTTGTTTTATCCTTAAAACTGGTAGTTTAACGACGGCATGTGCGATATCAAGAGTACATGAAAACCAGAGTGTGCAGCTTGGGGCCTTTTCTGCTATGGGTGTCTGTCACGGCGAAATTCCGTGATATAAACATCATATTTGGCCCAGATCTGAGGCGGGAAATGGCGTAGTGCGTACAACTGAGCTGCAGTTGTGCAGAAAGAGACCTGCTTGAATCCTGCTTGTACGCACTACATCACTCAGGGGCGTAGGAGGGGTTTTGGAAGTGGTACGACCGAAGGTCGGTGCGCATGCGGCCGAAGGCCGTGTTCGAGGGGGGTCCGGGGACGTCCCCCGGGAAAATTTTGTAAAAAAGACACAAAATCCTGCGTTCTGGGAACTGCTGGCACACTCCTGGCGCAGTGTGCAGTCGAGTCGAGTACAGTAGGTCTACTCAGTACGACTGCAGATGCATGGCAGATCTACGAGTACGAGTCTATAAAAAGGTCAAAGTCTGATGCGCATATGCATCGATGGATCCTGATTTTTTTATTACGGTTTTGCACGTTTCGGACGGACCACACTTTTCGAAAAGTGGTACGGCCATGGTCGTAGCAGTCGTAGCGGGTGCTATGCCCCTGTCACTAAAATGATGTAATCACGTAATTCCGCCGTGACAGCCACCCATCCGAGCTGCACACTCTGGTTTTCATGTACTCTTGGCGATATGTCGTCATGAAACCACCCCGTGCCACACCTGTAATGTTCTTTGCACATTCACTGATTCAGTCCTTTCCATGACACCGGCAGCTTAACAATGCTGCTCAAAGTCCCAATTCTTGCTGAAAATGGGTATTCATGATGTCCTATGAATCTGAAAAGTAAACATTCATGCCTCAAACATATGTACAGCTTCTATGAAAACCATTACCGTAAAGTCGCGGATAAAAGCCGGGCTTATAAGCACATAAGCCGCTTTCTGCATCAGGCTTCAATGCAAACCAGGCTTGTATGCAAACCATCCTTATATGCACCACTGATATTTTTGCCAGGCTTGTATGCACATCGGCCGATCCGGGCTTGCATAGAAGCCAGGCTTCTACGCGCGACACGCGTAGATCTACCACTGACTACCGGTATGGCGGCAGTTTTACTATGCACTGTACATAGCGCATGCACTCTTGACCTACCCGATCCGCGCTTGCATAGAAGCCAGGCTTCTACGCGCGACAGGCTTATATGCATTTGACCCGTTTGATTTTCAGGCTTCTATCCGCGATGTGCTTGTATGCAAACCCGGCTTTTATCCGCGACTTTACGGTATGCCGTTATTATGGGCCATGAATGACTCATGATGACCAATAACAACGGCATAAAGGTTATACATTTTCAAATCCTATATATTAGTGCTGAAACGATTATATCGATTACTCGTTACTTACTCGATAAGAAATAGATCGAACGGTTATTTCGATTTTATCGGCTAAACGAGTAGAATGGTACTTACACTCGGTACGGGATTTCCCCCCTTTTGGGGGTCGCACAAAGCGTTCATGCACCGAAAGTGTTGCGAGTACGACACGAATATGTACATGATTGTACACTTGCAACATCGATGTACGTGTAAAAGTACAAGCGCGATCTGAGAAACGTCGACGCGATCACCGTCGCCGTCTTTTGAACTGACTACTAGCACTAAGTCTTAGTCTTTTCTTACATACATTTGCAACCAGTGCGTTGCCGCTGTCTTGTCTGTATTCGTCTGGTCAGTCCGAACAGCTGACGGACTTGTTGCGGGATCATCGGATCCATGCGCCCGCTTTCCGTCGTTGGCGATGTTGGACTCGTAAAATTTTTGAAATTCGCAGAATATACACGTACTGATGTACAGTGAAACCACCTGTCTGAGACGACCGCTGGAGGAACCTTCAAAACTTGGTCTTTGTTACCAGGTGGTCTCCTTATCCAGGGTTGTTTGACAGGAAATGGCATCCCCTCCTTCTAGTTTTAGTGGTCTTGTAGGACAGGTGGTTGCCTTATCCGAGTGGTCGCCTTGACAGGTTTCACTGTAGTTACAATAAAAATCGTTTAGCCGATAAGCCGATCGTTATGGTATCAGATAAGCCACTAAGGAAAAAACGTAATCGTTTCAGCACTACTATATATATATATATATATATATATAAGAAGGTACTGGTAGTTCTACAAGACTTACGTTGTCAAACACAACCGATTATTTTATTTGATCAGGGCGAATTTCACCGGTTGGTACTGTGCATGAAGTTGTCAGAAAGAAATTTAGTTTCGATTGCTACGATGATCAGCCTCATTTTTATCTCCTGCGCCGATTGATCTCCAAAAAGCTAGCTGTCCATAGATTGTGCACTGTGGACCTAGCTTTCAGAGCCCGTAACAGTCTTGTGGGCAAGACATTCCACATGATTTGTTTGTCAAAAAGTATTCTTTCTAGACCAAAGAGTGGTATATTTGATAACATTTAATAACGATAGAAATTTTTACGATACTTCTCCAGACGTTTCGTTGTTCTGAACAACATCGTCAGTGGATAAGAAGCTTATCCACTGACGATGTTGTTCAGAACAACGAAACGTCTGGAGAAGTATCGTAAAAATTTCTATCGTTATTAAATGTTATCAAATATACCACTCTTTGGTCTAGAAAGAATACTTTTTGATATTACAATGAGAGTGAATAATCAACGGCTTGTCCACCAACTCTATGATTTGTTTGCGTGAACGAAGAGTAGATCAAGCTCCCTTTACGTTACGGGAACACGAAGAGTATTTCCGGGATTCTTCGCGTCCCGTTCCCGTAATGTAGAGCAGAGTAGTACTATTGACTCCGCCGGTAGTGTTTGGCAGCTCCTTCCACGGTGGCCCTTACAGCCAATATGTGCAGTTGCCATCATGAGCTGGCTGCCACTGAATCAATCCATTTTGGTGTGTAATACTGTAATTTCACAAATTTTCGGTGTACTTTTATTTTCGGTACTTTCGGTGCATCTGTTTCATACTGAAGTACCTAAAATTTCAATACACCGCACAAGCACTAACACACATAATCCAATAGGGAACTGCTTCTTTGTACCTAAATTTTCTGTTCACCTAACCAGGCCTTTTGCCCTCATACCGAAAATATTGAGCACCGAAAATTTCTGAAATCAGAGTACTTCTACTACTCAGCGCTGTGCGTAAAATCCAGAGGTGTCCGTGCAAGTCTCAGTTTACCACTTTGCTCTTCCTCGAAGTTCATAATTTCTGTTACTCTCCATGGAATGTGTGTTCAGGTACGATGCTGGAATGTCGACAGATCCGCTGGCATCTCCATGCTCGGTCAGCAAAGCCATGATGGTCCCGTCCTGGATTGCGCGTGGCATCCGGTGAGTGGCGCGCGAGACCTGTTGTATCCCTGTAGCCTGTAGGCGCAGTGCACTTGTACTGCTCCTCCATTGCATTCACACTTTGCTCATGCGCGCGACTGGGTGCATCCCCGGATCGTGTTGACTTGAATTGAAGATATATGAAGTCAAGTCGGGACTGACTAGGGAGGATTATATGGCACGATGGATGTCGGAATCAGTGCGTGTAATGATATGATGTTTTAAGTCTCCTGTTGGTTTACTCCATATATGAATCTCCGAACTCAAAGTTACTTGTACTGTGAAATGGATAATGAATAGTATTGTAGAGGTTTTATCGATAGGAATGTTTTGGTAAACCTTTGTCTTTTTTGTTGTTGTATTCCTCGGCTCAGTATGCACTGTACTGCTTTCTGCCTTGTCTCTACAACAATTCATCACAAAATCGGGTTAGGGGCCATCCGTCAATATCAATATTTTTCATGGAACGAAAAAAGTTTAGTTACGGTATGGCCCTCCCCTACCCACCCACCCTCCGAAACAAAACAAAAATATATGGACTTGACAGCTCTCCTCGTTTCACCCATGACCTAACGTTCCGTGAAACAGATTGATAATAATGGACGACCCCTTAGTTTAGAAATCTCTAAAAAAAATCCCTGACAGTTTGACAGTATTTAAGTTAATGGGGTTCGATAGTTGCGTGTTCAGCACGCTTATGTGATCACCTATAGACCTAGCATCTGCTCTGTGCTGTGCTCTATTTGCAGGACGGCTCCAAGGTCTTCACTGGATCTGCGGATAAGACAGCAAAGATTTGGGACTTGCAGGCCAACCAGTCTATGGCCGTAGCTCAGGTAATTGTCTCCTCTTGGTTGCAACGACGTGGCAGATGTACAGCATCCTGGTACATGCCCTGAAACCCAGAAACTGCCCCACTGCGCCGCTTCAGGCTGCACATAGTGAAGCTAGCGCATGTCACGAAGGAGTGCCGTTACCGTATAATTGATCTCTGCTGCGTTGTTGTGGATGGCCTGGGGCTACCTATGACCAGTAAAGAGGGCTTCAGCGCAAAATTAATGCTGAGGAGATGCTGCTTCGTTCCCAAACTGACACAAACATGGTGGGATGTATTGATCCATTGGGGACCTCAGCGTAATGGGTAAGATGTGATCGTAATTGTATGTCCAACTGTCCCGTCCATGTGGTATTCCTGCAGCACGACGGTCCGATTAAATCAGTCAAGTGGATACAGGCACCAGGCTACCAGTGCCTCATGACTGGTAGTTGGGATAAGACACTGAAAGTAAGCGTCTGCCAATGCCACCCGTGTGTGTGAGTGTGTGTGTGTGCGTGTACGTGTGTGTGCGTGTGTGTATTCATGTGTGTGTGTGTGTGTGTGTGTGTGTGTGTGTGTGTGTGTGTATGTGTGTGTGTGTGTTTGTTGTGTGTGTGTGTGTTTGTGTGTGTGTGTGTGTGTGTGTGTGTGTTTGCCATGGGAAGTTTTCCTTTGAGGTTAGTATTTCTAGCTGGAATTAGCCTTTTGAAGCCATTAGACCGATTGCTATATGTATTTTTTGCTACAGTTTTCATCTACAGTGAAACCTGTGTTTGCTGGACCCTGCACAGGTCTACTCTCCACATATAACGTAATCTCTGGGACCACGCAAAAATTATGTTATATCGAGAGTTATGTTATGTAGAAACCCGTGTGTAAAAGACAAGATGTACCTCAACATGAAGGGTATTACAAGGCGGGTTCAACCGTGCAAACATATACACACTGTACCACCATCGACATCAGATACCATCAATGCCGCAGAATATACATGTATGCACAATAGGACTAAACTGGCTAGCTACGGTTACAGCTTACCGCGCACGTGAGTCTACGTTGTATCGAGAGTGCGCACGTCGAGGACCGCGCCGTAGGGTGCGTTATGCAGAGGTTTACGTTATGTAGGACTAAACTGGCATAAACTGCCTAGCTACAGCTACCGCTTGATCGTACCGTGCACATGAATTTATGTTGTATCGAGAGTGCGCACGTCGGGGACGCGCCGTAGCGTGTGTTATGTCGAGGTTTATGTTATGTAGGATTATGTTGTGTGGAGCAAAATTTGAGTGATGCTGTTTCAGCGCGGGATTTGATTTTGTTGTGTACTAGCGAGGTTTATGTACAAGTGAGAGCTGTTATATCGAGAGCAGACCTGTACCAAGCGGAATCCTGTATTGACCGGACAAATTTCCATGCACCAAAGTGCTGTGGATCGAACGTGCATCCCTGGATCAAGCGGATTCCTGTCACATGAGGACAGTTTCCACTGCACCAGGGCATCCGGCTAGGACAGTTTCCACTGCACCAGGGCATCCGGCTAGGACAGGTTTTGCTCTACTACAATGCATGCAATGGCTGGCGACCTGTCCAGACTGCTCCATTGAAAACGAGTCGCTAACATGGACACGGTTGTTTGCATTGTGTTGTCGTGTGTTTTCGGTTGAGCACTTTCTGTTTGTCTTGTTCATTTCAGTTCTGGGACACGAGGTCTCCCCAGCCGGTGCTCTCCTTCCAGCTGCCCGAACGCTGCTACGGTGCTGATGTGGTATGTAATGGACTTATGGTGTGGTTATAGTGCAGCGGAGCATGCATGTACAGTAAAACTCTTCTCGTCTCCCCAGTGTGTGTGTGTGTGTGTGTGTGTGTGTGTGTGTGTGTGTGTGCTCCCCAGATAACGGGCACTCCCGTCTACCGGGCGCCTTTCTCACCCAGCCTTTTTCAATATGGGGAGTTCTGTATTATCTGTGTGGCTTGGTCTCTGCAGTACTTGAGTACTGCTTTGCACTTGCGTGGCACCTGTGTTGAGTGACCACTGCTCCAAGCAACCACCTGTCTTTAGGTGCCGATCTTCTCGAGCAGCAGATTATTCCTCAACACTAGTACATGTACATAGATCTTGCCTACTCTGTGGTGAAAGACCACCTGCCTTTCAGGCCAGTTTATTTTGTTGCGCCATACAGTGGTTGCTAATTACTGATTTCATTGTACTTGTAAGAAACCATGGACCACTTGGACTTCGATTAGACACCGAGATTCTTGCCAAAGCAACTATCACGGTGTTTCTGTTCTGTATAGATAAGGCCGGAGGGGTTTGCGGCTAGTTAGAGCAGCTGATGGCTGATTGATTGGCAGATGTGTGTGTGTGTGTGTGTGTGTGCGTGCGTGCGTGTGTGTGTGTGTGTGTGTGTGTGTGTGTGTGTGTGTGTGTGTGTGTGTGTGTGTGTGTGTGTGTGTGTGTGTGTGTTCACATTGCATGATAGGTATATCCTCTAGCAGTGGTAATCACTGCTGGCCATGGAGTCCACTGCTATCAATTGGGGAATCAGCCATCCTATGTTAAGGTATGTGAATATCTTGTTTACAAAGAGAGGTTTGGCAAGCTGCTGGGAAAGTGCCTATTCACCGCCATGACTCGCACATGAGCAGAAATTTAAAGGGGAAGTTAAGCCTAAAATCAATTTTTCACCAGTTGTAGTCTTCAGGGTGCTGAGTCGAATGGTCGTGGTCCGAGGAAGCTGAGACGCTCCCTTCCTACTTTAATCCCAATCGAACTCACGCACTTCCACCGAAACTGGGTGACTGCGCCCTACTAGATGGGGATTTGTATGCAAAATGTCACTAAAAGCGCCATTTCGTTCTGATAAAAGCACGGATTACCGCGATTGGCCCATATGTTGTAGTCTTTTGGACGCTGAGTCGACTGGTTTTGGTCCGAAAAGGCTGCAATGCAGCGTTCGGCCCTTATTCCCAATCGAACATGGTTGAACAAGCGGTCACGTGCTCCTGCGTGCCTAAGTCACCTGGTCACCGCGCCAGCAGGCGACAACTTTCACACCAAGGTTCAACTCGAGTTCAACTCGAGTGACAGGACTGCACCCAAAAAAGGTCAAACTGGCTGTAAGTTGTACCCTGCAGGCACGGTGACCAGGTGACTGGTGTACGCAGGAGCATGTGACCGCTTGTTCAAGCATGTTCGATTGGGAATAAGGGCCGAACGCTGCATCGCAGCCTTTTCGGACCAAAACCAGTCGACTCAGCGTCCAAAAGACTACAACATATGGCCCGATCGCGGTCATCCGTGCTTTTATAAGAACGAAATGGCGCTTTTAGTGACATTTTGCATACAAATCCCCATCTAGGAGGGCGCAGTCACCCAGTTTCGGTGGAAGTACGCGAGTTCGATTGGGATTAAAGTAGGAAGGGAGCGTCTCAGCTTCCTCGGACCAAGACCATTCGACTCAGCACCCCGAAGACTACAACTGGTGAAATTTTGATTTTAGGCTTAACTTCCCCTTTAACGAGTAGTCCCAGGTTTTTATTATCAGCTGTTTGATGATTGCCTGGGATGAAACTTTAAGTTACGACGAATTCCAATTGGACCTCTTTCTTAAACAATTTGAATGCATTGTTTTTACATGCAATGAACTATCCGGACAGTTCTGCCAGATTTCTGCCCATATTTGTCCAGATAGGTGTGGTTGCTGGCAACTTGCTGCCCATATTTGTCCAGATAGGTGTGGTTGCTGGCAACTTGCTGCCCATATTTGTCCAGATAGGTGTGGTTGCTGGCAACTTGCTGCCCATATTTGTCCAGATAGGTGTGGTTGCTGGCAACTTGCTGCACATGATTGTATAGTACTGTAGGTGTGCAGTGTTTCTAGTCGCAGCTTGATCCTGCCTAGAATATTGTTTGGGCTATCTACTGAAGTATGCCGGTGGTCACTGTGCGCAGACAAGAATGATGCTCGAGTTGACTGTGCTTAGTGGATCACGTAACTGGCATGGCCTTAAATGAAGTGAGGACTGTATTACAGTTCTACCTCGTATTATCTGCTCTGCTGTAACACCATGCCGCCATTGTGTGCTTTCTCCTCGTTCTGCTGCAGGCAGTATCTACTATTCTAAGTCATCAGGTAAGAGCACCTCAACAGTGAGTGACTCTCATCACCTATATTGTGCAACTAACGTGGAGTGTGCTGTGTTGTGTAACACGGTGTGTGTCCCCCCCCCCCCCTCTCTCTCTCTCTCTCTCTCTCTCTCTCTTTCTCTCTTTCTCTCTCTTTCTTTTTTCTCTCTCTCTTACTCTCTCTCACTCTCTCTCTCTCTCTCTCTCTCTCTCTCTCTCTCTCACTCTCTCTCTCCTTCTTCCTCCCTCCTCCCTTTTTAATATTGTCCATTGATTGATCTATCTATGCACCATGTAGCTTCTGTGTTTATTCGTGTTAACGCAAGCGCAGTGTAGTAACATCCAGCTTTGTTTATGATGCTTCTCATTTCATCTTGTCTGTGCGTGTGTTCCCAGCTTCGCTGTGTGGCAATATGCTGTGACAAGACTAATGGTAATCCTATCGGTATGGCATTGGGATGCATAGAAGGTCGAGTGGCCATAGAGTATCCAGACAGTGGTCAGCAGAAGACAATGTAAGTTCTTGCCACACACACTGGTGGCCAGCAACTAATCAGAATACTCTGATTCTAGACTATTGTGTGGAATTCTCCATCTACTGCAGTAAGATAAGGACCTTGCGCATGACATGATCATGAGCAGAAGTTCTCTAGCTGGAAGCTCTGTGTTGTCTGGAGAAGGGAACTGATTTCATACCGATGCCCCCATCGCATTTTTCTGCAGTGGCTATCCCAGCTTGCTCTATGTGCTATCATCAACCTATGCCCGTACAGTAGTTTGTTCATTGTTTTTATTGTTAGCTCTCTTTGCTATGTTCTCTTGTGCGCTGCTTTGCTATGTGCTTTGCAGTGGAGTTTCGGGCAAGCCAGAGAACACCACTTTCCAGTTCAAATGTCATCGGCAGACTGAAGCCAATTCGTCCGTTCAGGATATCTATGCGGTATGTGTAACTGACTGGCTGACTTCACCATGCATGTTGCACACCATTTTTGTCACGGATGTTGGATGAATCTGACCATGATAATATCTTGACAGCTATCAAGACAGCTCTATATTATAGAGTTGTCTTGATAGCTGGTCAGTGGTATGTGTATGTGTGTGGACCATGCTGCTGCTGATCAGTGGTATCAAGAGTACATAACCCCCAGAGTGTGCAACGCCTGATCCAGCTCTGGATAGGGTAATTCTTTGTTGCCATCTTCAGGATAGGGTCTTGGTCGAGCGCAGTCGGATCTTCTGATGTCACGCGTGCACACCAGCGCACGGCCGGTCTCGAGGCAGGGCACCGTTGTTTTTGATCCGAGAGTACCCGCGACTCCCCAGGTTCCCCTCAGATGTGTACGGTATTATGACGCGAAGATCCGACTGCGCTCGACCAAGGCCCTATGCAGAGCTGGATCAGGCGTTGCACACTCTGGGGGGGGGGGGGGTATGTACTCTTGGTGGTATGTGTGTGAGCTTGTACTGCCCACGACCATCCTAACATTTACAGTACACTGTTTAAGAAAAGTAAAAGCTGGATAGTGGCCAAAAGTGGTGGATTGTATGTATTACGGGCCTGGTGGATTTATTGTTTTTCTAGAAATAGCAGTGGTCAGTAGTAGTCAATGTGCAGTGCCGAACAATACCTGCAGAAAGAGAGAAAAGAAAAGAAGGATCGGGGTGTCTGGGTGTATGTAGTTACTCTGCCACTATCTGGATTTCAAAACTCAAACGAAATTCGCAATCTACGAATGGCCCCTAGGCATCATAGTTTTGTATGACAAGTCGATTGCAAAGTAAACACACAATCTGCGTAAGCAGTGGTACTGCTACTGTGGCGGCGGCCTGCTGATTTGCTTGAGAGCAGGTCTCTAATGTAGCTGTGCCCCGATGTTCTTCCTGCAAAATAGGTCCATTGCATCAAGTTTCACCCAGTCCATCGCGGCCTGTTTGCGACGTGTGGTGCTGACGGGATGTTCAACTACTGGGATAAGGATGCTCGTGTCAAGTTAACAGTAAGTAGTCAAAGCCATAGACCCTTCCAGGGGCATAGTAGCCGGTGCAGCTTTGGCACCCCTTTTCGTCAAACAACCATGTGTTGTGTGCATGTAGTGAAGGGGGCATACCAATTCACACACACACACACACACACACGCACACACACCAATGCACTAGTGGTGAAACGAATATTCGAATATTCGAACATTCGTTCAGTTTGTCACATTCGAATATTCGTTAAGTCACATTCGAGTATTCGTTACGTCACTTCGAATGCAGTGCCTGTACCTACATGTACATGCACGCCGAACACGGTACAGTGCAGTGCGTACAGCCTGCCTGTGACTTTGTACTGTATGCATGCACATGTATGTCCATACTGGACTGCCAATGGTGCACATAACATGTATGAACTTCGAAGTAGCCTTATGTGGCAGTACATGTACATTTTATGTGGCACTACCGTTTGTCATACCTAATAATAATGACAGTATCCATCAAACGACTGGGAGGAGGGCATGTGATGTCATCTGTGTTACCAAAAGAATATTCGTTCTTTCGTTCGTTAAGCCGAAGAATATTCGGCTAGTAGGTTTGACATTCGTTTCACCACTACAACGCACACAATGTCGTTGTTTGAATAGGTGTGAATAGCATGTATTGCATTTCCTAACCATGTTCAGCTGGCCGAACCAGGTTGAAAAAGGGTGGGCTATGCACCAGCCCCTTGCACTGTACTATACATGCCACTGGGCATGCGGTGTTCGTCAGCAGGACTCTTTTCTGTGGTACGCCGCGTAGCTTTGATCCGAACACCTGTTCACCGGTACACATTTCCCACGGTGGAGTAATGTGCGTGCGCACATGTCCTCGTTCTGTTTCCCTACCTGTGTCTCTCTGTCTGTGCAGCAATCAGTCACGCAGCGTCAGCCATCGCCGGTTACAGCGGGCTGCTTCAATGCACGCGGTGATTTCTTCGCCTACGCAACTGGATACGACTGGTCAAAGGTATGCATGCCACACAATCAGAGTAGCAACAGTGCGCTATCTTGACTGGTGCCCCTTTTTATGTACTAACTTAGGCCACATTCACACTACGCAAAAGCAACTGCCTGCAAAAGTATGTTGAAGGCGACTTGAAAAAAAATCTGTTCACACACGATATATGCGATGCGCGTCACGTGATGCACTTTTTACGTTCGCGCTGACGAGTGTGTCATATAAATAATTATATCAACTCCACATTTTCTGGCGATCTGAACACACATCAAATTTTCGTTGATCGTTCTCAATTTGCCGTGGTGATATTGCAAGGAAATCTTCTTTGCTGACATGGATCGCCATGCCCGTGACAGATGTCGGCGGAGAGTTGCCGCAGCCCTTGCCATTTCTCCTTCTTTTTTTCCTACATCTCTTGTAGTGATCGTGGGCGTTCGTTTTCAAATTATCTACCTTGATGTGCACACTCGCCGCCGTGAACACGACAGCCTTGATGCTGAGGTGCTGGACGCAATTATTGAGTTTGGACGCGATCTGACGCTCTGCGACAGATCGCTTCATCATAGTGCCACTTTTCGTTCGCTGGTATTCGCCCCAGAGCTCAATGAGCCGACACTCCAGATCGTCGTTGAACAGAACCTTCGGCAGAACCTTCTGCATTTTGAAAATACTCTGGAACCAGTGGAAGAAAAATACAGTTTTATGCTGTCGACTTCTGCTTGAAAGAAAAAGTTGCCTTGTACAGGGGTACCGGAGTTGCAGAAACCTTTCAGGTAACTTTTATACTTTCGCGCCGAATTACCTAGGTTGCCAAGGAGAATGGCCTGAAAAATGGTCTATAACGCACTTTTTCAAGTAGTGTGAATGCGGCCTTACAAAGCAAGTAATTCGGTGAAGTCACGCAATACAGGGGCGTCACACACGGTACAACCATGGTCGTACATGTACCACTTTTTTTCCAGGATGGTCCGCCCAATTTGTCCAAAAAAGCAATAAAAGAGGGTTAAAACGTGCCCTGTTGGCCGCAAATTCAGAACTCTTTTTTTCCCGGGGGCCCTGGAATATGTACGTACATGTATGTGTGTGTGTGCGCTAGCCGCCATCGAATTGGCTGTGAACTGCACCTGTGGAATAGTGCACCGCCATTGTGCCATCGGGACGATTGTTTCGTGAGTACAGTGGAACCTGGCCTTACGACCACCTCACCGATCCCACCACTCTTGCTCGATCCTGAATTGCCCTCCATCAGCGTGCGTACCGGATGGTCTTTTTGAATTTTCACACAAATCCGACCACTTTGCCCGGTCCGAAAGGCGTTCGGAGTTCCGCGGTTGCACTGTATTCATAATTTTCTGGTGTGCTTGCTGCATGTATTTTGTATCATCCATTTTATTCCTTCTGACCTTTACCAATTGGCTGCTTCCTTCTTGCAGGGTCACGCACATACCAGTCAGAATGGATACAATGTGTACTTGCGCCAGTGTGACATCCAGCCAAGCAGCTCGAACAAGGGACGCAAATGAGGCGCTTCGCCGTCGCTCATACAATTCTCTCTCTCTAGCTGCCTGGTACTTGGTGCCGGTAGTGCATACACACAGGTAGACCTGGTGGCGCTAGTGTTGTGTGTGTGCGTGCGTGCGTGTGTGTGTGTGTGTGACCTGACCATCAGTGGTTGGCTGCTGTAACCGGACATGACCAGACATGTTCTTGCTGCTTGCACGCTTGTATGTGTGCGTCACATGACTTTTCTGATCCCCGTTGCTAACCATTCACAGTTTTAGCAGTGCCGTTTGCTCAGGGCTTGCTGATAGGCACTGGTGGAACTCAACTGATCGAACTGATCGTCTGATCGCTGCTGCGCTATGTATTGGTACACTGCCACATTGAGAAACGAATCTCTTACCACTACATCATCTGGTCATCTTGACTACTTTGCCATGTTGACGTCTCTGTACGCTTGTAGTTTTTAACCAACGATCTGTACATGTGGAGCTCACTCCTCTCTCCTTGCTTTCAGAATGCTGAATATATACATGTGCCTCATGTGAAGATGTGGCCCAGTGGCCCTTTGCACCGCTGCTTTATGTTTCAAGCAAGTTGTGGACGTGATGTGTGAATCTGTGTGTTGTGTGGTCTCTTGTCGTGTTGATTTAGTTTCCAAATATGTAATGCTTGATTATTTGGCACGTTGCTTTTTCCATCAAGTTCCTCTATCTCTGTCCGTCTGTCTGTCTCTTTCTTTTTCTGTCTGTTTCTCTCTCTCTCTCTCTCTCTCTCTCTCTCTCTCTCTCTCTCTCTCTCTCTCTCTCTCTCTCTCTCTCTCTCTCTCTCTCTCATCACCCCTCTTCCTGCTTTGCGGCACTGCCTGCTGTGAATGCAAGATTCGTATCTGAATACTGCACATTGCACCCTGTTGTGAAGAAAGAGTACTGGAGAAACAGTCAGTGTGTGTGTTTGGCTGGGTGTGGTGTGGTGGAGTGCATCAACGATGCAGCTAGTAGTATTGTGATGCCTGTACGGTCCCTGACTAGTCGACTTTGTTCCATTGGGACTCGATGGGCTGTTGCTGTGGGAGATTGCCGTATTCCCCTACACGTACTGCCGAGCCACACTAGTGTCATACTGGCACCCGCAGCATGGACAGAGCGTGCCAGTATCAAATATTTCATACACTCCCTCAGCAAAAGCACTTCTTGTGAAGATCAAAATGCGATACTGTAGTTAATGGAATTGAATTCATCCGGGGAGGGCTGGTGCCTGTCTTCAATCTCAGTATCTCACTATCTGTCTTGTATCTGATGTACTAATATCGTATGGCTGCACATGACTGTACTCTTGCCATGGCTAATATTTTACTTACTAGTAGCCTGTAAAAAATGCTCATGCAATCGTAAATTCCGCTAGGACCCTAAAGGTCTGACGTGGAATTAAGGTTGCATAAGGAGGTGAGGCTGAGAATGTGACAGTGTGTTAGGCCCAAAATCGCTCCGTTTTCATATAATTCATAGCGCTTTAAAGACAAACACATTCAACCTCATTTCCCGCCAAAACCAACCCTTCCCAGAATCTCTTTGGCCTTTCTGAGCCGTTTCTTGAATGGATTACTGTGACAGTGTTCTGGGGTATCACTGCACTGGGAGGGTGGGACACTGTCACATTCTCAGCCTCACCTCCTTATGCAACCTTAATTCCACGTCAGACCTTTAGGGTCCTAGCGGAATTTACGATTGCATTTCGGAGGCTCGGCCTTCGAATGTGACAGTGTGATTTTCAAAGACAAGGCTGAGACCAAATCCCAATACTTGCTCAAACATGTATTCTCCACAGTGATAGAGCTGGAAAAGCAATATTATAGCATTACAACCGTTGAACGTCATCCAGTGCAAACATGGACAACAGCACTCACTCCTCAGGGTAACTAGCCTGACAAGAGAAAACCTCCACACAATTTACGGCACCCTAAGTGATGCACAGACAGTGCCACTCATCCAGACTACATTATACATTGTACAATGTACATGAATGCAATGTTCGGATATTCCCACAAATACTAATACTGCAGTTGGGTTACTACCACGGATTGCACTATCAGTAGGTGAAACATAGGCACCCTCAGTCCGGAGAGGCAGCAGCTGAGTAGGGACAATGGAAGGATGATTATGAATGGCTGAGCTATTGAGCACAGCTTGTGACCATTATAGTGGGATACAAATGTATCAGGCTGGCTCCAATTGGCTGCCAGCTAGGCATCTGACATACAGATGACAGCCTGGAAAGCGGCTGCAGCTGAGGCGCCGCGAGTAGGTGTAATGAGCCTGGAAGGCTGGATCAATTCCCAAACAGAGACAATCTACCCTTCAGCCACTGTGCCAGAGTGGATGAGCCCACTGGTATGTGAGGAGCTGGGATTGCCAAGCCAGTGGTAGAATGCTGATTGCTCTGGTTTCAATCGAAATTTGGCTGTGCGGGCTCTAAATTCTCGAGCATAATCAACTACATTTGTAGGCTAGCCAGACTACCTAGTACTAGTAGTAGCTTGGGAACGAAGAATGAGTTTGGACTTCCGGACCTCTGAGCCTTTGTCGGCGAGGTAAGCTGAAACATCAAGTAGCACCTGCATTTAGTTGATATCCAATGAGGTCAGCTCAAATGATCGAGCTGACTTTGCAAACGCAAGTAGCATAATACTAGCATTACACACTAAGTCTTCCTGGACAGAAGGGGCACCCGAAGTTGAGCTTTCAGACCCAGAGGCCAGAGCACTACTCTTATCCTACATCATCTTCACGTCCCATGTGTTACCACACTATGGCTGTGGTGGTCGCTTTTGGTGATATCAAGAGTAGATAAACAAGAGTGTGCAACTCCGGATGGATTGGCCCACGGCGGAATTTTTTGTTGACGTAATCTTTTCGACGACGCACGCGCTGCGAGCCTTTTGGAGAGTTTTCCCTCGTGCACTTGGCTGGGCTTTACACTACAAGGTCGGTGCCCAGCACGTGCTCTCACACTGCTCTGCGGCAAAGCCGCGTTTCTCTGAAAAAAGGTGACGTAAACAAAAAATTCCGCCGTGGGCGCGGGGTATCTGCAGATTGTGCAGGAGAGATCCGGAGTTGCACACTCTTGTTTATCTACTCTTGGTGATATATACCACGCAGGACGCAACACACATGCAAGTCTTGGCTAAGGGGGAAACCGGATGGGTTAGGCAAGGGGGACGGCAGAGCTGACCGACACATGTTGATAGTGCGGTACTGCTTACCTTCGGAAACCTGATCAGCTAAGAAGTTAGCTAGTGAGGCAGCCATGTGATCTTCCTACCGTGCACCCAATCAGCTGTTCTATAATCGGAAGGCTGACTCGTATGAGACAGTAGGTCCGTCGCGTCTCCGTGTGGAGGCGTCTGCTGAAAGTCCCAGCTGAGCTGTAGTATGCCTGAGATGGTCCAAATGGCTAGCCGGAGGCCCTTCAGTGGATGTAGATTCTTCCCATGGATCAAGGAGCATAGGGTCGCGCTGTGGCAGCTGCCAAGAGCACTAGATCAACATCTGCAGCAAGAAGGGATAGAACCCTTGTACCAGCTAAACTAGAGCTACTAGAATTGCTCGCTGGATCCGATGTTCTCGGATGCAGCGTAGACACGCGTCCACCAAAACAAATGGTGGAAACAGGTAGCCGTTCCGCCACATGGCCGGCGGTGCCGTCAGGGCATCGGACCACTCTGCCACTTGGTCTTGGCCGTGGCTAGCTGATGTACGCCGGCAGCTGGCAATTGTGCCGCGTCACGAACAGATCTCGGACAATTGGATGGCCACTCTCCCTGATCAGCTGAACCAGCCCTGTAGAATTGGATTGAGCTGCCAATCGCCGCTCTCTTCAATGTTCCATGATAGAAAACCGGCCTCAGTGTTCAGGCGACCTGCACATGGAGGGCTTTGCGGTGTAACAGGCGCTGCTCGACTCAGGTCCAAATGTCCTTGGCTAGTTGGCATAGCTGATGAGAATATGAGTCTCGTATGTCCCGCCTTGGTGATCAACATAATTATGCAACTGCTGTTGTGTTGTCCATCTCTAGCCCAGCAATACTGTTATCAGTGACTGGCAAGAGCAAACGTCTGCAGGCCCAGGAAAACAGCTTGAAGATCCTTCCAGTTGATACGGAAGTAAGTTGTCCAGATGTGTCCATGGCCCTCCCGTGGCCCGGTTCTGGCACACTGCGCCCCGACCGTAGTCGGATGCATCCGATATGATTAAAACTGGCGGGGCTGGCACTACTGCCATGGCATTGTGTGCTGCCGACTGGTGTGACCACCACTGCAAGGAGGCCGTCCTGAGGCTCGAGCGTCAGACATAATTATTCTTGTCCAAGGCCGCTCCAGAGCCCGGTGTAACTGGAATTGGATATTCCGAAATCAAAGCAACGCTACAAGTAGGCAAATTGCTATCCGGGATGCTACCATCCTGCCAATGAGGCTTCGCAGCTCTCAACAGCAAGCTTCACCACACCTAGGCTATAAAGTAAGACCCGTACCCATGGCATGGGGCACAGCAGATCTCTTTTCCCAGTTAATAGCTGGGAACGGGTATTGTACATAACATAAGCGATCCACCGCGAACATGTCGATACTAATAATAATGCACTCCACAGCTTGGCGTGGTGACAAAGGAGTCTGCGGGGTCTTGGTGCGTATGTCGCGCCAGAGCTGGACTGCCCCTGAGAGCCTTCTCGCCAGGCTGTCCGATACACCAGGGAGTGTTTCCACTTCTGCGCTGATGACCACTGGGGATGCGCATATGCCACGACCGATTGGTCTGGTATGGGGCCCCGGTCGGTAGCTTCCGAATGGCAAGGGGCCCCTGCGCCAAAAGGGGCGACCGGCCGCTAAACGGGCAGGTGTTACAGCAGAACGGAGGGGACTGTGGAATGCCGTATAGTTTGAAAGCGGGATTAGTGGCGACGCTGTGCTCGCAATAGGTGCGATGCATCCACCAGGGCATTGCCTGATTTAACCTTTTCATGGTCTTGGCGGAAAACATTTTGCCACTGAGATTTCCAGTCTCCGGCAGCTCTTAGCCAAGAGCTTGTGCTTGGCTTCTATCAACCAGTTCCGCCTCATTTTGGATAAGGACCCATTGGCATACACAGCACCCAACCACATCATCAGCCCTTGGCATCAGTAACGTGTCTGTAGTACGGTGTGCGGAGTCTCCGCCATTATTGTTGCATAGCAGCTACACCTTACGCAGTTATCTGGTTATGGATGGGTCGGGCAAAGTACGTGGACTGTTTTGTCAACATAAGTATCCTGCATCATGACAGGAGCCTCAATCGAACACGATCATAATTAAATCTACTGGCCGCGGCCAGCGTCTCTGGATCGAATACAGCTTCCAGCAGCTGTCGTTCAGGCTTTCTCCCTGACCCTTGCTACATGTCATGACATGTAGATTAAAAGTATAATAATAAGGCTTTGGAAATTTTATTTTCCATTGGTATCAGGTTCGGCCTCATTTTCTCAATGCTGCGCTGATGATCATATCAGTCCACAGTCATATGAAGGATGAAACAGCATGCCGTTCCAGTGTCCGCAGAGATTGAGTGTAGATTAAAATAAAATAAAAAATGCTTAATTTTTTTTGTAATTAATTTATATTTATTAATTTTTATTTCAGACTGATCTGAATCAATCATTCATAGGCCAATTCCTTTTCTGTATACAAGGCATGGCCATCGTGGAAATAAAGAATATTAGTACAGTATCACTATCCAATATTCTACTGACGGATTTCCGCCCGTCAAATTGGACCGCGCTGAGTTTCCGCTCAGCCACGGCCGTTCCAGTTCCCAACTCAGCAGCTGGATTTCCGTCCAGCTCCGAGTGATCGGAATACATAATAATCTACTGGCAGCCGCCAGTGCCTGCGGATCGAATACAGCTTCAGAAGCTGACGATCGGCTAATTCTACTGACAGATTTCCGTCCGTCAAATCGAACCGTGCTGAGTTTCCGCTCAGCCACGGCCGGTCAAGCTCCTGTTGAGCACATCGTCCAACTCAGCAGCTGGATTTCCGTCCAGCTCCGAGTGATCGGAATACATAATAATCTACTGGCAGCCGCCAGTGCCTGCGGATCGAATACAGCTTTTAGTAGCTGACGATCGGGCAAATTCTACTGACGGATTTCCGTCCGTCAAATCGAACCGTGCTGAGTTTCCGCTCAGCGACGGCCGTTCAAGCTCCTGTTGAGCAAATCGTTCAACTCAGTAAACTGGATTTCCGTCCAGCTCCGAGTCACGATCGGAATCCGGGTCGCCACCCGATGCCACTGAGTTTCCGCTCAGCAAGGCATGCACACTGCTCCGATATGAGCATGTGGCGTTGCTTACGAGGCCATGGTTGTGACAAGAATGTCAGAGAGAAGTAAATAATTGAAACGTTCACAAAACGGAGCGAAGAAAAAGGCCAAAGAGATTCTGGGAAGGGTTGGTTTTGGCGGGAAATGAGGTTGAATGTGTTTGTCTTTAAAGCGCTATGAATTATATGAAAACGGAGCGATTTTGGGCCTAACACACTGTCACATTCGAAGGCCGAGCCTCCGAAATGCAACTGTATACATGCAGACCACCAATCACGATATAGCTAATAGGGGGAGTCTTCATGGTACATAATTATGGTCTTGCCTCGATCTAGTAGAGCCCTAGGCTGCCCTAGGCTCTATATCTACTCTAATAATTGTAGTAATTACTTACCATTCGACAATGAGTCCTGTTTTTACGACTTTACTTGTGCTTAGAGTACGTAACTACAACGTCATCGTCGTACTCGCAGCGAACGTAGATATTTTAAAGGTGAAGCTTGAAAAATTATACCGGTGGATCTGTTTGAAACAGTAATTGTCACTGTTTGGTCATGCATGATATCGGCATGCGGTAGATTGGTTTGAAAGCTGAGGTATCCCATGAAACTTGTGGGGACGGCTATTGTCTTGACTGACCAGCGCTCAGCTCACGACGTACTAGTACACATTCTTGAAACAGGATAAACTATAAATGTGATAATGTATTCCTCCTCAACATCATCTTCCAATCCTCTTGACGATGTTGCTGTACCAAACAACCCCTCGGACGGAATAAGCCACTTGGAATTCAGTCCCAAAGCGAATCACTTGATTGCTAGTTCCTGGGATGGTCAGGTAGGGCTTTGAAATACAACTTTAGTTGTACATATTCATGATTTCAGAGACCTTTATGATGTCCAAGATGCACCACCATATAGCTCAAGTTAGAGTGCCGACATCACAAATGAGCCAATGAGTAGACGAGAACAAAAACACAAGCAAAACTTGCAAGAGCAAAGTATGAAAGCATAAGGTCACCCTGATGCCTTGCGGCACATGTTGTACATGATCTTTCTTGGTCGCACCTGGAACACCGTGCATTTGTGTAGTCCGCATGCGTGCGTCCACGAACTCGGGGGAATCTCCAAGTTTCAACCACCTTCAAAGTTCGAAGAACTTGAAGAGCTTGGAGATTTTAAAATTTCGAGATGAGATAAGAAAACTTCTCCGACATTTCGCAGAGTCGGACCCTGAGTATCACCTTCACTGAAACTACAACTTTATCCAAAAGAGGAGATCATTACCCCGGTAGACCCCCCTATTGATCTACTACTGTGAAAGCAGAAATTTTCGGTGGTGTTTTATTTTCGGTAACTTCGGTGCCGACAATTTTACCGAAAATTTCGGTAGAACCGGTACTACATGTATATACATGTAGTGTTAGTACGCTTACCCGGAAACCGGGTTTTACCGAAAATTTCCCTCCACCGAACCGCCTATTTTGTAGAATACCAAAAATATTACACCACCGAAAATTTCTGCTTTTACAGTACTTCATTTAGGCCTGAATCATGTGTTTGCAAGCTCACACGAATATTATACCCTACATTTTGGTGACAAAATTCAACAATTGATATAGGAAGTTTGGAACGCTCAGATTGCATGTCCAATGTAATGTGTATAGTGTATGCAATAAAACAGTGGACCGAAACAGCCCTGTTATTACAGGTGGAATCCTGATAATTCAATTCGAACCTCGAATTGGACATGTCCGGTTAATTAGAAGTCTCACGGATTCCACTTACATAGAAAATGTGTAGGATTTGTGTGGATAATTCGAAGTTAGCCAAGTGTAATTCGAAGTTCACAGTACACTGCACTGGTCAGTTCAGTTTGCATGAGCAGGCTGTGCCGGTCAGTTCAGTATCCGTGAAATCAGTGTCTAAGGTCCATAGCGCCACTCTGCGTGACCATGAGAGCATTTTGACATACATATTGTGTTGTGGGTTCATGTTTGGATGATAAGAATGTCCGGGTAATTAGAAGTTTTTTCCTGGCATTTTGAGGTTCGAATTATCAGGATTCCACCTGTACTCGGCCATCAACCTTGGATATTCCCATAGCAATAATATCCCCAAGCCTATTGCATGACCATGTGTGGACAGCCATGTTGGTTACAACTCCACTCAACCGCCTTGCACGTATGGGTCGCGTGCTGTCGGCCATGGTGGCGCCACTGTCCACATGCCATGATGGCATGATCACTAGTTTCTACACTAATTTGGTCACATGACAAACTGATGCAAACACCACTCTGCAGAAGCTGCGCCTCACTCAGAGCACGGAAGACCAGCAGCGTGGTCTCGGTCCACTGTTGTACTGTGTACAGTAGAATCTGTTTAGGATGAACACCTGTAATACACCGTAACCTTTATGCACCGTATACATGTAGGTAATAAGGAGGTTTCGCTCTACGTAAGTACGTATGAAAATCCGTATGTCGTACGCGCCGGGGAGCGAGGGCAACTTTCATACGTAAATCTCTCTACGGATTTCCGTAGGAAAGCTCTTTCCTACGTTGGGTCCTCCGTAGGACTTTTTGAAATATTTTTTTCGCATTTTCCGCGTTTGTCCATGGCAACATTCAAGCCGCGCGAAACACAAGGTACACACACCGTACACCACGTGCAAAATATCATGGAAAACGCGGTTTCGGTTCATGGTGCATACGGTGGGCGCATGCAGCCAATGCGTCTCCAAAGCAGCAACGCATGTTGAGCAGTCGTGGAGAAATCACGTAGAGCGAAACCCAACAGCTCTGATTTTTACGTGTGAAAATTCCATGCAGTTCATACGTTATTTTCATACGTAATTCCGTAGAGCGAAACCTCCCTATTAACTGGTGCCCAAACTGCATGCTGGACCTATCATCATGCTGTTCTTTGAAGGTCATCTAATTTGGTGAAATCATCAATTTCACCCATTCTTCGCCTTGTAATGGCTCGTTGTCATTCATGTCAACTGGGTCTAGAAAAGGTGTGTTGTTTGAACATGTTATTTCCCTGTGTGATGCAGGTGAGGTGCTGGGACATTCAGCAGAACGGTGAGATTCGCTTGGTTGGCCAGCAAGCTCATCAAGCTCCGGTCTTGGATTGTGGGTGGCATTCGGTGAGTTGTAGGTTGGCTCATTCAACATTGACTACTGTAGTATACAGGATGACATGCAGCACACCGTACATTGACTACTGTACTATACAGGATGACATGCAGCACACCGTAGTACGGGAAACATGCTTGTTAATGTCACCCAGGATGCACCAGTATCATTGTACTGTCGACTCTTGATTTATCTTCTAGCATGCAGCAGCTCAACACAACAGCTAGTTAGGCACTCTAAACCGGGCGCACTGTGTTCTAGGACCTCCCCAGTACGATCAGCCATGAACGGTTTCTACTGTTGTGCATGGGACTGTACTAGTAACCACTGCGGGACGGTTCAGTTCTCGAATCAGTCCAGAACCCTGTGCGCTGCCATTCGATTCTGTGCTTTTTCTTCAACTGGTCTTTCGAGCCGAGTCATGTTATGTGCAAGGCACTCACGCCGCTTTGCCCATTCTACAATCTGCATGCACTTGTAACGGCGCGTTTATTATTCTTAGCCCCCATCCCACTGGGTGCACTTGCTATTTGGACTTCCGATACTTAGCCTCACCGTTGTTCTTCGCAAGCGCCTGCGTGGATGAGAAAGGGTCTGCGGTCTATGCGTTTCGGACTGCTGGGTTTGTTTGCTGAGACATTTTGTTAAGATCTGTCTACCTTGTGTCCTGATTGCAGGATGGCACTAAGGTGTTCACTGCGTCATGTGACAAGACCGCCAAGCTCTGGGATTTGGCAAGCAACCAGGCAACTGTAGTTGCACAGGTGAGGTCTCATCTTGGCATCATGTAGTATGTTACCGTTGTTACAAAACCTTTGCCCTGACATACTTGTTGTGGCTTTTGGAATCAAGCAGTATTACATTGGTGTTTATGGTGCTTAGTTTCGGCGCAGATTATTGTTTTAGAAATTCGGAGGCACTGTCTGAGTTACAGCTGTCCCAACCACCACCTATGCTTCCGCCCACTGATTGTGGGGGATTAGTTTGTGTTATCATGAATTTAACATGAAGCTCGGAGTCATAACACAGCTCCTCCCCCCCCCCCGCCCCCTCTCTCTCTATTTTGTAGTCGAATAATCATTCTTTTGCCACCATCCTTGCCTGTGACTGCACAGCATGAGGCACCCATTCGCACCTGCCACTGGGTACAATCGCCGTCGTATCAGCTACTCATGACTGGCAGCTGGGACAAGACACTGAAGGTAAGTTGAACTGTCCTAGCGGTGAGCTAGCTTGTTGTGTCTGGTTTGAGGTGTCAGTTGCCTAAAATAGTTGAGTCAATGGCCATGGCTGTACAGTCAGACCTCGCATAACCGCACACATCTGTTTTCCACAAAAACATCCGGATAGGCGAGGGAACCGGATAACCGAACACCGTTTATGTTGGATGCATCACGTATGCTGTAAATATGTAACCAGCTATTTTCTTCCGGATGGCGAGGGATCCGGATAAAAGAGGACCGGATTAAAGCGAGGTCTGACTGTATCATCATTACTACATGTATCACCATCACTGCTACCCTTCTCAAATGTCAGTACTCTCACTTTCCTGCACTATATCAGCTCTATTTCATCGCTTTAGACACCTACGGTGTGCTATGTATTATATGCCATGTGCTGACAAAGTTGCCCTAGAAGATGAACACTCGACATGTTCACAGATCTACTCATTTGAAAGTGTTACGTGATAACCGATTATGGGCACACTGCGTGATGTTTGTTAGGTGCTATGTGGCTGGTGCTGGCTTTGCACTGTGGGTACTGTGTACCGGTATGAACTCTCAGCACTGGTACACATACGCACAGCTTGAACTTATCAGTTTACACCGGTGTACGCCACAGCTTGAACTTATCAGTTTGCATGAGCTGACAGCTCTGTACCAAGGTGAAGCAGGCCCCTTCTTCATAAAGTCAGCAATATCTGGCACCAGTGCTGTTGAAAAACAGCAAGATTGGTAGCGCGAATTCTTTCCATGGCATGTGCAATATCAGTGTGGGTTGTTAGCTTCAGCTTTCATTAGTACGGTGGCCAAGGTTGCTGGATAAGATGTGTGTTAGTTTGCAGGGACAAGCTGAGCGTTGTTCATGGCACAGCTAGGTATCTGCTGCTGGAGATTACAGATCATGCCCAGTCTAGCAAGTCTTAGTCTACTAGTGCACATACTACCCTTACTTCTTACTGCTGATCCGGATAAATACTTCTCTCCAGCGTCTACCCATTGGTGTTGCTCTTGGCAGTGACTTGCTGGCAGGAGTATCATAGTGATATGGTGGTCAGTGCAAAATGAATGAATTTTGTGCTGTTGCCGGTGTTGTTGGTGTGCTGTTTTCTCCCAGTTTTGGGACCCACGGTCGTCGAAAGCCGCGTTCAGTTTTGGTCTGCCTGACCGCTGCTACTGTGCTGACGTTGTAAGTCTTGCTCCAGGATGTCATCACGCTGTGCTCGGATCTGATGTCATATGTGTGTTTGATGTGATTAGCACTGATTACAATTTAATGTCATCATCATGTGAGATGCTTTGTGCGGAGTGACGAAACTGTGGCATCACAAGCACTGGTTTGCCACTCAAAGCATCTACAACGATGCCATTCATATAACCTTTATGCGGCTAGTTGTAGTTGCAAGGTGTTGAGAAACTGCATGTTTTCTGCTCTAAATCATAGGTGGCGTGGCTTGATTTGCCCCTACCTTGCCTTTCCTTGGCGTGTAATTGATTTCAGCATGGACTTCTAGACAACACTGAGTCTGTACATGCACTGGCTTTGCTTTTTTCCCTGTCCAGGTGTATCCTTTTGCAGTGGTATGCACAGCTGGAAGAGGTATACTGTGGTACCAGCTTGGAAATCAGCCTATGCATTTCAAGGTAAGTGTACCCACACTGCTAGAAAGAAAGTCAATGAAACGGCAAAAGTCAACACAGTGAAATGATCTCAAATGGCTGTAGGTGTTGTGATACACTTGACCTCTACATACGTATGTATTCATAAACCCTACTTAGGTGATCTCCTGTAAGAGCACTATCATTTTTAGTGTGTCTTTTCACTTTGCTCTCTCTCTCTCTCTCTCTCTCTCTCTCTCTCTCTCTCTCTCTCTCTCTCTCTCTCTCTCTCTCTCTCTCTCTCTCTCTCTCTCTCTCTCTCTCTCTCTCTCTCTCTCTCTCTCTCTCTCTCTCTCTCTCTCTCTCTCTCTCTCTCTTTGTGAAAACGCTCTTGTCTATATATTTCTCTCACGGCTGCTTCTGCTAATTCTGTTTTGTGTGTGTTTACAGGACATCGATTCTGTATTGAAGTATCAGGTAAGAAGAGACGTGTGTCTGTGTCTAATGCATACATATGTGTGTGTGCACGTGTGTACGTGCGTGTGTGCACGTGTGGACGTGCGTGTGTGTGTGTGTGTGTGCACGTGTGTAAGTGTATGTGTATGTATGCATCCGTCGTCAAGTTTTTCCCCTGTGCTATTTGGCCTGAAAAAAGGTTTGTGCAAGTTTTCAGGTTTAATGATTGGATTGAACTTTTCCGAATGCTGTATGTAGCTTCGTTCAGTTGCTATATTCCGTGACAAGAGTGGTGAACCAGCCGGCATGGCGTATGGCTCCATTGAAGGTCGCATCGCAGTCAACTACCTGCGGAACACAAGAGGGGGAGAGTAAGCTTGTGCTGTATCTCCTCTTATTCTCTCTGTCTCTGTCCATTCCTGCCTCTCTTTCTCTCTCCGTCTGTCTGTCTGTCTGTCTGTCTCCCTCTCTTTCTCTCTCTCTCTCTCTCTCTCTCTCTCTCTCTCTCTCTCTCTCTCTCTCCCTCTCTCTCTCTCTCTCTCTCTCTCTCTCTCTCTCTCTCTCTCTCTCTCTCTCTCTCAGGATTAATTTTCCGCATTTCCATATAAAATGTAGGACGTTGCACAGGTGTGTGTGTGTGTGTGTGTGTGTGTGTGTGTGAATCCTCCTCGTGCCAGATTTTCACTGTCACAGACAAATGCACAGACGGACACACACACATACACACACACACACACACACACACACACACACACACACACACACACACACACACACACACACACACATTGCTCTTGAACTTTCCTGTAGCTAGCTCATTGTTTTCAGCTCTTTATTTTCTGGTTTCTTGTGTGGAGATCTGTCATGAGCCAAAATGCTCCTTCTCGTGGGAGTGGAATTACTAACTGGTTATGGTGTATCTCGTTTGGCATGTGCCATGTGCCGCCTGATCATGGGGTGATGGTGCCCCACGGTTGTGGAAAGGCGGGTCTTGACCTCCCTGTATGCGAACTCGTGTCATTTATATACCGTAAAATTCCGTTAATAAGGCAAGACCAAAATAAAATCGAGATTCCCAGGACCCATCTGAAATTGGTGCGGGCGGGCGAATTTTTATTTTTTATTTTTTTTCCCATGTGTGTATGCATGGCATGCTGAACTTTTTTTTTACAGTATTTTCCGGTATACTTTGCAGAGCGTCAAACACCTGGCGTATATTTGGGCATGGGCTTATTTTAGGGCATGGGCGTTATTTCGGACGCAATCTGCAGAAGATCAATCTATCAGCAACCCACTAGTTTCAGTGAACCACCATTCACACTGAGCGCGGTTCAGGTACATCAAACCACAGCTGGAAATTTGGTCGTAACCAAGAATGTAGCGATAAATTACAGATTTGATATGTCCTCGCGCCGTGACAGTGTTGAGTTCTGCACTGTGCTGCGTGCAGTTGGATTGCACGCACTCGATCTATAACTGTCCTACAGTTTGTACGCGAACGCACGCTCGCGCGCTGGTCATTTTGAGTCCACTTTAAGCCTTGGGCTTATTTCGGGCATGGGCGCTAAAACGGACTTGAAGTGTACACCGCCTAAAACTAGGCTTATTATCGGACATGGGCGTTATTTAGGGTGGGCTTATTTACGGAATTTTACGGTGAGTTTGTTTACCTTGTTGGCGGGTCTTGATCTGTCCTGTACGCGAACCCGTGTCATTTATATAAGTATGTTACCTTGTTGGCGGGTCTTGACCTGTCCTGTATGCGAATCCGTGTCATTTATATAAGTATGTTACCTTGTTGGCGGGTCTTGACCTGTCCTGTACGCGAACCCGTGTAATTTATATCAGTTTTGTTGCCTTGTTGGCGGGTCTTGACCTGTCCTGTACGCGAACCCGTGTCATTTATATAAGTATGTTACCTTGTTGGCGGGTCTTGACCTGTCCTGTATGCGAATCCGTGTCATTTATATAAGTATGTTACCTTGTTGGCGGGTCTTGACCTGTCCTGTACGCGAACCCGTGTAATTTATATAAGTTTGTTGCCTTGTTGGCGGGTCTTGACCTGTCCTGTACGCGAACCTGTGTCATTTATATAAGTATGTTACCTTGTTGGCGGGTCTTGACCTGTCCTGTATGCGAATCCGTGTCATTTATATAAGTATGTTACCTTGTTGGCGGGTCTTGACCTGTCCTGTACGCGAACCCGTGTAATTTATATCAGTTTTGTTGCCTTGTTGGCGGGTCTTGACCTGTCCTGTACGCGAACCCGTGTCATTTATTTAAGTATGTTACCTTGTTGGCGGGTCTTGACCTGTCCTGTACGCGAACCCGTGTAATTTATATCAGTTTTGTTGCCTTGTTGGCGGGTCTTGACCTGTCCTGTACGCGAACCCGTGTCATTTATTTAAGTATGTTACCTTGTTGGCGGGTCTTGACCTGTCCTGTACGCGAACCCGTGTAATTTATATAAGTTTTGTTGCCTTGTTGGCGGGTCTTGACCTGCCCTGTACGCGAACCAGTGTCATTTATATAAGTATGTTACCTTGTTGGCGGGTCTTGACCTGTCCTGTACGCGAACCCGTGTAATTTATATAAGTTTGTTGCCTTGTTGGCGGGTCTTGACCTGTCCTGTACGCGAACCCATGTCATTTATATCAGTGTGTTACCTTGTTCACTGTAACACTTGTCTCTGTTTTGTGCTGGCCGTATGCTTATGCTAACAGCAAGAATGACAACTTTCAGTTCAAGTGCCACCGGGGGGCTGCGCTTGGCAGGACCAAAGTGCAGGAAGTGTACGCGGTACGTATATTGTTTCCATTTGCTGTGTACTGGTGCTGTGTACTGGTGAGTTTCATCCTGTGTCACACTGCATGCTGCTGGCTTCAGTGTGAGGTTTTCGTTCAAGTGTACACATTGTCTTGGGTTATGTTACGTATGGTTCATGTGCAAACTTTTGTTTGGAAGTAGAGAGGTTGCACACAACGAGTTGTGCGATCTGGGTATAACGATTAGGATTAGGACAGTATTGTCCTAATCATCACCATACAGCGACGCAGTGATGTACGACACATGTGTGCCGTCCTACTGTGCATGTGACCCACATACATACATGACAGCCAAAACCTTTTTCTTGTACAGTAGAAACCTGTGACTAACGACCACCCCAAGTTGGGGCCAGAGAAAGCGGTCTTCAGTGACAGGTGGTCCTTAGTTAGAGGTTTGCACCGCACATACATAATATGTATATGAGACCGTCCGTGCCTGGCGAAGTGGTCTGTAGTACCAGGCTGGTCACTAATCACGGTGGTCTTTAGTTACAGGTTTTACTGTAGTACCAGGCTGGTCGCTAATCACGGTGGTCTTTAGTTACAGGTTTTACTGTAGTACCAGGCTGGTCGCTAATCACGGTGGTCTTTAGTTACAGGTTTTACTGTAGTACCAGGCTGGTCGCTAATCACGGTGGTCTTTAGTTACAGGTTTTACTGTAGTACCAGGCTGGTCGCTAATCACGGTGGTCTTTAGTTACAGGTTTTACTGTAGTACCAGGCTGGTCGCTAATCACGGTGGTCTTTAGTTACAGGTTTTACTGTACTCAGATAAACTTGTAAAAGTTCAGTGTTTGATTGTACTTTGATGTACTTTCTTATACAGTCAATACAGTTATCTGCTTTGTACATGCTGTAAATTACACGTACTTTTTTTTATCTCTTGGTATTGACTGACGGGGGTTGCTAATGTTGTTTTTGAATTTGAATTCTTTATTGTCACGATGGTTGTTGTTGTTGTTGTTGTTGTTGTTGGCTGAACTTATTGGCTGTTGTTGGCTGTTGTTATTGCAGGTAAATGATCTCGCGTTTCATCCAGTTCACCACTCTGTTCTTGCCAGCGCTGGGTCCGATGGTATTTTCTCATATTGGGACAAGGATGAACATTCGAAGTTGCCTGTGAGTCAATTTCTCCATCTTCACACTCCGTTGTGCAGCTGTTGATGTTCGTACTCCTGAAGTACTGTGCACTCTACTGCTTGTTTTCACAGAGCAACAAGCTTGTTTGCTCTGTGAAAACACATTAACACTACATGACTGGGACACTGCCAACACTTTTTATTATCAGCGATGTCAACAACACTAGCGCTGCCATCTTCACTTGCTATCTGCATTGCACTGCTACTGACCATCTCGCTACTACAGACTACTTTGAAGTAGTATAATATATAAAGAAGCCTTGCTTGGTAGTTTAACATGTTTTTCGCTGTCAAAATACAGACTAGTAGTAGTACTGTGTACGAAAGAGCACCGCATCCCGCGGTGCTGAGCCGGTGCGCTTCCCCGACTGCGCCAACCAAAATATTATGATGACTGCAAGCGCAACTACTACACTGAAACCACCAACAGCATGATACGGCGAATGTATAGTGTGGCGAGATGTCGGTCGCAGATATAAATGGTTCATGTTGTCCTGAAGCAAGCAACGGCAGCTACGTTGCGGGCAGATTGTTGAAGTTGTGTGTATGGCTTGGATGTAGAGTTCCAGAGTTTGTTGTGTGCACCCTAGGTAACCTAGACAAATACTACCGTAAAGTACCGCCAGAGCGCCCCACCATCTCATCCTTTCGTGGTCATATTGTGGAGGCGGTCTGCTGTCTAGCATGTCTGTAGGTCATACGACATGAACCATGTACACATATTGCGCGTTTTGCAGTCAATCCGTACCTTCGAGCGGACACAAGCTCCACACAAAACCTGCCAAGTGTGACCTTAGTACACTATTCTCACATCGTACACACTTCGTTGCACTCTGGCATACGATTTTCCTTTCTCTGGCTGTAAAATCAAGGTGGGGCGCTCTGGCGAGACGGGGCGCTCTGGCGTTACTTTACGGTAACAGTGTACGGTAGTCTACCAGGTACTGTTGTTTTACATGCTCATGTGTATTGCTGCTGATTCTTTGCCACCAAATGCAGTTCCCTCCAGGCGATCCCAAGCCTCAGAGCCAGTCGATTTCGGCGATTTGTTTCAACACACCTGGCGACATCATGGCTTATGCAGTGAGCTATGACTGGGCAAAGGTAAGCGAGGTATGTGTGGAGAGAGAGAGAGAGAGAGAGAGAGAGTGTGTGTGTATGTGTGTGCATGTGTGTGTGTGTGTGTCCCATATGGTGCAGTGGTATGTGCAGCGATTTCCAATCGATAGGTTGCGGGTTCGAGTCCCGACGATTATGGTCACACACGTCTTTCTTCTCTTTCTCAGACTCTTCCTGACTTTTCTTTCATTCTCCTGGGTGGTTACCAACAGCCAGTGCATGCCGGAGTATGTGGTGTGATGTGTGTGCGGGAAAAAAAAATGAATAGACCAAAAATAGGGATTCACTGGCCAGAAAAATCACTTCAAATAGCTGTATGGTGTAGACCAGGCTGAATAGTGACGGTCAATTCTTCAGCCTTGCAAGCTGTTGAATGGTGCAATCCCAGCACAAGTTGCTATGGCTTCTGCCGTAGCATTGCTATCATCGCCTCCGGCGATGGGCGTCAAAGGTCAAGGTGTGTGTGGGTGTGTGTGTGTGTGCGTGTAATATTATAAGTGTATGTGTGTGTGTGTGTGTGTAATATTATAAGAGTATTGCTTCGACATGGACCTGTAGTATAAAATCTTCTTCGGATGACTTGGAATAGCATGCTGTACATGTTCTCTGGATTATGCACTTCGCTTTCCGTCGGCGGCAGCAGCTTGTCCCGTTGTGTAGAGTGGCACTAAGTTACGGTGACTAAGGGAGCCGGGCACGCATCCATTGAAAACATCACGGTTTTATCGTTTTTTTTGTTCTCTTTTTGGCAGTGTCACGGGACTAAGACACATCCCACCAGCTCCTTGAAATTGCTCACGGGGATAGAGACGGGGATAGAGTTTTGAGTGGACTTGGACAGGTGGCATTGCACTACTGCTGTTCTTTCTTTTCCCCTTTCCTGGGTGTTTACATGAAGAGGGTTGTCCAGGGTCAAGTACTGATATGCCGACTGAAGTCTATCAGTCTATTTCTCTAGACTGGTCTGGTCTGGTTTTTCACGGGAAATTCGGATCTGCAATTGTTGTGCAGTCCTGGCACGAAGCACATGTACAGTGCAATTTCTCGATTTCAACCCGGGCCAATATGTGTTCATGGCGGGGTGACAACTCTCATGTGAACTCAGCCCATATGTAGTATAGACCAGCAGTTGCACACTGTGGGGGTTATGCACTCTTGATATCACATGGGGGATATCACATGACACCACTTCGTGTGTGTGTGCCATGCAGGGTCATGAGCTGTACAACCCTCAGTTCGGTAATCACATCTACTTGCGGCCTTCTGAGGCCTTGCCAACAGAGCCGGCGAAAAAGAGCAAAGGAAGGCGATAATGGACATAATACACAAACGATAACTGATCACCACAAAACACATGCTATACATGCTATTTTAGCACTATTTTACCTACCTAATATCATGATGTTTGTTTTGTTTTGGCAAGGCTAAAAAGCATGATGATATTAATGAATGTGCTGATTATGCTCACTTAGACTTTGTTCTGTATGCTTAGGTTCCTTTAGTTGTCCTAGTCATTGTGTTAACGCATCTTTGAAAAGGCGGTTGAATGCTATGTACATAATAATGATTTTTACACTGCTTCGGCAGGAAATAAGTTTGAGTAGGCTTTGAATGGATAATAAAGAAAATAGTTCAGTGTACAATGTGGGCTATTTACAGGAGACTTTTTACAATAGCAACAATGGGTGCGTGTGTACCACACTCGTTTGCTGCGGTTGCCTTTGCGCACAGAGCAGTGGCTACTGACTTGTTGCAGCAGCAGCACTGATCACAAGGTGCAGACTGACACTGGTGTAGGGGACATCTGAATTGAACGGCAGCAACGGTGTTCTGGACACATGGCTGCTAGTGTGACGACGACATGTTACTGTCAGGAACTCTCCGCCACTGCTAATGCTGTTTCCGTTTCCGTATCTTCTGGCTCTGTGGTGCAGGGGGGATGGACATTGCAGCCAAACAGTGCATGAAGAAAATCAGACTATAACAAATCTGCCCTTCACCCAGAGTCATCTCCATGTATTGCTCTCACTACAATAGTGGTAGCAGCAACGCAATACACTGTACAGTACAGTCAACTTTGCTAATAACGACTACGGATATAATGACAATTCGTGAATAAAGACAGAATTTCCATGACCAGAGCAAAGTCCCATCCAACTGTAATACATATAATGAGACTTCGGGTATAACGACACTTCGTGAATAAGGACACTTTTCTGATGCCCCGCCGAGTGTCGTTATAAGCGAAGTTGACTGCATAATTGCTTATGACAAGCAAGGAACACTGTGTCTGGCGATGTGCTAAAGAGCAGTAACAGAGAGTATCTATTTTTCTTCTCTCAATCCCCTATGGAATCCTCTTCCAATTATGTTTCTGATGTCTATTTCAGAATTTCTCCAAAAAGCAAGCCATAGTAAGAATAGGATTTCGGCCAGGTTTTCCCCAAGAGTACTGAATTGGGAAAATCCATCAAAATCCAGGCCGTTTGACCCTGCCTGCAACAGTGCATTGTACGGTTCGAACCCCAGTTCAGGTACCGTATTTTTCCTGTTGTAAGTCGACCTTTTAAGACTAAAAATAGAAGGAAAAAGGGTGGGGGTCGACTTACAACCGGGATTCGTCTTATAACCGGGAATTATCAGTATCTTACAAAAAACGACCTGCACTGCATGCACGAGTGCACCATGTGTGCACATTTTTTGCCAGTTTATTGGCCTTTTTCAAGGATAGGGACGTTATACGTATACAATAAATGAGGAGGCCGAGGGTTTATGACCAATAAGGCCATCATTTTTTATATCTATGTTTCGCGTCAGTTCAACTTCCAGAATCATATGCGAGAGGTGGAAAAAAATAAAAAGTAGCAAAATAATAAAAAAAGGCTCATCAGAGGTAGTGTATGCACTGTACATAGCACAATAGCTCGTGCATGGTGTACATTCGAAAGAAAATTGTACATCGAAGCACAACATCTGGGTTATCAACATGAGTAAATATTCACTTTGGACAGAGGAGGCAACCGTTGGTGCCTATGCCTCGCTGGATTATTGTACTCAGACTTCAGCAGTGGTGCAAAGACCTCCGGAACGACGCCGCTGATCCTCTCAGCTTGAGGCGATCAATGCTGTCTGGTGTTAGCTCATAGAATATTGCTCCCAGATGCCGAACAAACGATTTACCAACGCTGGCCTAGAGCCTAGAGGCCATTTCTGAATCTCAGCTTCGCCGTATGCAACCAGTCCACACTGATGACTCGCACGATCGTACACTCACCGTGCATGTAAGATTTTTTATTTTTTTCCGAAAAAAATCAAAACGTATGCGTGCGGACGACGCGAAACATAGCTATAAAAAATGATGGCCTAAACACTATTATAAAAACCGAGGTCCCCCGAGGTTTTTATAATTAGTTTTTATTGGTCATAAACCCAAGGCCGGAGCATTTATTGTATTTAGAATCAACCAGTAAAAACTCCTACTCAATCTCCAACAACAAAATTAGCGGACAGCTGTTATTTGTGTTGCTATGACAACCCGTGTGCTGGACGAGTATTTGTTGTCATTGGTTCAATTTCTTTTAGTCTTCATAGGCTATCAGATCATTTTCCTTATTCGGTCTATTTATAACCAGTATCTATAATGAGAGTGTGGTCTGTCTCCATGGTTACCGGTGTTCATTTCATAACTATAGCCACTGCTCCTTGTTAGACCTTATCTGGAAGGCCCATTCTTGCATATTCCAACAGCAGCCAAGGGAGCTAGCTCTCTTGGTTATGCGGACTGGGTCCGATCCTAAAAAGCTGTTTTTATGAACTGTTTTTATGAACTGTTTTTATTGGATAGGATATGATTATGTTCAATAAACGAGGTTTGTGTCAATGGGAGATTGACTTGGAGTTTTTACGAGTTGATTCTAACCTCCAATAAGGAATGTTTACATGATTTGTTGATGTGTTAGTAGCAGGGAGTGGTTAGTAGTGCTTCTTTGGGTGAAAACTTTAAAACGCAGAATTGAGACCTCAGGATACGGGGGTCGACCTATAACCGGTAAAATACGGTACCCTTTTTTAAATTTCAAATTTCACAGCACTGCACCGTGTATGATAAAGACTTGAAAAATCGCCTAATACGGGAGCTCGCCAGAGCCAGAGCCAGGGCCCATCTTTTTGTGAATGGACTGTACACAGTGTACAGTACCCTGACATGTGTTAGTGAGTGGGGCTTAAGCTTGTCGACACTGTCAGACTATACTTGAGCACATACAGTGTAGATCTAGTATTCCAGGAAGGTAAGGCCTCAGGCAGCTGGCAAGTCCCATCGTAGCTATTACAGTCTACAGTGCTGCTCAACGTGTCCGAGAGTCAGTAGCCGCCCCGAAAGTTAGTACGTGTGCGACCAGTAAATTCAAAAAGGTGTAAGCGACCTCCGGGTTTTGCGACCACCTGCTCTTAACGGCCGTCTTTCCATGCACCGACAGTTCTACACAGACACTGTGTGACCTGGTTCTAAAGACCACCTGGCTTTAACGACCGCTTTTGCTTGCACCGTGGGGTGGTCACTTAAACCAGGTTTACTGTATATGTACTTGTAGTCACATGACTTACTGGTTACTGGCTGAACTACAGTCCATTTCAAAACTATAGACGCGTAGGGTTTTTGAAATATTTCAAATTTGGCTGGAGCTTTTTGAGAATACTTTTCAGAATATTGCTCAGGTCCGCTTTACAATTACTCTCATATCGTTTCTAAACGATTGGATAACAGACGCCCAATTTGGAAAAATTTATGCACAAAGTGATCACAGATTTTATGTGGTATAGATGCTGGCATAACGGTTTTTGCCTAGGTACGCGTCTATAGTTTTGAAATGGACTGTAGGTGTTGTATTAGCAGGACTTACTGGGTGAACTAGGTGTTGTATTAGCAGGACTTGCCGGGGTTGTTGTCGCTTCACCGGGTGCTGTGGCTTGTGGTACGGGCAAGTTACGTTCACAATGGGATGCCTCAGCAGACCGCTCGGTAGCGGAGGACAGCACGACTTCTTGACTGCTCCCATTGCTACTGGATGCTGCTTGTTCTTTTTCAGCAGGCTCGTCACGGTTGCTGGCAGTTTCAGCGGTGGTAGCTGTTGCCGTTGCTGTTGCTGTTTGCGTCACGACTGCTTCTCTGCCTTTGGTCTTTTTCTTCTGTGGAGTAGTGTCCACACCGTCGGCAGATGGTCGTTTTCGTTTGACATTTATGATAGGGATCTGTGCAGCACGAGCAGCACACAAAACAGACCATCAGCAGTGATAAGCCACACTAAACAGACCACCAGCAGGGGGACAAGCAGAACTTTGAAAGCACAACTCAGGTGATCATCATGCACATAGTGTCAATAAATTTTAACAACAATGAGGCTCGAGAAGACTTCCAACTCTCCAGTTGACCTCGTTCTCCACACTAGCAGCACGACTCCAAGTTGGATACTACTTCCTGCCTACAGCTGTTTCAAACACAGACCGGATCAGTGAAGCTTGAAGAAACGTGAATGGCTGAAGTTCTCAATAGCACTCCTTTTATACCGAGTACAACTGAGAAAAGAGGCAGCACAGTTGTGCGCGCTGAAATAAGCAGAATGAGTGCAATATCACGCAGCGCAAGGCACTGTGGAGGTTGATCGTAAGTGCAAGATCATAGCACAACACGTCTTGCAATCATGCGGTGACAACATAGCTCTGAAAGCGGCCGCGCGACATTCACCGCAGCCATTCACTCTATACACTTGCGCACCCCGCATACCACCATAGAAACGTGTGACAATGATGAAGTTGGTTGTTCCAACGAGGAACACACGCTAACTTGACACTTACTGACTCACGACTGCCTCATGCGGACGTGCGACTAGTTGTTGGAGGTGACAGCGTTGTGAATAGCTGCTGGCTCTCAGCGTCTGTTTAGCACAACTCCATGAGCGACTCTGACTTACGCTGCTACCTGGGGCATCGCGAGGTGTTTGTCGCGCTGGAAACGAAGCGTCTCTGTAAGTTTGTATCCCTGGCGATGGTTTGGCCTGGAGGGCACTAGTGGTGCTTTTCAGGCACAATCTTCCTCAGCCCACTCGAACTCAACTGATGAGGGATGATTTTCCCGAAACACTGTGTATTGAGCATGGAGTGGTGCTTTCTTGCAGGTGTGCCGGCGAGTGGAAGGTGTGACGTGCTCTTCGTGTGCTCTGGATGGCAGTCGTGAGTCAGTAAGTGTCCAGTTCGGCAGGAAGCGTGTGTTCCTCGTTGGAACAACCAGCTTCATCACTAACACCGCCGAAGTCGCAACTTCTAATTCACATCAGTTTGTCATGTGACTAAGTTTGTGCAGAAAGTGATAATGGCATGTGGACAGTGGAACCAACATGGCCGACATCATGTGACCCATAGATGCAGGGTTTGTGTGGAGTTGGAACCAACATGGCTGCTCTGTATGGTCATGCGATACATGTGCAACAGCTGAGTTAAGAGTGATGTTCAGAAATTCTAGCCATTCAGTATTCCTCAACCTTCACTGTGGAAATCTGTGTGATCGAAACATCTGTCTACACAGCCGATTCCTGATAATTATAACTACAACAACATTGTAACGCCACGGCAGAGCACTAAGTAAAACACGATGTTATGTATCAGTAGCATGTTGGAGCCATACACTGCACACGTACCTGTGACTCTTATTATCCGACCATTTCCCTCGTCCGAACCCCGTCTGAACAGTGTCTGCCCCGACGGGTCTGGATAACTGATGCTCTACTCAGACATGCCCATCATGGAAGCGATGATAGCGACAAGCTATGAACTATTACTTGTGCTGGGATTTCACCATTCAACAGCTTGCAAGGCTGATGAATTGACCACCACCAATTTTAGCCTGGTCTACACCACACAGCTCTACTGTAACACAGCTCATTCACTACATGCGAGTCTGCCTGGAGTGGCGCGTATTGCCGTATCTAATGTGGAGCTACACAAAGCTTTAAAGCAGAGTTGTCGTTGACTTGCAAAAGTGCTCAACGCACGGAGATGAGCCTGCAGCACCAGTTCACAATGGCGGGGAAACTTTGTTTTGTTGTTGTAACTCTGAGCATCATAGTTTTATTATGTCTGTGCTGGACAAAGTTGGTCATGATTCTCTTGAATAAGTCTATAATTACAGTGCACAGTGGGTTGAGTAAGGAAGGTCTTACCTCTAGCTGTCCCCAACCACCTTCCTCGGGCTCGTCGATTTCGGGCGTGACGGGAATGTACAGCAAGTCCGGTGTTTTGCTCGTATCTGTTTTCGCTTTCTTGGTCTCCACACCGTCTTCCTCATCACTGTGTGTGCGGGGCACAGACAAGACAGGAGTATAGAGGGCTTGGACTGAAGCCAGTAGGTATGTGGGTGATAGAAGCAGCAGCAGCAGCAATAGCACTGTAAAGTACCGTAGCTGCACAGCCAGCAGAGACCCAGTATGATATCCCAAACAGAGCACAAAGCACTGGGCGTGTGTGTGTGTGTGTGTGTGTGTGTGTGCGCACGCGCACCCAGCGCATTAGCCAAGTGGCACTCCTAAACCATGCACCGTGTCACCACTAGTAATTACGCTCATGGCCACAGCAGGAGGGGCAATACAACACGAGAAAACCAAGAACAGTACTTTTAAGAAGGGCAGAGAATTGCCATTGTCCATGTACTACCCCTTACCTGCTGCAGTAGGCCGGTACTTTCTCCACGGTAGTGACGTCCACATCACTTTCCTCATCTAGATTGCCGGCATCCTCACCGTCGTCACTCTTGTCCTCATCCTCCTGAAAGAGTGCATCACCAACAGAGTAACGTGATGTTCACAGCCTGCTCATGTGACAGCATGTGTGCAGGACGTCGTTCACATGGCATGTGGACAGTGGAACCATGATCCATTGAGGCAGGGACTGACCGGTGTTGGAACTGGGAACCAACATGGCTGTCCCGCATAGCCATGTGATAGACGTGCAACAGCGCTATAGCATAGCTAATCAGATCCTAGATAAGCTGCTGGCGTGCACAGGCAATACTTATTGAGGTCATTTCTTGATGACACAATACGTCATATGCAGGAGGCTAGCTGGTGAATTGCTCAATGGCCTGCCAATCCGTGTGTTTGCCGGACGGATCAGTGCGTCTACCTATCAACCAATACCGGTACATGCACAACAGTGCACAGCAAAACTCACATCATCAAACTCGGACTCGTGTTCGTCATATTCCTCGTTTTCCTCTAGCTCCCGGAAGTCAGGCGCAAACGAACTCCAATTCTCCTGCAGAGGATCAGGTAAACAGAAAGGCATTCAGACAGAGGGTCTACAATATGAATGACGAGCGCCATGACACTACAATCCCAAGGGAAATATTCAATTATGTTCCTAACATTTCAAGTCACGCGGACCCAGTAGCAGCGGCAGCTGGAACGGGAGCAAACTTACTGCTTGTGTGTGTGACCAGACAGTGACAACACCGCCGGAAACAGATGCAATGATGGGACGCACCGGATGCCACTGATAGAGCAAACAGAAGACAGGAAGAAACATACGCACGCACACACGGAACCAATGACAATTTCCTCAGCCATTGCAATGCACAGTCAGCCATACATTAAGACCATACTCCCTACCACATTCGCATACATGGACAGCTAGCACCACACAGGCCATAGTTGCATGGGCACAGGCGGTAAGACAGTGAAAAGGCACCAATGTTTTCAAATAAGTAGCAAGCGCAAAGTAGTGTCGGATACAGCTCACAGCATCGCAACATATAACTAGGCGTGCTCTCACCGCGGCATCGACCAACACTTCTCCTTGCAAGCCCTGGAGAATCTTGACCAGATTACCGCTCTTCGACTGCCAAATATTGATAACATTCTGACGAGAGCAGCCCGCTGCAACGTATTCACCGTCTCCAGAAAAACAGCATTTCTTCCAGGATGTCCTAGGGAGGGAGATGCAGAGCAAAGAAAACTATAATTATAAGAAACAGGAAGTAGATGGCACACACCTATAGCTATTACTAGTATTAGGACCTGGCCCCTAAGCCAGTCCATTTGTGGGTCTTCCGTGCTCGACAATCACAGTACATAATTATAGTAGTAATATTATATTAATGATGTGCACATCGTCTTAACTCACCGGTTCACCAGGTCCTGCATCTTCTGCAGAGCGTCCGGCTCTTCCACGTCGCACTCCTCACTGAGGATCATCTCCGTGTCATAGATGCGCACCACACGGTCCGACGAGTTGATCAGAAACAGGCTGCCTCGGCGCGCATGGTGGATGGACTTGATGGACGTGGCAGTGTTGCTCGACGTGGTGACGCGGAATTTCTTCACAATCTGCGACACAAGCCAGACAGGAGGCAAACACAAAACGCCTGCCCATGTACAGTGCTTCTGAGGGAAGTAGGAGGCGACGAGCGGGTTTTGCCACAGGGGGGGGGGGGGCAGGCCCCCAAAAATGGGGTAACATGGTAAACATGTGATGTGTACATGTGGGTTCGAATCTCAAACACACCTTTGTGTTCAAAAGGAGAGTATTATCTATTCGAAATTGTTCAACCAGTAGAATGTTGTGTTAGTCTGGCCTTGTCGGGCCAGAATTTTGTCACTACAGTTTTTGTAGTGTTGTTTCATACTTGAATTTTGTCCCTTTGAGCGTTTGATTGTTATCTTTCACGCACATGGTATCTTGCAAGAATACCTTGTGATACTTTTTTGGCATTGTTTAGGTGTTATTTATCACTATTCATCCTTTATAATGGTCTGTGTTGCAAGTTGCTAATCAGTACAATGATGCTTCCTGATAAGCGTTGTGCAAAAGCTAGTTCGATGCATTTTTATATTTTTCATCGTTCCTATTACTGTTCTTCACATTGCAACCAACAAAGGTGTGGCAGGTACAACAATACACCTTGAAGCAGCCTAGCCTGTTGGCAACAGACCCAACACTATCTGGCATAAGAGTACCCACCAACCGAACTAGCTGGCACACACACACACACACACACACACACACACACACACACACACACACACACACAATGGCAGCCATGGCTGGAATGTGTGACCTGTGATAGGAGACAAGAAAATACCTCTCTGCTGGCTTCATCGATGATGAGAATCTGACAGAACGAACAAAGACAGAAGCAAAACATTCATACAGGTGCATTAAATTTCAGGAGGCAGCCAAACGAGACACACATCCAGTGTAGTATATGCACATCAAGTCCTGATCGGCGATTCTAGATACACAAAGAGACAAGCTTGGTATGTATGTCAAGTCAACCCTATGAATCAAGTAGTTCGCTGGAAAGTCAACACAACGCAGAAAAACACAGAAACCTAAGCTCCAAAGCACCTTACCTTTCCACGTGAGCTGCCAATGTAGATGTGCTGGCCAACACGGTCAAAGCAACCCACCGTGTTCTGCTCAGACTGCAAGGAGATAGTCACCACCAGCACCAGCACCATCACAACATACAGGCAAGGCAATCGCAAAGGAAAGAAATCAAACCTTAAAAAGAGCATTACATATGATGTGACCAGGAAAACAGATACGAATAGACAAATACTTTGAGGACGGTATTGTCCCAAATATAAGTTGAGATGGGCAAGGCAGTAGAGACACCCCTCCCCAAAGTGAAGCTATCACGAAAGAAACAACACGGACATGAGGGAGAGGATACTCGCGCAGCAACGGCCAGCTGAGCTCATGGACAAGGCTCTACAATCACAGCCCTTCAAGATTCACAGCTGGAAAGACCCTTTAAGTTTTGAATCCGCTCCTCCAAGGGAACAGGCAACAGGAGAGATGCGAAATCCATCTTGGTGCAGATGACTGGGTATGAAAACCCCACCTTACTACATGCACGTAGAAATGTAGAAATGTAGTTAGTGGCTTAACGACTTCTTTTAAAGTCTCTTACTTTTAAAACTAAGTCGGGGAGCAAGATTGAAGATTGAGCTTCAAGTACAAGTAATGGCGTCTATCCGTAGTTCTCTCTTGCATAGCAGTACATGTATAACAACTTCAGGTCCATCCTCTCACTCTAGTACTACTTTTTGAAGTTTTTACTGTAGCTACACTACGTGTAAGAGCACGCCAGCTGTTCTGATGCTCGGTGCATTACAACTAGCATAGGCACAATATTGCACAGGTACGCCACCGTCATTGTATTCGCTGGAGGCAAGTGCATACACGTACTTTGAACACACTGGCTTAACGTCCTGGGTGTCCGAAACATTCCAGAGATGAAAGTGTACTGCTTCAAATGCACACGCGACGAACCATGCATGCGACTGCACACTATACTCATGGAAACACTTTCGAAAAGCTATGAGGCTTCCAAAGAGTGGATAATGCCTTGCACGGTTGAATCAAGAAACTGACAGTGATGTACGCCACATTCTAACGACATCCGCAGCAAATCAAAAATTACTCTATTCTACCTTTCGTCATTTTGAGCACTTTCTCGACAAAAAAGAAAAAAGAAAACAGCATACCTCTCCATCAATGGGCAGCGTGAACTGCTCTTTGGTGTCGGTGTGAATTAGAATAGGGGCATGCTTCATGGGACAGACCAAAAGACGAGGCCTGCACAGCAAAGCACACATGACTGACATTAGAAGCAATCCATAGCTATCATGGCAAGAAGAACGGCCTTCCTGAAAACATGGGCTGGCATCGTATGCGCTAAAAGCCCCCCCCCCCCCCCCCCCCCAATGTAAAGCATTACATAACCGTGAAAAGCACCCAGCCCCCCCCCCCCCCCCCCCCTCACACACACGCACACTAAGAGAAAGAAAGGAGATCTATTCAGTGGCCAGCAGCAGCAGCAGCAGACTACTACTCACTCTCCTTTCGGATGCCACACTAGACCAGCCGGTGGCGACAGCATGCTGTATGTGGTCACACACTCGCCGCTGAGGATGTGCCAAATGGACACGTTCCAGTCCAGAGAGGCACTGGCCAGGTGGTGACCATCTCGTGTCCAACTAAAAACACAGTGCACACACATGCACACACACACGCACGCGCACGCACACACACACACACACACACACACATACACACATACACACACACAATTAATACAGGCTTAAAAACACTGTTGTGATTCATGCACATGCAGAGTACATGGACATGTGATAAAACTCAATGTATATGCATAAACGAAAGCAACAGGCTAAAGTCTGTGAGACAAGAAGATTGTACAGATAATACTCTACAAGCTCCCAGTTAATGCCACAATAGTGACCATATGCATCTGACAATTCGCATCTCGTCAAAACAAGAATAGAACAAGATACTGTAAGTCTACAAAATTTCGGCCCGTTCAAATGTTGGCTTCCCAGGGATAAAACCCATTTCGGCCACATCAAATTTTCAGCCTGTACTGCTGCCGCCTATATACACTGTCACACTGAAGCTTGCAAAACAAAATTCCGGCCGCAACAAATTTTCGGCCAAACATGACCAGGCCGAAAATAGCCGAAAATAAATATGCGCTGAATATTTGTTTACTTACAGTATATGAGAATGAAAAAGACGAGCACACGCACAAGCACACGTACAAGCACTGGCATACACACAAGATCCCTGCCTCCAGTCTCTCTGTCTGCCCCTCTCCGTCTCTCAGTCTGTCTCTCTCTCCCCCTATGTCTATCTGTCTGTCTGTTTCTCTGTTTCTCTCTCTCTCTCTCTCTGTTTCTCTCTCTCTCTGTCTGTCTCTGTCTCTCTCCCTGTCTGTCCGTTTCTCTCTCTCTCTCTCTCTCTCTCTCTCTCTCTCTCTCTCTCTCTCTCTCTCTCTGTCCCGGCGGCTGTGTCTCCCTCTCTCAGCATAAAAAGTTTCCTAACCTGAGTTGGGTAATTGGGTGGACATGACCAGAAAACGACTTGGACACACATCGTGTCATTAGATCCCAGATAGCAATCCTTCCATCGTTACATCCCACTGCCAAGAGAGTGCCAAAGCGATTGAAGCTGCACGTCAGTGCGACAGAACCACAGTCCAACGTGCCATCATTATCCTGTGGTAAACGAACATACACACATAGTTGAACACGCACTCACACTTGTTCTTGTACACTTCCAGAAACTGGCAAGCCCTCTCCACGAGAGGAGAAAGAAATTCAAAAGGAATATTGGAAAGATGACTCAATTGGTTATTGAGTCGCCCAACAGCCGACACCCCCTGAAATCCCCAAACTCGGGGTGGACTAGGAAATGATTCCACTTCTGGGCCCGCCACAAAAACAGTAAATCGGTGAGGACACAGTGCAGAAAGGGATTGACGGCATCAAGGTATCTGCCCTGGGATAAGTAAATGCAGTTGGACTCCACTACAACATTGTAGGTTGGAAAACCTGTGTTGCACTCATCGACAACAAACACTAGCTCTGGATTCTGTTCCTTGGAGTGTGATGGCATGATCCTTCCTTTAAAGTGGAGTAGTATCCGCCTAAAGTTGGCTATGCCGGAAGTGTAGATCTCCAACACCACACAAACCCTGCACCTAGCACAGGATTTTCTTGTATTACTGTGTTGTAGTACGGACAATATTACTGCAGGCCCGGCGGAACCGGTGCGGTTGGTCAGGCAATGGCCGGACCAACTTTTTTTGCCACCAACATGTGTTTACTTCTGAGGTCATGTGTACACCCTCCATATCATACACAAACTGTATGAAAGGCTAGGGTATGGCCGGACCAGTCAAAAACTGCGTCCACCGGTCCTGGTTAACTGTACTTGTATGCACGGTATTGCCAGTAGCCATGATTCCAGAGTGGAACTGCCAAGCCATAGATAGGTAACCCTACATGCTATGTACAGTAGTGATCATTTCAGACCTTTTACAAAAATATAAATTACTTCTTACAAGTATGTACAAAAGAAAATTAAAGAATGTACTTCAGTAACTGGAACACCAAGGCCATACCTCAGGATAAGTCTTCCCGAACGACTTAGCTGCAAAACAAAGTACAACGGGAAATAAATACGAAGCACGCACGTACTCAGGAACTGCATCAAACAATGTTCGACTCCATCTCGGGACGGAGCAGTTCAGATTGAATTTGGCTAAACTTGTTACATACCGAGAAGTTCCAGATTCATGGCGTGATCCGCTCGACGCGCAGACTGACGCTACCATCAAGACCTGGCTAGACCATGACGATGTTATGCAAGACCTTACAATAGGAGGACTTCAACTGAAGCTACGTACATGATTGTATTTGAACTTACTGAACTTTGAAGTGAAGTAATAAAGAGCCTCCAGATTATTACATTATGCACCAGTTCAAAAAATTATTTTTCATGCTCAAAACTTTCGCGCCATATGGAATAATCACTTTTTTTGTACGAGACTCACGACGTTCTTATCAATTTTTGCACGGGCGCGCGAGCTCGAACATGTCCTGCCCCCCCCCCCCCCCCCGGTCTCGTTGCACAAGCCATTATAGCAATAAAAACTGCTTTATGGCAGTTTTCTAAAAAAAGTTATTGTGTTCTAGTCCATGGACCCCGTCTAAAAAGTAAGAAATTAACGAAATGTGATAGCCGAAAAATAAAATTTCACACAAAACCTCACAACAATCACAGCACTTGAAATGCTGCTTTCAACCCTAAACTTGTACTGCACAAACAATTGGCAACATGCATGTCATGCATGCATAGGAAAGAGGATCACGAGGGGAAAAGGTCTTCTACATGTAGCTTTTCATTCTGTGTGTGATTATTGTGAGGTTTTGTGTGAAATTTTAATTTTCGGCTATCACATTTCGTTAATTTCTTACTTTTTAGACGGGGTCCATGGACTAGAACACAATAACTTTTTTTAGAAAACTGCCATAAAGCAGTTTTTATTGCTATAATTTCTTTTGTTTTTTCTGTCACCAATCAATGGAATGCCCTATCTCAATATGTAAATTTAAACTAAATGATGACCTTCACATCATATCAAGAGTACATAACTACACACGAGTACAACCCCGCAATACTCGCCGAAAATTAAAATTTCACACAAAACCTCACAATAATCACACACAGAATGAAAAGCTACATGTAGAAGACCTTTTCCCCTCGTGATCCTCTTTCCTATGCATGCATGACATGCATGTTGCCAATTGTTTGTGCAGTACAAGTTTAGTTATGTACTCTTGATCATATCAAGAGATCAATACCGTATTAATACGCATTGATGTGCAGCCTTTCCTTGCAGAAAATGCCTCAATGAATGTTCTTCTGCGGGGAAACATGTGAGTACGTAGTGGTGGACCGTGGTGATACTTTTTTTATACGGAGGTCATTCTGTGCATGTTGCTGTAGCAGAATTTCATGACCCTGTCATAAAATTGTCTTGCCTTTCAGATATTTCAGATCTCCCCACCCTCGATCAGATTTATTTGAGAAATGTAACCAGGTGCGTGTCGCAGATGTTTTTGTTGATTCTGTGTTTATAATGGTTTATAATCATGGGTTTTCGTGATAAGGTCATCCTGCATCATATTGCACTGAAATCGTAATCCTGTTGATGTCGATACAACTTTTGGAAGTAGTTCAATGACTTCAAACTGTTAGTCCACGATTTTCTAAAACAACACAGCAAAAGAGGAACAATAAACATGTATTAAAATGTAAACAAATACATTGCTGAGTCCGACACCTCCTTCCAACAACTACACTGATCTTGAGGATAAAAGGGGCAAGGCCATGGTTGGAGGTACTGAGAGATAAACAAGGCACTCCATAATAATAAAATCTTACACATCTTTTGGTGAGTATGAATGATATCCAGTCGAACCTCTTTAGGACGAACACCAAGGGACCGATGGTATTTATTCTGTGAGTTTGTCTTAACCTATTTATAACCAGTGAATACAATTATTTCTCCAATAGACATACGAATAGATTTCTTCTACAGCGAAAGATGATTCTAAGCCACACCAACTCATTGACTCGTCTCATATGAAACAAATGAGTCACTAGAGAGGTTCTGCAAAACGATAACGCGTACAAACTTTCGTTCTACGTCATGAAGTGCGAAACTTCGCACGAACTTTCGCAACTTTGGACGCGAAACTTGCAGGGAACGCGAAATGAAGTGTCGTAGGAAAATTCGTGAGATCGGGTCATGGCGTACGTGCACTTGGCCCGCACAAACTACGAAAATGTGCAGAACGCAAAATTCGTACACACTTTCGCAAGGACTGTCGCGAAACTTCGTTCGAATTTTCGTTTTGCAGAACCTCTCTACTGAACCTTTCTTTAGAAACATGACGGCAACTGAAACAGCAACAGAGAAAGTACGATACATGTACAGCACATTCTTGCAGGTACATGTACTACAAACAGTTTGCAGATCGTAAATCTTGCTTTGGCGGCACGAAACTTTATTTGGGGCAGTGCAATCTCGGCGGTACTCACAAATAATAAATCAAACAGCCCAGACTCCAGTAAACAAATCCAATCATACAACTTACAAGTACAAGATCTTCACGAGACGAGACTGCACCCATTGGCTTGTTTCGTATGAAGCAAACAAGTTACTGATCCTCTCCACAATGGAGATTTTCCCTGATATGCGAATATATTTTGCAAACTCGGTCAATGGGTCCTTGAACCTTTCCCTCCAGATTGGGAACTGCCAACGATAGTATGTCACTGACCAGTGCCTTTCTTGTAACGTACCAATGTACAACGAATACGAGTATTTCGACAACACATCTAACATAAGCCTTACCGTCAAGAAGGTGAACTCGCGCTCTTCGCACACTGTAGACAAGGGCAAAGAGATAAAAATGGATCTAAATCCGAATAAAATCAGCACACGTTTCCGTAAATGAAAGGGTGAGTATAAGCAAATGAATCGAAGGAAACAAAGAGATCCTGTCAGCTTTTCCATTATTAATTTTATTGCATTCCGCCCAAATTCAGCACACTTTTCGTAAATGAAAGAGTCAACACAAGCAAATAATCAAAGGGAACTGGTCAACTCACCTGTCATTGAGTAATATTCCGCGAAAGGAGGTCTCAGCAGCGCCGAAACGAAATAAGCCAGGCCAGGAGACGAAATATCCGAAACAGCTCATACAAGAAGCAGTTCCAGAAGGAAGTTCCTCGCGCATGCATATCCATGATATCCGAACGTTCGAACACGGACTGCAGTACTGCACTGCAACACAATGTCTGCCGTGCACGTGCACCGCACGCGGCTACCACCCGTTGGTAGATCTAATACCGAGCACCTTGCGTAGAGACTTACGTAGCCTAAGTGAAATACCGAGCACCTTACGTAGAAACTTACGTAGCATAGCGGTGTCGTTTTTCTTGCCATGTGAACACAATAATAGAAAAGCTGACAGGATCGCTTTTCTAAAATAATGATCTGACTGTTTCATTTGTGTTTGGACCAGGATGCAGGGATTTATACTCCCTGATTTGTACGTCAGAGCTGCTTACATATTGTGGTCACAGCCATGCCATCTTGATCTCTTGTGTCGAACAATACTTACTCAAGTAACTGGTAGTGGTACATGTACATGTACATGTAAACTCGCTCACAGGGCGCAACTTTGTCCGTGAACAACCAAAAGCTACGTTAGGCGATCTGAGTGCCACATTTGCGTCCATTGTCACCATGGTCACTGATCCTAATCCTTGCCCACCCTTGAGCAACCTAATACCTGACATCTCGACAACAGCTGACGCAGACGCCCCTTCTTTTAAAGAATTTCGTGCCGTTTCAGCTCTGGAGATAAGCGACCTGTTGAAGCATTTGAACTGTGCCAAGGCAGCTGGATCGGATGACATTCCTCCTCTGCTCCTACGCCTCTGTGAGCCTGCCGCTGCAGGTCCCATAGCGCAGATCATTAACGAGTCCTTGAGTACTGGAATGGTGCCAGACGTCTACAAATTGGCTACAGTGTGTCCTGTCCACAAGTCAGGGGACAAATCTGAAGCATCGAATTATCGCCCCGTTTCACTTTTGCCGATTGTTTCTAAGATCCTTGAGAAGGTAGTACATCGGCAAATGATTCGGTTCCTTCAAGATCACGCTGAGCTTCGTATTCTCCCAGACGAGCAATTCGCCTACCGCAGAGGGCACTCCTGTGAGGATGCGTTAACTCTCGCAGTAAACCGCTGGATGATGAGTGTGGACAAGGGCGAGTATTGCGGGGTTGTACTCGTGGACATGAGCAAGGCCTTCGATCGGGTACGCCATGAACTACTACTTAACGAGCTTCAAGCTATTGGCATAAGCGGAGTAGCACTACAGTGGTTCTCCAGCTATCTCCAGGGTCGACGACAACAGGTGAAAATTGGAAATAACAGAGGAGACTAGACACATTGTACACGAGGCGTTCCGCAAGGGTCGGTGCTGGGGCCTCTGTTATTCTCTTTGTACGTGCGACATGTCCCTGGAGTACTTCGCCACGCAGAGTCCCAACAGTATGCTGACGATATCGCCTTTTATATACACTGTCAGTCTACTGGAGAACTTCAGCACAAGTTGACAAGTGAGTTGAACAGACTAAATACGTACCTTGGAAGCATTGGTCTCATCTTGAATGCCCAGAAAACGAAGTTCATGGTGCTTCGGAAGAAGGCTCTGCCTCTTCCGCCGGATCTTACCATTGCATGCGGTGGTGTCGATATTCGACCTTCTGCCACAGCGCGTTATCTTGGCCTCATTATTGACCAACACCTCACCTTTCAGGATCAAGTCAACCATGTATGTACATCTGTTTATAAGAAGATAGGAGCATTCCGCCGCTGCCGCCGTACAGTAGACCACACAACTAAGCGAATATTTTATTTATCCCTCATCCAATCCACTATTGAATACGCCAGCAACTCGTATGCTCACTGTCTTACACCATCTTTATACTCTCGCCTTGTTACTTTAAGTCATATCAGCATGAAAAAGGTTTAAATTTTGGTCTCCCTCGCCGTACCCCGACTGTCTTTGTTTTGCGGCACGCTAAGTTATACTCCCTCGAATCTCGTCTCAACTTGAGGCTTTTTATTTTTGTTTTCCGCTGTATTCATCAGCTTACATGTCCTCTTCTTTCCTCAATGTTCACCCTCCAGTCGGCTGCTACTTGCACCGAGAGGCGCACTAGAGGGCAATCATTCTCTTCACTTTCTTTGCCCGCTGCTACCACTAGATATGGCATGTTCTCTATTTCTTTCCTTGGCGCTGATAGGTGGAATTCTCTGCCTGTCTCGTGTCGTCAGGTTGAGCATCTATCCGTTTTTGTTTCGCTCTGTAAAGAGCACTTAGGGTTCCCTGTAACAAGACGGCAACGTCTGTAGGGCCTTCCCTATCAAAATAATAAATTCTACTACTACTGTAGTATACTATTCGGCTACCCATTACATTGGTGGCAGCGGTGTGTTTTTGTAAAATAAAACAACGTGATTCGACCCCAGACCCCATGGCTCAACCCGCTGCAGCTCCGTGCGACGAATCAAGATGAGAATCGTGTTTCATGCTTTCCTGGGCCTGGCCATGCTTATTACTAATAGCCTGCAGCACAGTCAGAGTGCTAACGTGGATCACCATTCTTTCCGCACGGCATCCATTGGAGACTCCGATGGCGATTCCAAGCAACCCGCTACCTACACGTATACTACCGGTGGTGATGGCGAAGCTGATGAGGACGACGACATGCAGGCTGCAGCTCCCTGCGACGAATCAAGGGAGGGTATTCCCCAAGACCAGCAGCGTTTGATTTTCGCCGGCACGCAGTCGGAAGCAGGAGCCCACTCTTCACTTTGGTACTTCGCCTCCGTGGTGGAATGCAGATTTTCGTCAACACTCTTCCTGGCTAGACCATCACTCTTTACGTCACGCAAAGCGATGCTATCGACAATGTGAAGACCACGATTCAAGACGAGGAGGGAGGTCATTTGTCTGACGCCGAGCTAGCCGCTCTGAGTGACCGGCTCAACCAAGATGAAGATAAAACGTGGCTTGCTCTCCGCCGTAGCTCCAGCCGCCGCCGTGGTTACTAACGCTGATTCCAGGTATGGCATTTTCTTTCCTGTCTTCCTTCAGTCTCCCTGTTCTTTTCAGTCTTCCTTTATGCTAGTGTGTGAATCCAGTTTAGTTTGGTAGGCGTCTGATCATGGTGAGCCACGGCTTACCCAGCTAACGTGGGACAATGTGTGTGACAACGCCCCTTATAGTTATAGTGTATTAAGTTCGGTTTTTGAACTGCGATGTTCCTGGCGGGTTGTGCCAGCGTTGTGCAGCAAGAGTGCTGTGGATTTTCAGGTCCTATTTGGAGAACAGTTCTTTCCCCTTTTGACCCCGTGAGATCGTGTGAACCTGGTGTGCTTCTACTTTATGATTTGTTATCAGTTCATTTCTTCTGTCTACTCTAAACGTTATCATTTCCGATATAATTTGCCATCTTCCGGTTGACGCTGTGTTCGTAACTCTTCACTAATTTTTGGAAAATCACGAGGGCGTGATAATCTGTAGGAAGGGAGGGTGTAGTATCCCTGCCCGACCAATACGGAAGCAGTACGGAACTAATACGGAGCTTGCCTGATGTATATTATTTTAGTGTATCTCCGTATGTAAGCGTACGTCGTCTGCTGCATAAAAGCGGCTGCGCATTTCTGTTTTGATGAAGAGAAGATTAGATTAGATTGGATAGCAATGAAAGCTAACTCGAAGAATAAGGATTCAGCCTCTAGGTGAGCACCGGAGAGAAAGTTATTTATTTTGCCGCTTCATCTTTCACGAACGATTATATCTCAGGTGTGTACCTGAAAGTAGAATAAAAGTAATTATTGTTGATTTCACCGCGCCTACCACTCGGCTACCTATTACACTACTACTACTACTACTACTACTACTACTACTACTACTACTACTACTACTACTACTACTACATGTACCGGTACATGTGTACAGTCACCGCTACTACAGTGCATTATCACAGCACCTTTTATAGTTATACCTCCATTTTTCCAGGTACAGTCAGACCTCGCTTATCCGGTCCTCTTTTATCCGGATCCCTCGCCATCCGGAAGAAAATTGTTGGTTACCAGGGAGTCGTAAAATACCGTATTTTACGACTCCCTGTTGGTTACCGATTTACAACATAAGGCATGCATACATACAGTATGTGTGTGCGAGAGGATTTATTATTATTATCATTAAATTTTTGACAGGGCAATCCCCACATGCCTAAGGCCTTCTTACAGGGTATCCTAAATGTGCCAATACAAGGTTACGGAAGCGAGGATTATCCGGTTCCCTCGCCTATCCGGATATTTTTGTGGAAAACAGATGTGTGCGGTTAGCGAGGTCTGACCGTGTACATGTAGCACCCGTCCGGCCGGTCAGGCCATGTCCGGACCCATGATATTTCGAAAAGGATCCCGTGACCCAATGCATGCCACACAGTGACGTTTTTTTATTCAATAACGGTTCCTCAGTGCCAGTGAAAAAGTATCCCATTTGGCCAGGCCACTTGAAATCCCGGTGCTATGGCCCTGAGTCGGAGTCATTCGAGTGTTTGATTGCTCACGGCACATGTACATTATCATAACGTACATCATAATGTAAAGTGAAATCATGATTATACATGTACCTACATGAAGGCTGGGCTTATTCCTTACGGTAGTAGCCGATGACGGTCAGGGCTAGGCTTCTATTCACATCAGGTTTCTATTGAGCCAGGTATTTCTGTATGTACAATGTATGTCAACCGTGACTAAGACCAGCAGGGCCCTTGTGCCGACAGTGTATCTTGAAAAATCAGGCTTGGTTTCAAAACAGTCTTCCATGGCATGAGCGGGCAGGCTTTAATACAATACATGTACACTATGGTAACAAAAATGGAGTTGCATCCTGAGACCCCGGTCCTGCCGGTATCGTACGGTAAGACCATCATCATACAGGGCAGATATCAAGAGTACGACTCGTACTCCGCCTTGCACCGGCATGCAGCTGCACAGCCTGTGATAACATTATTTTACCCTCTAAACCGTTGCTACGTGACTTGTGATGTAGGCGGCATCCACACAATTAAGAACTATAGTATCATAGGTGATCCTCCAAGGCATATTATTACGAAACTGCATGGGAACAGCCTATGGCAACTGCGGAAGTGGAGTATGGAATGTTGCGCTCCGCTGCTGTCTTGGGAAGCTGAGCATCCCGGCGTCATGACAACTATGCCATGCCGCAGTGGCACTGAGTTTGACACACCATGTACCAGTGAGTTGCCAGTGCTCCGGCTGGAGCAGGGTGCAGCCATGTGCAGGTACTGACTTAGTCTATGGAGATGGTTACAGCGCGAAGATGAGCCGAAGAGGCCCGGTTGGTGTGGGCTGACGACCACAACTCACATCCACTGAAAGTCTTCCTGTAGAGGTTAAATCATCAGTTGGGAGCTTTGGCAAAGTCGTGACACAGCAATGCAGTAGGCCAGGTGAAAACAGCCGCGCGTCACGCTGTATACATAGCTCCCATAAGCGATTCACGCTGTATACATAGCTCCCATAAGCGGTTCAACATGTCTACAGTTTAGACTAGAAGAGAATGAATAGTAGATAGCAGCGTATTTTGAGTTGTAGCCGCTAGCCCGGCATGAAAGCATCAGCCATATTTGCGATGAATTGAATTTCAAAACTGTAGCCCAATACATCGGACCACGAGACAATTTTAAAAACGAGATCTAGAGCAATTCGTAAAGTTGCGACACTAACGCTGAAACCATGCCAAGCAGACGTCCATATGCTGATTTTCCAACAGAAGTAGGCAGAGATTCGGATGATGAAAGAGGTGGTCTTGGCATTATTGTTGATGCATTTGCTGCAGACAAATAGAAATGACAGACGTCGGTTTAGTAAACTACTTGGTTCTGTTCACCAGGGGCGTAGGAGGGGCTTGGGAACTCGTATGACCAAAGGACGGAGCGGGCTGCGAAGGGGTCCTGTGGTCGTCCCCCGGGATTTTTTTTGTAAAAAAAAGACTCAAAATCCTGTGTTCTGGGTACTTTTGCCACATTCTTTACTAATTTTAGTCATAGAATGTTATGGCTCACGTGCAGAAAACTAAATTGCCGTGAACCAAGTCTACCTAATAGCCATATCGAGTCGAGTAGGCGTCAAACTCAAACAAAAGTCAAAGAGCTGACGGGTACGGGTCCCGATATTTTTATTATGGTTTTGCACGTTCCAGACGGACCACACTTTTCGAAAAGTGGTACGGCCATGGCCGTACCAGTCGTAGCGGGTGCTACGCCCCTGTTCACCTTCCAAAGGCTGCAGCCAATAACTCTATAACTGCACAGAAGAGGTGTTTGCCACTCCGAGCCATGGCATAACTGCGTCCCTTGTAAACAGAGAAGGAAGAACCACCGGCAGTGGAAGAGTACAAAGCACATGACTGTACATGACCATTGAAATGAAGTGAAGCGAGTGTTGGGAATGGAACTATTATTATCGGCACGGAACAACCACAAACTGATACATGTAACTGATAGGGTCCTGCACAGTGATTCAGCAGAGTTCTCCCATTACAAAAATAATAACCTTGTGTGCCAATGCCAACATTTCTGCCAACAGACTACCCCGTCCCACCTTGTGACCGGTTAAATGAATTCTAACATGGGTAATGCTGGTTAACTTCCTTGAAAGTATTCGTGGAGTACAGGATCACGCAGTTCAAAGCACTATGACTTCTAACTTTGTTGCAGAACAACAATTGAATAAATATTATCATGTCAATAATGTCTACAAAAGAGAAAGACCAAGGAACTACAAGTTACCTTGGCTCCCCATCTGAGTCCATTCATGTCAATAATTTGCCTGTATGTATTTGAGTCACACTCATGTTCGTCAGTATTAGGGAGGTTTCGCTCTACGGAAAAGTATGAATTAACGTAGGAACTGCACGGAATTTTCATACGTAAAAATCAGAGCTGGTGGGTTTCGCTCTATGTGATTTCTCCACGACTGCTAAACATGCATTGTTGCTTTGGAGATGCGTTGGCTGCATGCGCCCACCGCATGCACCATGAACCGAAACAGCGTTTTCCATTTTATTTTGCACGTTGTGTACGGTGTGTGTACCTTGCGAAGTTGTGTTTAGCGCGGCTTGAACGTTGCCATGGACAAATGCGAAAAAAATCTTTCAAGAAGTCCTACGGAGCTCGCGGAGGACCCAAAGTAGGAAAGAGCTTTCCTACAGAAATCCGTAGAGAGATTTACGTATGAAAGTTGCCCTCGCTCCCCACCGTGTACGACATACGGATTTTCATACGTGATTACGTAGAGCGAAACCTCCCTATTGTCTGCTGTTTGAGAAACAGGATGGTACCTTGTAAAGTAAACTATAGAAAAATAAAACTCAGAAATTCCACAGTATCAACAGGCTTTTCATTCTACTCACGGTTATTGCATTGATTGTACTCCTCGGCGGGTCGCTCAGGCGCAGTGTCCAGCAATGGTAGTGTGTCGTATACGTAGCCTAAGTCAGTACTCCGCTTCAGAAACTCCTTGTTCCGATAGACAGGGAATGAGGGAACAATGCAATCGTTCGCATTGTGTCCTGGGTCTGCGCCCGACTCCGGGATATAATGTAGCGTGCCGAGTTCCTGCAGCTTGATCACGTAGCGGTCAAACATACGATCCACCATGGAGTGATGGAGGTAGAACACGGGATCATTAGGTGACATGGCTCCGCTTGAAAACACACCTCCTGAATGCATATGAACGGCGTTATGCATCTCTATGGCGAGGCTCTTGTTTGCTAAACTGCAGTAGCGTTTTCCAGGAACAGCAACACTTCCTTCCAACGCAGCGCGAAGGCTGGAAGGAGACCCTTCATATAACTTGGGATGTGGAACATCGTAGTGGGTAATATTTAACAGTAAATCCCAAGCATCACGCGTACTTGGCAGCCACTTGACAACTTTATACTCATGTCCATAGTCTCTGCGAACAAGTGGTATTCCTACATCAAACTCCGAAGCATTGCATAGGCTTCCCGATCCACGTTTTGGTGTTCTTCTGATAATGTTGGGCTCAGAAAGTGGAACCGCAAAACCCGCTTCGAAACAGATGGTCCTAAAATCACGGAATACACCCACGAGTGAGGTTTCATTGCCGTCAAAGAGGTCAGGATGAGTGAAGATATGATCACGATTCTGCCGATCCATCCAATCCCAATAGGGAGCCGCAAATGAGTCGTTTCCAGATACTCGTTGAAGTTCTGATTCGAACAACAGCATAAAATACCGGTGCCAAGTTGGTAAGCTAGGGCCATTGTGTGCGAAGTCCACATTAGGGCGGTGGTCGTTGTACGAAGGATTCATCGCGTCTTTAGTAGCGTAATAGTGAATCCAGGCCAGAAACTCATAGGCTGATATTCCAAACTTGAAGTCCTCTGCTGTTAAATTGGATTGCAAGTGGCTTGATTTGCTAAAATTCTCCTCTGAGATGAGAACACCATAGCGACTAGGACTTTTGCTTCTATCATTCATATCCGCAATGGTTTGTTTGAGGTACGCACGCTCATCATCATTCAGTGCCATGTAGTTTCTGCGTACCAGAGGTGTTTTGCGTTTCACACAAACACTCCTATCAGCAGTTTTCACGTGACCGAACTTACACTCGGTGCAGTCATATCCAGTCCAGTTCCCCTCACACTCACAGATTTGTGTGAACACTCGGTTAGGCCATGGGTAGCGCGATGGCTCCGACACAGGATTCTTCAGATAGTCAAGAACATCACCTTGATCATCTGGTGTTTCTACATGACAGTGTGAGCTTTCGATACGCTTACAGGCGCCACGACCTGGTCCACCACATTCAGCTCCGACGGAGTTTCCCACAGTGACAGTGACTGGGCAGCATTTCTGTTCACGGAGGTCGTCATCATTGAGGCAAGCAATGGGAAACTGAGCGCTAGTCAAGCGAACCACCAGCAGAACTAGCGCGGAAGTCAGTGACGACAGGACGAAGACGTGGCCTGGGAATCCATGTCTCGGCTGTTGCTTTTGGCAAATTACGGACACAGCCGAGTTCCAGAAGTACATCGCTGATTCAGTTTGGGACCAAACGGAAAGGGCTCAATGTTTGAACACCGTGCTGCTACAGGAGGGTGTGAACATCACCTTTGCAGCGATCGAAGCAAACGGAAGGAACGAAACACTGTCACGTACACGCATATGCTGAAAGACTTTAAGTGGGCGTAGTTGGAGAGTTTGAGTTGAGGTACCTTGTAATGTGTGAGTGGCTGCGCAATGGAGTCCGCGAGTGCTTAGAAAAGTCTTTGCCTTATTCAAGAAAGAATAATTATTGTGTGACAAATGTCACGGCTCTAGGCATGTGCCCTAGAAATAATTATGGATCAAAGTGTCACCTCGCTATCTGGCACACGCATGTTCAGCCCATTCCACTCCAAACTGTGCTAACCTCCGTTTCTTTGGGTGACCCAGATAAGATGAATGGCCTAACGTTATAACACCACGGCCATGGAATGATGGCATCCTCGTTGCCACTTGCATGGGCTCACGGTAAGTGGGACAAGTGCAGGCCAGGGTGTGCAGACTTGCACGCCAAGTCCGCATACTCCCCCTTATTCCTAATCATAATGCCATGGCACGGAACTAATTCTTCCAGCCGTGGAGGCAGTGTCAAGTGGGGCATGGGGAATCGTGGTTCACAACAGCACCTGTTCTACCCTACAGCTAAAAAGTACAAGGCTACAAACTGGTGTCCTCGTGTGCGATCACCACCAGTAGTTCGTGCACTCTTCACACTCTGCCAGCTAGCTCTGGACGGTTCTCACATGACCACCATGTAGGCTACAGTACAGCCGCATCCTGGAAGTGAACTACTGTACTGTTTTTTTTGGTTTGTATTTTTTTTACAAAAAAACACACACCACTTGACGGCACAAAGCAGCAAGGCAGCGATGGGACATATTATGGAATAGCAGGAGTGGGGGAGAGGCAGGGGCAGCTTGACCGACCATAGGGTCTCGGCTTCATTGCAACCCAAGCGCTCCACAAAAGCAAAAGATTACAGAATATACGCAGGGGGGGGGGGGGGGGTAGATAACTGGGGATTACGGGGAAAAGTATACACAATAAGAAGTTATCAGAGAGTCAACGAAGTGAATGGAGGAGGGAACAGAGTTAGAGCTTTTTTTCGTCTTTTTTCTTTGATTCATAGCCTGTCCGTTGCCCACTCCCAGCGGGTAAGGCGCAGGTGGGTGTTGACCTTTTTGTTTGAACGTCTGCAGTCCTTTCCTTGTTGGCTGGTTCAGCAGAACGCACTGCGGGAGCTGGTTCCAGACCTCCACAACAGCGTCAGGGAAGGACCGAAGGACATCATTCCGTGCTCTGGGCGGAAGAGTGGAAGTGAGCTGAAACTGGTGTGAGCAGTGTCTGCTCCAGCGCCGGGTGAGCCGGGTAATCCACCCGGTTGGGCGGCGCTTGGACCCGATTGAAAATATAGTACCGGGTCACCTGTGAGTCTGTGACCCGGTTGGTACTTTACACTTTCGAACTTTGAAAGGACTGACTACTTGGCTTGAAGTTGTATCAAGAGTAGATAAACTACTCTTGCTTGTATCAAGAGTTCATAACCCCTGCCTGGGGGTTATGAACTCTTGCTTGTATGTGTCAGCTACTTCTTCTTCTTTCGTAATTTTCTAATTCCTGTCCTCTCTTTTCTAAATGAGGCTTATCCATTCGCCTTTATATCATTGGGCCTAGTTCCCGTTTATTGTCCGAATTAAAATAAACCAACCAACCAAGTAAGTCATGATCAGTTTGCCCGTCGTGTGAATGGCCTATAGCATGTGACTCGGCTGGTGAGACAGCGCCAGGTACATGTGTACCCGGCTCCGACCCGGTTGAAATGGTTGCGCCAGGTACACGTGTACCCGGCTGTCCTACAATCCTAGAGCAGACACTGGTGAGGGATGCTTTTGTGTGCGTCGGCTATGGTATGATGTGTTGGTCGCTCGGGGTGGAAGAAGGGTGAGAAGCATGTCTGGGCCAGTTGAAAAGTGGAGCTTGTAAAGAAAGCAGAGTGCTCCGACCATTCTGCGGATGTCCACGCTAGGGAGGTAGGCTCCATCACCGATTAGGTGAAGGCCACGGCGTTGGATGGCAGTGAGGCGAGCCAGAGTGGTGGGTGCAGCGCTCATCCACACGAGCATGCCGTACTCCAAAACCGGGCGGACAAAGCCCTTGTAGATCACTCCACGGCACCTGGAGTCCAGCACTCGTGAGGCTTTCCGGAGGAAGCCGAGACGCTGCGAGCCTCGAATAGCCAATTGCCTGATATGAGCTGTGAAGGACAGGTGTTGGTCAAACAGCACACCCAGCAGCTTCAGCTGGTCGACTTCCGGAACAACTGTGCCCTGGTATACAATCGGTGGGACGACGACTGTGTTGCGATGGTGAGAAACCAGGAGGGACTAAGACTTTGTAGGTTCAAACCTAATGTGCCAGGCCATTCCCCAGTCTGCCAGCGCATTTACAGCGAGCTGGACTGTGGTAGCATATTCGGGTACGGCAGTATTGGTCGATATGCACTTGTACAATGTGGTGTCATCAGCATATGCAGCAAGCTGGGCCCCAGCAGGTAGATGATCCTCAGCATCATTCGTATAGAGAAGGAATAAAGTCGGGCCCAAGACGCTGAGTCGACTGGTTTTTGTCCGAAAAGGCAGCGATGCAGCATTCCTCCTTTATTCCCAATCGAACATGGTTGAACAAGTGGTCACGTGCTCCTGCGTACACCAGTCACCTGGTCACCGTGCCTGCAGGGTACATTACTTACTAGCCTGTTTGACCTTTTTTAGGTGCAGTCCTGTCACTCGAGTTGAAATCGAGTTGAACCTTGGTGTGAAAGTTGTCGCCTGCTGGCGTGGTAAACCAGGTGATTTGGGCACCCAGGAGCACGTGACCGCTTGTTCAACCACGTTCGATTGGGAATAAGGGCCGAACGCTGCATCGCAGCCTTTTCGGACCAAAGCCAGTCGACTCAGCGTCCAAAAGACTACAACATATGGGCCAGGGCCAATCGCGGTCATCCGTGCTTTTATAAGAACGAAATGGCGCTTTTAGTGACATTTTCCATACAAATCCCCATCTAGTAGGGCGCAGTCACCCAGTTTCGGTGGAAGTGCGCGAGTTCGATTGGGATTCAAGTAGGAAGGGAGCGTCTCAGCTTTCTCGGACCAAGACCATTCGACTCAGCACCCCGAAGACTACAACTGGTGAAATTTTGATTTTTGCCTTAAATTAACTTCCCCTTTAAACCGTTGAATCAAAGCAAACCTATCAGCGCGCGTGACCATGGTGACCGCCGAGTCGAAGCCAAAGAGCACCTACATGTACATGTACTATGATGTAGGTTGGTTGGTTTATTTTAATTCGCACAATAAACGGGAACTAGGGGCAATGATACGAAGGCGAACGGATATCATGAGCCGCATTTAGAAGAGAAAGGACAGGAATTTTGAAAATTACGAAAGAAAAGTATCTGACAGAGGAGTCAAGCGAGTATCAGGGGTGACAGGGCGGTCAAGGAGAGCTAGGGGCGGGGCTAGTCTCAGCAACAATTATTATGGTAAGCAACTTACGCTAAGCTTTTTCTGTCTTGCTATGGTCCGAACATCATCCAGTACATCATGTATGTAGATATTGTTAGATTGACAGCATGAAACAAGGTGGAGGACACTGTGTTCGGAAACAGTGACCTTACTACAACCATCCATGGTTGGCAGAGCCCCGGACCGGGGCTCTGGCGGATTATGCTCGCGAAATCATGGAATTATGCTTTCAAGGATTCTCGCATTATGCTCGTAAAATCCTCATATTATGCTTGGGCACCCGGGGATATATATTCACTTTGTTGTACTTATGGAGCCTCAAAGTTCGGAAAATTGTGCTTTTTTCGTAAAGTTGCAAGTGGCCATAAGTACAACAAAATACATGAGTATCCCCATACCAAGGTGTCCATGCACGTTAGAGATCAACATGGAAAAGAGAAAACATTACTTCTTCTATTCATCACTTGATTTCTTTTGTACTTCAGTAAAAATATTATTCTATTAAAAATTTAATAAATAATAATAATAATAATAATTTCATTGCCAAATTAGTTTGAGTTATCTTTGAAAATTATCATGTTCAACTAGGCCTTGACGGATTATGCTAATAATTTCGTGAAATTATGCTTTTCGCATTGCTGAAAAGTTGCCGAATTATGCTATTTTTATGCTAAAAGTTATCAAATTATGCCGCATTATGCTGCACATTTGCGATGAAACACCACAGCACTAGCCAACTTGGTTTCGCAAAAAACATGCATGACGACTAGTCCATTCATAAAAAGATGGGCCCTGGCTTTGGCGAGCTCCCGTATTTGGCGATTTTTCGTGATTTCATCGTACATAGTGCAGTGCTGCGAACTTTGAAATTTGAA